GGGTAGGGGTTGTTTCTAGTAGCGTATTTTCCTCCGTAAACTAGGGTTAGGTCGGGTTCGTTTCTTGTTCTATATCTATATCGTCGTCCGTTAGGATTAGGGAGGATAGGATAATTCTTAGGCGGGTTGAGGGGGGCGTGGAGGGTTCCTCCCGGATATTAGGGGGGCGGGTTTCCATCTCGAGATTAGCTGGGGGCCTCTTTGGTCTCGAAGTTATAGTTCCGGGGAGTTTCTAGGGGAAGGGTTTTTCTTGGCAAGGAACGCCGAAAAATTTTCCCGCTAGGTCGGAGGAAAGACTGGTATGTTTTCCGGTTGTAACGTAACAACCAAGACCTGGGGCCTGGTGCAAGTTGGGGGGGTAGATAAGCTAGCTGTGCCGGTTCGTTTAGCGCCGGATTTAGGTCCCTGGGAGCGCTAGTTGTTACGTTCCCTTCTGATGGTTGGTTGTGTCCTTTACCCTGTACAAGCACTACCATCTTACAAGACGGTTTAGTTGATGGAGTTAGAAACCATGCTCTCGACGCAGACCAGCACAATAATAAACGTCTCATCCCAGCCCATAGACGCCGCCGCTCCTCCCCAGCGACGCCAACCGCCCAAGAGCAACGCCATCGCTCCGCTCACTCGCTCGCGAGCAGGGAAGCCGACGACTAAGGGTCTCGCCGTTGCCGCCTCGTGGTCGTCGTCGTGCTAGGTGAGTGTAGGTCGTGTCGATGGACGAGGATACGGCATTGCGAGGGAAAAAGGTAGGAAAGACGCATGGATTCTGCTAGCCAGCGGGGAAGAGGAAGAGGGCGGGATGTGGGCATGGGCGAAGAAGCCCGATAGCGCAATCTCCGCCCGACCATCTCCCGCCAACGCGCCATGGAACGCCCCTCCCGCATCGGCTCGGCGCGCGCGCGCGTATGCAGGTGTTGCTGAGCCGCACCTGGCGCACCGGGGGGGCGCGCAACCAATGGCATTCTCTACAAACGGATGGAAACTGCAGCTAGATACTACAGACATACAGGGTGTAGGCGCATAGGAGTGGAACGGGGCGGCTGTGCAGCAAGAAATGTCGATGCCGCAAACAGCACCGGTTTTCGTACTTGTGGAGGCAACGAATTACGACTCAGAAGCCCAGGCACAGACACCGACCTTCCAATCCGATGCGCCTACACCCTGTACACCCTGTACACCCAGCGAGACGCGTACATATCGCTGTGCCGCCCCCTCTCTCGCGGCAGTGGAGGAGTGGAGGAGGTACTTATAAGACATGGAGTGTAGGTATGGAAGAATTCAGTCTCAGCACGATACCAAGCCACAATGGCGACGAAAGAGCTGCTGCTGCGCGTGGACGAACGCCCGATCGATGATGACGATGGGCTGCTCGACATGAGCAGGCTGCGGGACCGGCTCGACGTACGTACGCACACACACACACACCCCGCATTGAAACCCACCCCACCCCAACCCAACCCAACCCAAGCCCATCTAACACACACACGCACGCCACAGGACATGACAAGCGACCTCCTCGCCAGCAAGCGCAGCAAAGACCACCTCGCGCAGCACATCACCACCCTCCAAGCCCAGATCTCCGCCCTCAGCAGCACGAAGACCACGCTCGCAGGCGACAACGCCTCCCTCCGTGCCTGCAACAGCACGCTCAGCGCCGAGCACGCGGCACTGCTCAGCAGGCGACGAACAGCGCAGCTTGAGCTCAGCCGGCTGGACGAGCACGCGTGCAGCCTGCGCGCCGACTGCGCCCGGCTGGCGGACGACAAGTGCGTCCTAGCTGACGACAACCACGCACTAACAGCGCGCCTCAGCGTCGTCAGCGGGAAGCTCGCGCTCCTAAAAGACGAGCACAAGGCGCTGGAGCGGCGGAACCGCGGCTTGCGGGCCGAGGGCGACAGCCTGGCGGAGCGGATCGAGCGGCTCGCGGGGCGGGAAGACGAGTTGGAGGCTAGGTGTCGCCGACTCGAGGAGAAAGGGCTCGGGCTGGCGGTTTGTTGTGCTGTTGGTGTGAGTATTTTTTTTTTCTTGGCTGCTTGTCTACCTTGTCCGTATACATTATTGCTAATGCTAGCGTGTGCACAGGATTGGGGGTCGAGGCTTGCGCTGGGTGAGCCGGATTGATGGACGCCTATTGCTGGTGGTGGTGGTGAGGGTATGGGCGTACGGACGGAGGGCGTTTGGGTTAGGATATGCTGCGAGGGATGGAAAGGTTGGGATGGAAGGACTGCGCTATCTTCTCAATTTTACCTTTTTGCTTTGGACCTAACTCGGCATCTGGGTCGAGCTGGCGACAGCGTGCATTCGCTGCGTCGTTCGACGCGATGATGTGTCGTGCAGCTCGTCTCCGCCGACCAATCGATCCCCAGGCGATCGACGAGTGGGTGGTAAGACAGGGAGCAATGAAGCAGCCGCCAGTCCGACGCTGCCACAACCCGGCTGTTATCCGAGTCAAGATGAACAAAACCAACATCATCTCGCGCAGACAACAACACCCATCGCATCTCGCATCGCGCACGTCACGGCGCCACGACCCCCCCAAACGTCCAGCACCACGTCTCACGCGGCGACCCAATCGCACCGCGGGCGTGTCCAGCCACCTCACCGGTCAACGCATCCAAATGCAGCTTTATTAAGAGCCCGTACGCCGGGAACCCGTCACCCGCGGCGCGAATCCAGCGACAGCGGTCCACGAGGATGAGGCGGCTAGGCGCGGGGCTCGGCCAATCACAGGCGCGCGAGGGAAACGCTCCTGTGCGCGCGGTTTGGCTGGCGCGGACGGCTGCCACGTTTGAGGCCTGGGTGCGCGTGCGGGGTGTTGAAAAGCGGCTGGTGTCCGCGTCGCCGTGGTGGCGGGTTGTTGTTTTTGCTTTGCTTTGGATTGCTGTGCGCGCGAGACAAGACAAGATGGCAGAACACGCGGTTGCGGAGCTGCCTCGGCTGTGCAAGCTGAGGGACGCGCTGGAGGTATGTTGGATTCGTGGCGACGGATCGCTTCTGACGTCCGGAGTAGGAGGCCTACCAGGAAGTCGGCGGGTACCTCGGGGCCCAGCGCTCCGCCTTCATGGACAGCATCGCGTCGCTGGAAACGGAAAAGGCGGCTCTCCGGACGGAATTCGACGAGCTAAAGGCGGCAAAGGAGGCCGTCGAGGCCGAGCGGCACAACTTGCTGGAGGAGTTTGTCGCGCTGAGGGCGAGCAAGGAGTCCCTCGAAGCCCGGGTCCTCGGCCTGCAGGACGCAAACGCCAAACTCGTGGCGGAGAACAAGCTGCTGGATATCATAGCAAGTGTCCTCGAGCGGCAGCCCGTCCCTCCCACGTATCTCCTAACACCCACCCAGGACAAGGACCCCTTTGCGCTCGTGCTCGTCGACGGCAACAGCGTGCCGGTACCTACACCATCCCCCTCCCTTGTTTTGTATCCCCGCGCTGACGCCCACCCCACAGATCCGCGCCACCGACGCCCCGAAGAAGTTCTACGGCGGGCTCCTCGCCGCCACCGTCCTCGTCAACGCCATGCACGCCCTCCAACCCGGCTGCAAGATATACGTGCGCGTGTGGGCGGACCTCGGGTCCTTGGCTGCCGCCAGCGGAGACGCGTTTACGGAGGAGGAGGCGCGGGAGTTTGCGCGCGGCTTCACGGCGTTTGCGCACTGCGATTTCGTGGACGTGGGGAACGGGACGGGGCGCGCGGGCGCAAAGGTCAGAGGTACGTATTGTATCCCTTGTCCATACTACGCGATACATTGCCATGTGACAAGCCTTCGGAGGGCGGAAGTGATGGTTGGGTGGGCGTGTATCATACCATTGGTATGCGGAGCTAACGCGCAGCGAGCAGAGGCCTTCGAAGCCAACGTCGGCAACCTGCACTGCAAGCAGATATTCGTGGCCGACGCAAAAGACGGCTCGGCGTGCTTCCTCGAGCGGTACCGGTTCGGGCGCGAGAAGGAAAAGATCTCGTTGCTAGGCCCTGGGGAGCTGGAGCCCGGGCGCGAGGAGCTGGGCGAGGACTTTGGGCGCGTGAGGTGCGACGAGGTGTTTGCTTAGCGTGGTGGTGGTGGTGTAGGGAGGGGGGTTTTGTGTGTGGTAATGCGCGTTGAGGCGGCCTTAGGTTGTTGTGCTGTTTCGATTTCTCTCGTCGGCAATGTCAATGTCTTGGCGTGTTTATCTACCCCGCGTACCCCGCACTGCGCCCGTGCGCGCATCTCCACAGCAACGGCGTCCAATCTCTTCCATCGTTTCACGCTTGGCGGCGACGGGCATTGAGCGCTGGTGTTGCCGAACAATGTTCAAGTTTAGTAGTTAAATTCTTCGCAGTGACGTGGGTGCGTGCATAGAATCAGCATACCCTAGAGCCCTCACACATCTCCTCAACACCCGCACAATCACATCCCACGCTACCTACTTCCCCCTCTCGCTAACCCTTACCATCATGTCCTCCTGATACACAAACCACTGATTACACAGCCTTACGCCCTCCCCGCCAGGCCGCTGAACCAACTCGACATCGAAGCGGCGCACAATCTGCGGAACCAGCTTCAGCATCTCCATGAGGCTGATGTTCTTGCCGATGCAGGTGCGCGAGCCGTGCCCGAACTGTGCGTGGTGGAGAGTTAGAAGAGAGAAAGAAAGAAAGACGCCTCCCACCTCCCACCCCCCTCTCACACACACATACGCACACATGTTGGGGAATCAAGGAAACAACCTATGGAAGGTAGGCGGGCGAGGGGGGAGGGGGCGCGTGCGTACCTCCAGCGAATACCGGTCCATCTTCTGGCGCTGCTCCTTCTCGCACAGCAGCCACCGCTCCGGCCGGAACAGATGCGCGTCGGGCCCGAAGACGGCCTTGTTGGCGTGCGCGACCCAGGGATTAACGCCTACGACGTCCTGCACACACACAGACACACACAAACATCAGCATCAGCATCAACATCACCATCACCATCACCATCCCCAACACCAACGAAGAAAAGCAGACTCACCCCCTCCTTAAAGAACCGCCCGCACAGCTCGGCCCCACCCCTCGGCACGACGCGCCACAGCGGCAGCCCCACGGCCGGATGCACCCGCAAGCCCTCCTGCACCACCGCCTGCAAATACGGCAGCGTCTGCGCCTGCGCAAACGTGATCGGGTCCGCGATGGCGCCGGTGCGGGCCGCGGCGTCGAGCTCGGCGCGCAGCTAGGTACGCAAGACAAACATGGGCGTTAGCATTGTTGTTGGACAGGAAACGCGACGGTGGGTACGGTACGGTACGGAGCAGGGTCGCGGGAGAGGAAAACGGAACAGCAAAGGAAAGGTGTAGGTACTTTGGCCAGCGCGTCCGGATTCCCCGCCAGCCCGCCCAGCACGGCCGCCAGGCTGATGCTCGTGGTATCGCTGCCGGCGGCCACGTTCGCGTTGATGGTGTTGATGACGTCGTCCCAGGTGAACGTTGTCGGGTCCGCGTCATGCAACGCCAGGATCTTGGCGAGAAAGTCGTCGCCGCCCTGCACGCGCTCCTTCCCCTTCCCTATCTCCTCCCTGCGCTTCCGGATCTGCGCCTCGCTGAACGCGGTGATGACGAACCGGCCGTGCGAGCGGAAGCGCTTCAGAAACCGCAGCAGCGGCGCGTGCACGCCGGGGTAGACGCCCACGGGCGCGGCGTACGCGAACAGGCTGCGCGTGAGGGCGATGAGGCCGAGGGCGTCCTCGCCCGCGTCGAGCATGCCGAAGCGCTTGTTCAGCTGCGTGCGGAAGCCGAGATTAGTATGTACCTCGTGGCAGGCAGGTAGGTAGACGCAGAGTACTGTGCGCAGGGAAGCAGCAGCAGCAGCGCCGGAGACGCAAACGACGCACGTACCGTGATGAGCCCGATGGTGTCGAGGGCATAGCACTGCATCCAGCGCTGCAGGTTCACGGGCTCCGCGTGCCTGCGTATGTACAAGACGCAGCGCGTCAGTTGCTGTCGGCTGCACCAGCCCCAAACGGCTCCTACATACCTCGCCATCTCGCGCAGCCGCGCATGCATGACGCGTACCGTGGCGTCCACGGCCTCCTCCATCTTCAGCAGCATGCTCATCGAGTACAGACTCGCGACCTTGCGCCGATTCAGCCTATGCAGCTCCGGGTCCCTGCCGGAGAAAATGTCGTCGGTATGCGCGTCCGGGTCACCGCTCGCGACGTACCAAGGCGCCTTGACGAAGCGCGTGCCATGGCCGTAGATGGTGCGGATGGCGGCCGGGTCGTCGATGCTGAACCAGTTGGGTGCTACGCGCACGATTCGGCCGTGGCGGGCGTGCAGGGCGATGTTGGTGGTGTGGAAGTCGGCGCGCAGGATCTGGGCTAGGTACCAGAGGCGCGAGAAGCGGGCGAGGAGGGGGCCGGGGACGCTGCGCTGGGGCGAGAGGAGCGCGAAGAGCGTGGCGCGGAGGAGCGTGAGGGCGATGATGGCTAAGATGGCTAGGGCGAGCGTTTGTGGTCGAAGGGCGTCTGAGGGGAGCAGGCTGAGGAGCGCCATTGCGTGTTGGTTGGATAAGTTCCAGTCGGCTTGCAAAGTAACCTACCTACCTCTCCACACCCACATTTATATACCACGCCCCCTCGTCCCCGTAACCCACACTCGTAGCTCCGGGGCATCAGGGTAATGATCGGCAGTGCTTGCACCAGGAAGCGTCCGCCTGCGCAAAGAGGAGACATGCCATTGGCCGCGGAAGTGTTCGCGCCTGCCGTCTGCTGCCCGCTGTAAAGCGCTCTCCGCCTCCGCCTCCGCCGTAAGTACTAGGTAGCGGGGGGGGGGGGGATCGACAGCGAGGTTCCACCTGGGCTTTTCTGTTCGAAAAGAGGGCGGCGGGAACCGTTCTCTGGTTTCCTTCGGGCTGGAGTCTCCATGCTTCCACTGTTCACCTGGCATCTCGCCTGCCGAGAAACTTCGTAGTCGTAGGGAATATATCACCGCGGCTACCCACGTATCCTTCATCACACCCCACTCCGCTCCCACCGCGGATACCGGATCCTACTCCCCCTCCACACATTGACGCTATCCACAGGAAAGCGCCTCTTATCCCGTGCTTCCCTACCCTCATACCGCACATCCAGCACCACCTTTCTCCCATCATCCTCAGACAGCTTCTCCAGCTCCTCCAGCACCACCATATGCTGCACGCCCTTCTTCCGCGTCGACTCCTCGGCGCACAAGACCCTCACCTCCCTCAGCGACCAAAAGCCCAACCCGTTCTCCGCTTTCCCAAGCAGCAGCACAACGTCCGGCACGCAGCGCATGTCGCAGTAGCGCAGTTCGAGCGCCTCGAGCGACTGCGGCAGCAAGTCCGACAGCGGCGGCACGCACGGCACGGCGCGCACCTCGCTCGGGGCGGCGACGCGGCCGCGCCCCAGCCCGAAGCCCGTGTACGGCGCGTGCAGCAGGCCGAGCAGCGACTGCTGGCCACAGCGCAGCGTCTTGAGACGGGTGAAGCCCGTCAGGTCGCCCAGGTAGAGCCGGTTGGGCGGGGAGTGCTGCCAGAGGCCCTTCAGCGCGTCCTCGTTCAGGTCGAGCGTCAGGTGCTCGAGCGTATTGCCGTGCCACTGGAGCAGCGCGTCGGCGGCGTCGCGCGGCAGGAAGTTGTCACCCGGGACGAGCGAGTCGTACGTGTACGCGAAGGTAGTGAGGGCCCTGCACGCGCGCACGATCTCGAGCAGCCGTGACGCGCGCATCTGCGCCCCGTGCAGCCGCAGCGCCGTGATGCTGGACATGGCCGGCTTCAGCAGCCCCGGCGGCAGCCGCACGGGGTTGGGGCGCACCCACTCGAGCGTCGTGACGCGCGGCAGGGCGAAGAAGACGTCGCAGTAGGTGAAGTCGTGCCAGCCGTGTTTGGGGTCGTCCGAGTCGGCCGAGAGGTACTCGAGGCGCTGCAATGGGCGCGAGGCGTCTTGCGTGTTGGCCGCCGCGGCCCGGAGGACGGCAATGGTCAGCTTGGGCTTCTCCCACACGTCTTCGAGGCTGAGCTCGCGCAGGTTGGGCAGCATTGCCAGCAGCAGGGCGACTTCGGCGTCCTGGTGACGAGGGTCCTTCTCGGTAAGGCGTCGGATCCATTGGGCCTTCAAGTCAGCGGTAGGCCAGTCGAGGCGCGCGACGGCGTCCCGGCAGAGCGACAGAGCGTGCTCGGGAATAGGCGCGTCGTCGAAGCTCGAGGTGGGCCAGGATTCAATTGCGACGGCCCTGACATGGCGGGCGAGGTCCGGGCGGAGCAGGATGGTGCGGAAGAAGGGGCGGATGCGGCGGCTGAAACGGCGGTAGTGCAGATTGTACTCGGCCGTGACGAAGGAGTGGTAGAGGAAGCGCTGCGTCACCTTTTCGAGGGCGCGGCAGACGAGCGACACTTGGGCGAGATGCCCAGGGAGCGGGATAAAGGATAATATGTGAGCGACGAGCTCGACGGGGAGGTCGGAGAAGGAGGCCATGGGTGTTGAGGTGGCGATACTTACGCGAGACGGCGTTGCGGTCGATGAAGCTGGTTGCCGTGGTGACTGGTGCGGGGCTTCTGTAGTTACACACGCGCCATCATGAGAAAGCCATACTCTCAACATTACCATTACACTATAACCCTCTAAGCCGTAATAACCAAGATTCCCAATCCCCAGCCACAACACTCAACAATCTAGACATATCCAAACACAGCCGCCATCTAAGCGCCGAAGCCAACCTCGGACCGCTTGCCCTTCTTGACGTTGTTCTTGCACTTGCCGGGGATCATGTTGCAGTCGAAAGAGTTCATGACGTCGAAGATCTTCTGCACGTCGTCCGGCACGGCAGACGTGTCGCCGCACGGGTTCAGCCAGCTCTGGTACTGCTCGACGGCCTTCTTGCCCGTGCCGTAGGCCTTTTCGATGACTTTGGCCGCTTCGACACCAGCGACTGCGGGGGAGAGGAGAGCCATGTTAGCGAGCGAGTTTTTTTTTTCTTGACCTGTGGAAAGAAAGAACGATGGACTTACTCATGCCCGCGTCCAGCGTCTCGCCGACTTCGGGGACAATGGCCTCGCCGACCTCGAGCACCACGCTGAGCGCCGACATGGTGAGCTCGCAGCCAATCTATCAAACACACGCACGAATCAGCACAAGCACACACAGGAAGCAGGGCACCAAGCAGAGCTGGCAGCAGCACACATGACATACCTCAGCAATAGCCGGCAGCGCCTCAATAACCGTCTCAGCGATCTCGTTCAAGAACGCATTGTTGCAAGAGCAATTGCCCTGGGCGACCTTGAGCTTCGTGCCGGGCTCAACCTCGTAGTGCACGTCGACGCCGACGCAGCCGATCGACGCCATGTCGCCGGCCTCGGCCTTCTTCTTGTACGCGTCGCCGCACACGCCCAGGCAGTCGTGGATCGAGGCGTCGTGGTTCGGCGGGTCGTAGACGAGGCAGTGGCGCGAGTTCTCCCAGCGCGCCTTTTCGTAGTTGAAGGGGGAGCCGTTCTTGGCGACGACGGTGGACGCCAGAGCCGTGGCGGCGGTGAGGAGGAGCGTTGCGGCGCGCATGGCTGTGGTTGTTGTTGTTGTTGTGTTCGGGGCCGTGGGGGCAAGGAGTTGCGTGCGTTGGTGTAGGTAGGTTGCGGTGCTGCTTGGACAGATGAACCGTTTCTGGAGTCTGTGTATCCGAGTAAAGAGCTCAAGACCGCTGTATCGATGCCAGGCTTTCTCGCCCCGCGGAGCCAACGTTTATATACCCATCATCATCATCTCACTTGTCGCGCCCGCGCCCGCTCTCCTCGCTCGCCAGAGTAAGACCACACGCCCACGCCTCCATGGCACCCGCATCCGTGAACGCGCGCGCGAATCCTTCCAGCCTTTCCCTCCCCACCCAGCAGTTACCGCAACGGGCAGCCCGGCTGCACACACCGCGTAGGCCCCCAAAGCCAACAACGACGAGCCGTGGTACCAGCGCCTGCACTGGAGCTGCCGCTGCCGCTTGCGCTGCGTTCCCGCTCCGCCCAGCACGTCATGGCGTCAAGGCCGCAGGGCGTGCGCCGTGGGGTCCAGGATGTGGGGGGGCGGGTTTGGTCCCTCGCGGGCCAGTGCGCGGGGGCCAAAAGTCGGAGATCTGGGCGCTGCGATCGCTATACGACAGGGGGGTGGATGGCCGGGTCGACGGTCGCGCCTCACCGACCCTTGCTCTGTGCGGAGAGACGTTGCTGGCGCATGGGGGCCAAGGAGGTGAGGTGCTGTTGTTTGTGGGGAGGGGATTGAAGAGGAGGAGAGACGGTGAAGTGAGGTGAAGAGATGTGATGTGGAAATCGATACTCCGTACTATTGACAGGACAAGACTCACCGACCGACAGCGACAGCACCTCTGCCCTCCCACCTACCCATCCACACACCCCACACCCAACACGAAGCACCCCATCAAAGGATGCACCCGAAACAAGCGTCCAGCCCTGCAAGGAAATTACCTCGAACTTTGGAAGCCGGCCTCATCGGCCACGAACGACAGCGGTCAGCGATCGAATGAGCGAATCCTTCCGGCGCTGGGGCGTCGGGACTCCGGCGCACCGGCACGGCCTTGTTGATTTGCGCGCGGGAGGGTCCGTGATCTGTGGGCCGTAGGCTGTGGGTTGTGGGCCGTGATCTGTGGGTCGTGGGCTGCCTTATGTAACCATGTATAGGACTCCGTACATACAGGGTGTAGGCTGCAGTCAGGCACGTCGGATCAGGTAGAACGAAGCCGCTGTGGGTAGAGCAAGGAACGTCGATGTCGCAAACAGCCCGCGCAGGGTCTCGTACAGTAAGTACAGTGCTTGTGGAGGCTGCGAAGGTCGACTTACGTGGTAGAAGCCCACCTAGGTAGGCACAGACGCCGACGATCCGATGCGCGCGCCTGAACTGCCCACCTACATAAGTGAGTAAGAGATCGGCAGCGGATTGGACCTCCCAAACTTACCTACCGTGGTCGTGGACTGTTGTTGTTCTGGCCAAGGCGGCTGTGGTGGAAGGAAATAAGATGGGTACCTAGGCAGTAAGGAAGACAGAAGGATTAGAGGCACTCGCTTACTGCCTTACCTAACACCTCGCCCACTCACTAACTAGTTATACTTCTAGCGTTAGAACAATCGCTGTCGCAGCAATTGTAGTGTTGGACGCCGGATTAGGCTGTTCAGGTGCTGTAAACAACTAGTGGTGGAGCTCTGCGTCACAAATCCTACATCAGGCAGGTGTTCTCATACCTCTAGAAACAACAAAGTCACAACAGGTCCACAAGCCGCGAAGATCAGTAAAGAAAAGGGTCATTTCACATAACTATCTAAACTACCAACACCATCACTCCCATGTAATCCTGCCAACCCGCTTACACGTCCGCCCACTCGCTGTCCGTGTCCTTGGGCGCCGGCGTCCTCGTCTCCTCCACATACTTCTTGAACTTGCCGTTCGTAGCCACCACCTTGCGGAAGTGGTGCGCGTCGACGAGGATGCCGTCCTCCTCCCTGAAGCCCTCCTTCTCCGAGGCCTCGTACTCGGCCAGCGCAATGGCCGTCTGGATGGCGTTTCGGATCTCGCGGCCGTTCCAGTCCAGGTTGGCCACCTCCTTGTCCGTGAGCAGATAGTTCTTGGCCTCGGGCGAGACGCGGATCTGCGAGCCCATCTCGTCCGACAGCTTCTGGAAGAACGACTCCATGATCGCCTTGCGCGTCGCCGCGTCCAGGCTGTCGAAGCCCACCACCACGTGCACACGCGACATGAACGCGTCGTCCATCGTGTCGATGCGGTTCGTCGTCAGGAATAGCAAGCCACCGAAGTACTCCATGCGCCGCAGGAACGCCGTCACGACACCGTTGCGCGCCAGGTCCGACGTGCGCCGCTTCTCCAAGAAGATGTCGGCCTCGTCGATCAGCAGCACCGCGCGCCAGCGCGTCGCCAGGTCGAACCACCTCGCAAGCTCGTCCTCGATCGACGACTCGTTGGAGCCAAGGTCGCCAATCGTCAGCGCCACCAGCGGGCGCCGCGTGTGGATCGCCGTCGTCTCGACCGTGTACGTTTTACCCACACCGGGCGGGCCGTGCAGCAGCACCACGACACCCTCGCCCTTGTTCTTGATGAAGTCGGCGGACCACGCTAGCTTCGACTTGGTCTGGCGGTACGAGAGCGCCTTGATGATGTTCAGGTTCTCGGCCTCGATGTTTGCGTCGGGCGTCTTCTTCGGGAAGGGCACATCCGTCATGAAGTCGACATTCAGCGGCTGCCAGGACTTGTTGGCCAGCGAGAAACCGACCATGACCGGGCACAGCAGGAAGCGGTGGTCGTCGTTCAGCGCCTCAGCCGTGGCCGTGCCGGCATCGTACTCCAGTGGCTTGAGCTTCCGCGGTACGCTGTTCTTCTGCAGGTGGCCCTGGTCGTAGATAATGGCACCCTCCTCGTCACCATACTGGTTGCTAAATCCCCACTTGTGGTTAGGGAAGTTTGCCCAGTAGGGGTACTGGGACTCGGCAACGATTGGTCCTTTAACCTTTGGAAAGTGTCAGCTGGAAAGTTATACCAAATGAGCGAGGCAGCATGGTACTTACGTGCTTCTTGTCTTCGCTCATGTCTCTGCCGTCGTAGAAACGGTAAGAGTGGCCCGCGTACGCAATGTCGCGGGCCTTCTCGCCTCTAGCGATAAAAGCTTCACGCCTCTTGCCTCCGTCGACGCGGTCAAGATACTCCCTGGGGTACACATTCAGGGTCGACACCACCTTCTCACCCTCAAAGTAAGGGATCTCGATCTCGGTCTTGGACCGAGAGATCCTAGAGCTGCTCCAAGTGTGGTCGAGGAACCAGACCTTCGCTGTGGCCTTCTTCTCATCTTCGTTCTCCTCCGAGTAAGAGACACTCTTAATGACACAGCCGATCCATGTGTCGTCGTGCTGAGCATAAGCGAGCGCGCCAGGACGGAGCAGGTACCAGAGGTCGTCATAGGTCGTGGTCGCCTCCTCCTTCTTCAGCCTCCTACGAGCGGGCAGAACGGTACGCTCCACGTGAGGCTCAATGAAGTCGAGAAGGACCTTCAGGTGCTCATACGTGGTAGCCGCATCGTCTTCCTCGTCATCTTCGCTGCCCTTCTCGAGAGCCAACCGATTGCGAAGGTCCCTGAGCTCGGTGACGTGGTGCGCCAGCACATGGTACGGCTCGTGGATGGTAATGGTGTCACCAGTCAGATTTTGCCTTTACTCTTGCGTTAGTCATTAGGTCCAATACAACGCTGATGAGTGACACTTACGCAGGGTAGTACTGCACGACGTCGCGGATTGCCTTCAGCAGCCAAGGCGAGTGCACGACCATTCTGGTCGCATTGATCTTGTTGATGCGCTTGTTGTCCAGCGATGGCTTCACTGGCTTCTTCTCCTTCTTGTCCTTGGCGTCCTTCTTCTCGCCGTCTTTCTTCTCGTCGTCCTTTTCGTCTTCCGAATCCGACTCCGACTCCGAGTCTGCCATGCCGCCATAGGCACCTGGGAACATGCCCGCAAAGCCGCCAGTGCCGCCACCCATGCCCATGGTGCCTCCAAACGCCGACTTCCGGTCGTCGTCCTTCTGGCCCCAAGTGTTCCAGTTCATACCCATGCCTGGCCATTTGTACTTGGGCATCTTGGTTGCGACGTTGAGCTTGGTGATGATCTCGATGACGGGCGCAGGGCCAGCCTGTTGAATGACAGACTTCTCTGAGACCTTCAAGTCGAAGGGCTTGTCATTTTGCTCGCACTCGAAGTCGGGACCGAACTGGTCCTCACATTCGACCTTGTAACGGATAGCGCAGGGAGAGGCGATAGGCTTCTCGTTCTCGGCCTGGGCGATCGCCTCGTTGTTCTTTGCGTCCACCATTGTTGCGACTTGTGAATGTATTGAGGAGTGAAGAGTGTAGGAGAGAGTAGAGGATGAGGTGAAAAGGTTGTAGAGGATGGAGAGGGTGGGAAAGGATGGAGGATGTTGATGGCCGTTGAGGAGCGTTCAGGGCGTGTATATAAGTCAACTGCTTCAGTTGACCAGTACGCACTGGTGCCTACAGCAGACGCGATGGGTCATCATCAGAACCCCTTCCGATTGGTCGTTCCGCTCTATCGACGCTATCTGAGACTGCGCCCCTGGCAGGCTGTGAAAGTATCGCGACGCTGTTGCCTGATGCCTGGTGTGCTGGCTGGTCGTGCCTGGAGCGGGGTGCAGCGTGGGGTCCGGCGGTGAGGCTGTGCGGAGGCTGATTCACACGGACCTGCGATGACTTGACTTGCACTGGAGCCACGAAGTTTTACCGTACCTATGTTGGATTTCCGTCCAATACCTAGTCAAAATAAACTTTCTTTTGGCGGCAAAGCTGTGCTGAGCGGGCTTGGACCGATGCAGGCGCGTTCGTATGCGGTCTCTGCAGTCGCCTGCACCTCCAGGCATCGGCGTCGCCGGAGAACCGCTAATGCAGTTGGCAGGAAAGTTCCGACTCCACACAATTAAAGATTCGCAGTCGATCTCCCATGGCCCACCTCGCGAGGCTCTCACTGGGCGTATCGCGATCAATCAGGTTGGCCTGCACGAGACTGAAACTCAAATGTGACTCACCGACGCGGCATTGCGTAAAGACGACGACCTAGAAGGGACACCGCAATGGCTTTGGACAACGCAAAACTGGGGAATTTAATAGAACGCGTTAAGAAGAGTCAACGGTCGCTCGGGAGTCGGCTCCAGACAGGACGATCAACATCATCGCGCTGATGCCTTGACGCTGGAACGCGTGAGAACCCGAGGCGCGTGCACGTGAAGACGTGTCCTGTGTTGGTAAGCATCCACACTGATGAGATATGTCGCACGTAGATCTCCAAGTCACACATGGCACCCACTCAAGGTGCGCGGAGATGGTTGGTGAGCGGGCGCAGGCGACAGGCGACAGGCGGCAGGCGGCCTTGGCGGCCTACCTAGGCCCATGGCCGCTTGCTCCGGTATTTTACCGTACAGGAGCCTCACCTGTCGCAGTTTTTTCGTCAAAGGAGAACACCCTTTCACAGTTCTACCATACCAAGATACCCGATTTCCCGAAATCAAAATGAACGGACTGCTGCCTAGCTCTTCGCAGATCTATTATGCGCAAAGACAGCATCTTCGCAACTAACCGGTGAAGGCAGACATGAAGTCGTGGCCGCGTCTTCCGTAGGCGCTTGACGCTTGACGCTTGACGCTTGGATAAGGGCTAAGTTGAAATTTTGTTTAGGCTGATTGGGAGGGCGAAATACAGGCGGATTCTAAAACCTACATCCTACACCAGTCGATATCTCGTCGGCCCCATCGTCATGAATTTCCACATCCCCCTCACCATGTTTTCCGTCGTCAACGTCACGTCTTCCGGATTTTCGTCTTTCCCTTGAGCTGAAGCATTTGGAGTTGGACTGGAGTTTAGCTCCTCAACAGGATGCACCACCCACGAAACACTCAAGCCGCGATGCTGCGATCGCGGCAAAGTCTCCAGGGTCTGCTGGAAAGGCGTGAACACGAACACGCCGTTCTCACGATCGCCATCCACGTCGAACACGGCACGGATTTGAGGCAACGCAGAGCTAGCAGCAAGGCTCAAGCGAGTAATAAGCTCGCGTGCAAAGCCGGCGATGGCATCTGGGGTAGGGGGTAGGTCTTTGTCGCCAAAAGAAGTATCGTCCCTGAGCTCTGCGGATTCTGCAAGGCGGCGCATCATCGCTTGGGCATACTGTACTCGCGAATAGCTCCAAGTTGCTGGATCGTCATCATCTTCCGGATCAGAACGTCGGGTAGACTGTAGTGGTTGCGGGAAGGCTTCCTCGTCAGGCTTGTTGATAAGCCGGCCTTCCCATATGCCGCCGTCGGTCATGACTCGGTCGATCATCCACTGCTGGTAATACCTCCAATCAGGTCCCTGGTCAAGCTTAAACATGCCCTTGCGGTTCTCAATCTTGGTGTCGTTGGCAGGAAAAGATTCCTGGAAACCTTCGTCTGTCCGGTTCCGATGTTTCCAGTAGCTGTTCGAAACGCATTGCCAGATTGCGTCACCGAGTGCGACCTTACCGGTCTTGTAGCAATGCACGAGAATTTCATATAAGATATGCGTGCACGCAAGCCAGTACTTTTTTTCGGTTGCGCGAAGCCGCTGATCAGTCCGGTTGGGGTCCTCTGGCTTATCTTCATTGTCTCCGTATCGGATTTTGACAAGTCTGGACCAAGACAACAAGTGCTTGTCTCTGATCAATGCAAGGTCGACGAACTGGTCAACCTTCCATAAAAATCCTGGTATTGTCAGGCCTCTTGCGGAGAACGGGAAACGACCGGTAGTATTGCGACCGAATGTAGGTCCAGTCGCGTTCATCTCGCTCGCGTTTATGTAACTGAGTTGGTAAGATCTGGAGGGCACCCAGGAGAAATCATTGCCGGTTGGCCACTGACCTAAATGACCGAATCAGAAATGCCGGCTTCACCTTTCTACGAATGCTCTTACTGGTATCAAGGCTGCGCGGTACAGTGTACAACTCCGGAGGAAAGAGACTGAAGTCCGCATTCATAATTGCGAGAACGTAAAGGCATGTGCTAAGGTACTTCTGAGATTTCGCCAGCGGGACGGTATTCAGGCGGAAGTCGTAGTCACACAGATTGGCGACAATGGCCAGCCTGTCAGCTACGCGTTCATTGTGCCTGTGCCTTAGGAATGACAAAGCCACAGCAGCATTACAGGTGCGTCGTGTCTTCAAGGCACCGGAGATGGTAAAATCAGAAAGCAGTGCGGGAGCCTGGGTTGGATGAAACCAAGGCATGCTACCAAGCGCTTTTTTCCAGTCACCGCCTTCGAGTATGATTTGCGACCCTGTCTTGGATTGGAAGAAGCCATCAGTCTTGGATCGGGATACATCTTCGTCCTTGGACTGGAAGAAACTGGTCGCTTGCTGAATGCATGTCTGCAGGAAGTCCAGTTTAATGGCGATATCTGTGAGAGAAACATCATGGCAAACAAGGCTCCAGCCTTTTGTTTTGGTCTCAGGAGGACGAGGAAACAGTATAGTCATGTTTCCGCTGGATGCGAATGCTTCTTGCAGGATCCAAGCTCGGGTGTTCCAGCGGTCGTTTACGATCAAGGCTAAGGCATCGGCAAGATCCGCTAGCCGTAACGTAAGACAGGTTTGTAGCGGTACTGGACCACGGCGCACAAATTCAGAGCCGCACTTCCACTCGAAGAATGGGAGCAGCGCTTCGAGATGGCGCCGTTCGAATACTGACTGGAACAGACCTATGGAGGCGCTGGCTTGGAGATAGACAATATCCATGGCTTGGATAGCCAGGTCTTTCTCATACGGGTTGTCTTGTTCGATGCATTCCTGCTTACTAGTTACGCCCTTACCACAGTTTCGGTTGTCCTTCATAGCATACCTGATCGATCCAGACCATCCGGTATCCGTTCTGTGCAGCGAACGCCACCGCTCTGTCAATGGTATCTTTCGACGCTCGTATCTCTCGGCGGGTCATGTCTTCCTCTACAACGTAGTACGGCTCATTGGGCTCTGTTCCAGCCGTCCCAAATGCCTTCGGGCTTGACCAGCAATACGAAACGGCGACGAAGTGCGAGCAATGAGAAAGCTCTGACGGTTTTGTATGACGGGGTCGGAGTCTTCGTATGCGGAAACGGGTTACTTTTCCACTGGTGGGGAACAGGGGTATGCGGCGGCAGTCATCACAGGATGCTTCCTCGATGTGGATGCACGGATCAGCGAACTCTTTCAGCTTCTGTTCCCGGGCTCTTACGTCGGGCGTTTTCTTGCGTAAGTCGTGTGCAGCGCAGATATGCCCGGCCTGGGGTCGTAGCTGCTGTGTGCATCGAGTGCATTGCCCTTTCGCAGAGATCTCGGGCTCGTCAGGCGCAGAGGCGTCGCTTCCATCATCGAACGTGAGGAATCGGAGGTTTTTTGCCCATTTTGCGGCAAAGTGGCGATGCGTTCGGTGGGTTAGGATTTCTTCCACGTTCGAGGATAGTTGGAGTCCGATGGGGTTGACTCTGGCCTCCCGGGTGTCATAAACCATTATTTCATCCATGGCTTGCTTGCGTAGGTGTAAGGTAGAATGTTTTAGCTAATTATAGCTTAGTTGTGCTTGTGGAGTACAAAAAAGGAAACAGTCGAATGTACTTATTTCTAAACAGAATTGTACTGGTTTGTTGTTAAGTGCTACAATCCGTTTTGGCCCCCACGATGTCGCTCCACTTATCAGGCTGAGTCGTTTCAGCCTCACCTTTGATGGTTTTGTGATAGGCCCAGGTTTACGCTCCGGGGCCTGCAATTGCAGATAGCAGTGGAGTTGCCACTTCAAGATAGCAACATTTTGGCTGAAGCGGCTACATTTGTCTGAAAAGGCTTGTTATTATTTTCAAAAGCCTCTCCATATTTAATGCAAGATACTTCATTGGTTCAGGATGCAGGGATGCTTCTTTTCTGTAAATTGTTGGGTACTGTAGCCATTCGACTAGAAGGCTCCATTTGATGTTGAAAGGTTTATATGGCATCGACATATCGAATCGAAAATAGTAAATAAACCCCGAAGAGAACTGATGGAATATTCCTTTAATAAACATGGATTGGAATGGGTTACGCGGACATCAAATTTTCCCGAAAAGTAGTTTTTCGATTGTATACCACAAATATATCTTTGTCGTCAGAATGTTTTAGTAGCTGCTTATTGATAAGTATTTGTTCAGCAGATTGATGTTTAGGTAGGGATACGACTCGTATCTTCGGCGAGTAACTGACCAATAGTTCGGCCACCTAAACCCACTTTTCAAACTCAGCCTATCATCAATAAGCATTAAATATTGAATGCAGCGAAAACCTAGAAAAATCCATGACTAGCTGCATTATTCGATGTCATCCGTACCACCGTTAATCACAGATCATTATCCAATCATCACTTTGTTTAACCCCATTAGCATCAAGTTAACATGATGTACGATTTATCCAACCGGATATCCTCGCTCCCGCTCCCGCTGCCAAGCCTCGCAAGAATTCTTGTGACCTTGTCCCTTGATTATTCACTGCAGGTCACCCCACTCTCGAGCTTGTACTACATTAAAAAGCCACGGGGAGTTCGCCTTCAGTCGTTATCTTTGCGCTGCCATTTCACAGTGTCGTTCATACTTTCAAAGCATTTGTATCTCAGAAATGCCACCTATCCCTTTCTCCCCCGCCCTCAGCGGCGCCGAAGTCAATAAGCCCCTTCCCGGCACCAATATCGCAGGGAAAAACGCATTGGTCACAGGTGGCGCATCCGGAATCAGTGCCGCTATTGGTCGCGTATTCGCGGAAAAAGGGTGTGCAATGCGAATATCAAGATGAAGACTACTACTAAAACATAAATTGCAGCGCATACGTTACGCTTGTCGACAGAAATGAAGAACTTGGAAACAAACTTGCCACAGAGCTGCAAGCCAAAGGGCTCCGGTAAGAACCTTTTCGCCGCCCCCTAAATTTCCAAAATCAGCGCTAACCATCGCAAAGAGTGCAGTTTGTGGCTGCAGATGTCACATCATGGGATTCACAAGTCCAAGCTTTCAAATCAGCTATCCGATTCCACCCCGCTCAAACTCTCGACATTGTAGTCTGCGGAGCCGGCATCTTTGGTGAGACCTTCGTGTACCCCGACGAACCAGATCTCAAATCGCTCGACCAAGATCCGCCACAGCCGGATATCGCAGCTTATCACGTCAATGCCATCGGCGCACATTTCACTGCCAAGCTCGCGCAGCTGTACTTCGACCTGCCCCCCCTTGCACCACCGTCAGGACAGCAGCAGCAGCAAAACTATCCGAAGTCACTGATCCTCATTTCTTCTCTCGCGTCCTACTTCGATATCCCGTTGATGTCGGAGTACGGGGCATCCAAGTTCGCTGTGCGCGGGCTTTTCCGCAATATTAAACCCGTTCTTGCAAGCCGCGGACACAGAGTCAACTTGATCGCGCCTTGGATCATCGATACCCCATTGACAGTGGACTGGATTAAGATGTTTGCTGCTGCTGGCGCGCCGCATGCGGACATGAAAGAGGCGATTACTGCGGCAATGAGGTGTACAGATGATCTTCGCGTCAATGGTAATGCTAGTTTCCTTTGTCAAGAGAGACTTTTGTTAACGTATTTTGCCAGGCCGTGCGTTTGCCATTGCGCCAGGAAGAGCGATTGATTTGTGTGATGATTTGGAGGGAGTAGATGCTGGACCGGCGATGAAGAAGTACTGGGCGGAGTTTTTGCAGGGGTGGGATGAGATTGAGACGAGGATGTTTAAGATTATGGGATTTTCCAAAAGGCTGCCAAAGCTTTGAAGCTACCGAGGGAGATATCTGATTGGCCCCTTTAGAAGATCATTCTTTTGATTGTATGCTGTAAGTCAGCCTTGTAGTTCACCGAGGTTGAAATCAGTATTACAGCATCCAGCCTTTCATCAGCGGGGCATGGAGCTCTCCAAGCCAAAGCTGGGGCAACCAAAACAAACATTCTTGGACAAAAGCCTAGCGATCAGCTATCTCGCGTGAATTATAACAGATGTGGCTGCTGACAGCACCGGTGAGTCCCACCTGTCAACCGACAATTGGCCTACCAGCCTTAGCGAAATATCTGTGAAACATAGAAACCGGTTCATTCGATGCCTCTGCAGAAAATCACTGCATGGTTCTTATTGCTTCTGCCTAGGCGCAGAAAGTAATCGTAGCATGAGGTGATCGACGCACTAGTTAAGCTGTGCCATCCCCGATCTTACCTCTTCTACTTTCCTATCTTCCGATATCCTCCCACCAAATTTACCAGCACACGAGACCAAAACCTCGCCGTTCAGATCCTATTAACCTTACATTTCGGCCACGTTCAGTCTAGATGGAAGCGTTTGAAGAGGCTCGAGATGAATTTCTCTCCAAACTCTCAGCCGCGGATCGAAATCTGTTGGATAAGTGCGACACAGCGGAGGCACTAAGGCTCGACTTGGTATCACTCGAGGAACAAGACAGAAACAACAACAGGCGCCGCCAGATCCTTGAAAAAATGAATCCTTTCTTCCGAGCTGTTGACGACTACTCAAAAGCGATTGATATATTTTCAAGTGCTAAGCCGGAGATTCTTGGCCCAATTTGGGGTAGTGCTCGCTTGCTTCTTCAAGTACGTTAGAGTTAACAGGGTGCGCACTTCTTCCACTTACTTGGTCCCAGATTGTATCTGAGTATTCCAAGTTCTTCGAAAAAGTCGTCTCTATGCTGCAGGATCTTTCTATACAGTTCGATCGCTTTGCAGTACACGCTCAGCTATATCCGTCCAAATCCCATCCGCGGTTTCACGGAAGCCTCGTCCGCGCATATTCCACTTTCCTGGACGTGAGCTTGGAAGCGAAAAAACTTTTTGGTGACAAGTCGGCGAAAAAGGGTATTCAACTCCTTTCGAAGATGTAATCTACAAAATATTCTAAGCTACGTGTTTAGGGCTCACAGGCGGTTTCGCTCAAAAATCGTCCCGAAAGCTATTGAAGCAAGGCTTTCTTGACGCAAAAACTAAACTGGAACACTTAGTCAATGAAGTTACCCAAGAGTATGACATCGCTGAGAAGATAGAATCTTCCGTGTTTAGAACGGAGGTTCGGACTAAAATAAAGCGTAAGCCAAGTATTCTATTGTTTATATTTTATCATAACCTTCTTATGTTCCCTTATAATGTGAGTAAATTTTTATCTAATTCAACTGCTTATACTTTATCCAGGTGACATGAATCGAGAGTTGTTTAAATGGCTGGATGAGGTCGATGTGAAAACCCGCCTTGACTATTTGGCAAGCGTCCATGAGCCTGGGACTGGATCTTGGCTTGTACAAGAGGACTTCTTCAGAAGCTGGACCCAGAAGACGAATGCAGCTCTTTGGCTTCATGCAAAACGTAGGTAAATGTAATTCCTGCTAAAGAAATTATTACTAACGTCATGCCTAGCCGGAGCCGGTAAAAGTGTTATGGCGTAAGACAACCGTTTATCAGAGTGTAGAGTTTTGCTAACAACTTATAGATACACTGTCATCCAACACTTGCGACAAACGCATCACACAACTAACTCGACTATCATGTACTATTTTTGTGACTACAAGAATATCAAGTCGCAGTCAGCAAGGAAAGTTTTTCAGACAATACTTGCTAATCTCTGCCAACAGTGTCTTGAAGCCCAAGAAATCGTGGAAAGCCTCTTTCAGAGGTATCGCGGACGAAACCTGGTATGTCCGGTCGGAACGTTGCGGGACACTTTGAGATCATGCTTGCTTCGCCTTCCAAAGTCATTCATTGTGATTGACGCACTTGATGAATGTTCGGAGCCAGAGGAGCTTCTCGAGAAACTTCAACCTCTCCTTGATGGACAACTGGGCCTGAACCTGTTTCTTACATCTCGAAAATTGGATAACATCTCCTCTTATATGAACCATCCACGGATTCAGCAATGCTCACTAGCAGCTGAAAGTCATTCGAAAGATATCTCCTGCTACGTCAAAGCGCAACTGGATAATCGCCTTCGGAAAAACAAGGAAAAATTATGGGATCAGAAACTTCGAGTCCAAATAGAGGAGGAACTCTGTTCTAAGGCCGACGGAATGTAAGCACCATTTAGTCTAATCATCACTTCATTTAGCTGACCGTTACAGGTTTCAATGGGTGAACTGTCAGATTGATGCTTTGTCGAAATGCATCAGTGACAAGCAGATTCTAGCGAAGCTAAAGACTCTACCTGCTAGTCTCGACGAGACATATGTCCGAGCACTTGAGGGGCTCTGCCGGGAGTTCCCAGACGAAAGACCATCACTACGCTGCTTTTTCTTCTGGCTAGTTCACGCACTGAGGCCTTTAAAGATATCGGAACTTTCATGCACCATGGCTTTTGATGCCGAAACAAAACGCCACGATTTCCATGCTGTTCCGGCAGACCCAGGAGACGTTCTTCAATATTCTGCAGGACTTTTTGGCCTTACTGATACCGATGGCACTGTCGGACTTTGCCACTACTCCGTCAAAGAATTCTTGACATCAGAAAAGATCAAGGCAACCAGTGTCAGCGACTTTTTTGCTGGTGACGCGAAAAGCCAACTTCAAGTATTGGACACTTGCTTTTCTCTGCTATGTGAAGAGGAACTCAGCACTGGCCAATGCTGGACTATAAAGGCGTTACGTCTTAGAAAAGAGGACTATCCATTACTGGAATATGCTGCTTATCATTGGTTGGGGCATTACAAACTAGTCGAGGAAAACATTAATAGCGATCTGGAACAACGAATTCTAGCTTTCTTCACCGAGGTCAAGTACCAAGGAAACTTGCTTGCATGGCAGCAGGTTAGCCCTCGATGGTTCACGGGCCAACGGTTCTGGAAAACTTGCGTAGTGAAAAAGACCCGCCTCTGCAACCCCATTTGCCATGCAGCCCAACACGGAATTTGGCGGCTTACCAAGCAGTTGATCGATAAAGGTTACGATGTCGGTGGCGACAAAGAGGATTCTCCAATTCAGGTCGCCATGTCCCATTTCGCACCAGATGTGCCGTACGTAGAAAAACTTGCAGAGATTCTCTCCTCCACGCAGGAAGGACGTAGCGGAGGGCAACTAGCATACTTCTTAACCACGAGCGGCGGCATTGAGCACCTTTCACTTTTGAAAAAGCTCATTGCCAACGGTGCCAGTCTGGAATATCGACCACAGTATCCCCGGAACTCTTCGACGGTTCTCGAACTGATTGCCACGAACACTATAGATTCTAGTGAGATGATTGAGTTTGTTGCCGGCTTCGCAAAGGATATCAATGAAGCGGATATTTTCAAGGTTGAGCATTCTGAAGGTCGACGTCTCCCTCCCGGACCACCGCTCCAGCAAGCTTGTTTCCGAGGAAATATAAATATCGCCCGCACGCTCATAGATCTTGGTGCTGATCTGGAATTTTCGGCCTGCGAGCTCGGAACACCGCTTCAAGCCGCCGCACGCGGAAAACAAAAAAGCATTGTAAACATGCTCTTGGAGCAAGGATGCAGTCCTAACACCCGAGGTGGTGTCCTGGGAACCCCTCTCCAGGCAGCTGCCTGGGTGGGTGATATTCCCATTGTGAAGATTCTCCTCGATCAGTCGGCGGATATCAATGCTAGTGGAGGCATTTTTGACGACGCTCTCACTGCTGCTATGGCGAAAAAGAACTCTGCCCTTGTAGAAATCTTTCTTAGCAATGGCGCTGAGTTCAGAGGCCATCCTTGGGCAGGTGTTGAGGCTCGAAAGAAATGGCAGTTCCGATTAAGCGGATACGACGGAAGTATGGACGAATACTTTGGAGAAGACTTTGTCAAAAACCACCCAACACACAACGAAGATTGCCTGCTTTTTGTACATTCTCCACTGGACTGGGCAATCTACCAAGATGATTTTTCGACTATCAAGCGCCTATTGGATTTAGGCATTGATTTGAATTATCCGGAAGGCCCTTGTGCGATAGGGTCTGAGAATGTTCAAGATCAGCAGCATCCACTATGCGTTGCCATATCGGAGAAAAGGCCAATTGTCATCGAATACCTGCTTCATGAAGGAGCGAGCTTTTCACACGTCATAGACTGTTCCTGTTCATTCCGGAAGTTGGTCGAACTTGGGAATCCATCCTACTTTCAAATGATTCTCGACTTTTATGACGATGAAACCGTTCTTGCGGATCGGCTCCTCGAAGCGCTACATTCGAGCATCGATGAAGATATTACGAAGAGGGCGATCAGTACCATCAGAACTAAAGGCATTCAATATAATCCGGCAAGGCTAGGTTCTGTTTGGTCCTCTGCAGTACGTCAAGACGATTTGCTGAAAGCAGAATTCCTACTGGAGATGAACGCGACCCCGGAGAACAATTATGAAGCTGTCCAGCTTGGTCATTCCAAATCTAAAGGTTGTTGTGGGGTCCTAGCAAGCGCCATTATGAATCATTCAACTAAAGTCACGAACCGTCTACTGGAGTATGGCCGCGGCTTGGAAATCAGCTACCAATGGATAACCCCGTTGCTTGCGGCCCTGAGAAAAAACAACATCAACGTATTCAGACGCCTATTAGATCTTGGTGCATCGCCTAACCTAATGAGAGTCAGGGATAATCCCTACGGATGTGGGAATGCACTACATTCAGCTTTGCATGTCCTCGACAATACATTCATCCGCCTTCTACTATCAGCTGGTGCTGATGTCAACGTGCGTTGCAATTACTGCCCAACAGCCCTATGGGCTGCGGTAAAAATGAAAAAAACAGAAGCTATCCTACTCCTAGCAGAGAACGGCGCTGACATTAATTCACCAAATCAATATGGAATGACTCCGATCCAATGGGCGCTTAAAACTCACCGGGCAGATGCATACGATGCTTTGAAGTCCTTGCATCAAGCTGCAGAAAGTCCCGAAAATCCCCTAACACCTTCTACAAACCAATGGCTACAAAAATCTGTCAAAGATTTTTGCCAGATGTTTTCTTCGGGTACATGTAGAAACCAGGGAAAGTTTTGGAAAATACTCGGAAAGTGTCCTTGGCAATGATTCGACCAACGCCAGGCTGGCTTTAGAGCAGGCCGTGTCTATACGCCGCTTACAAGATGGCACACTTTCAGTGAGCCCCTGGTGGAAATGTGATAGCTGCAGTGGAATTTGTTCCCCTGAGGGAAACTCTCTCTGCATTGACTCCGACATTTGCCACATCAGATGCAAATATTGCACGCAGGAACATCAAAATGAACTTAGAGATGAAGAGACAAAAGATGCACACCACATACTGAAGGTCCTGAGAGAAGGTTTTCTGGACGTTTCTACCAAATTTGCCGTACTTGACGTTACTCTCCCCGTTTGGCTAGAGAACCTCGCAGCAAACTGGACACCGAAGGACATGTAGAGGAGCAGGGTCCCTCAAGGACGTTGGCCCGTCTGGAAAGAGAGAAAAGCGGAAGGAAAGTTTACTGAACCGCAACAATAACAACGACTTGGTTTTCGAAGAAGGATGCTTTTCAATATTTCTTTATACCGGAATACCTACCAAATTAGAAACAAAGAACGGCAGGCGCAATCGTCGGGACAGGCGTTATTTGGCAATTCGGTTCATCTCACCAAGCATACTAAAAAGCAATCAATCAAAACCAAACATTTTCCCATCTTACGCTCCATAAATCTCTCATGAAATGTACAGTCCCTGTAAGCAGCAAGCTGCTCGTACTGCGCCAAGCAACCCCGCAGTGGCCCAAAAGATAAGGAGACGAGAGCGGTTCGTAATCGACTATCTGGCTTGACATACCTACCTATGAAGCGTGTCGCATAGGGACGAAAGTCCTCACAGTCCTATCCCAAAGAAAACCGTAAAATAACAGTAGCATCCTTACCATCCCTATCATTTCCACGTGGTTCCGAAAGCTAAACACCACAACACCATCAAATCCCCGATATCACCACCACGACACACCACGCCGACCCGGAGACTCTTTAGGCAGCAGCTAAAATTACACCCCCTACCCCATCGACACCCTAACTAAGCGTACACAGACTAACGGCAGCTTAAAATTACTAACTAGCATAGGGCAACATCTCCATATCGGATAGGCTAATTTTCCGCTACATACGCTAACTCTTATACCAACGAATACATTACGCAGAACAGCCGCATAGCACAGCCAAACCGTCTTACCAACACTACTAGAAACCGATTTAATAGTTAAGGCCTTTAGCCTTATCAATCCCATATACGCCTAATCCACTCGCCAAAGAATCTATTACGCATAAAACCGTACCCAGCACCAGCAAAAACCCTCACAAACACTACCGCCACCACTACTACCGGCACAACGCAATACGCCGCCCCCCACCCCACTAAACAGCCAAATCCCACAACGCCACCAAGCCACCACGCAGTTAACACCAACAAGCCTTTCCTCTCCACAAAACCACGCGCATAACCCTCACCGCATCAACCGCACTAACCGCACTAAAACACATTCACCGGCGCATCAACCTCACCAAACCCTCATCCCCCAACCCACAAACACAAACCACAACCCCTACATCTACGTCTCCCAAAAACCAACGACACATACCAAAAAAAAAAAAAACCCTCCCCTCCCCCCATTCTCACGAACCCGCCCCCCTCAAGATCCCTCCCAGCACACCCCCCTGCCCAACCCCCATAACCGCACCCAGCCTCTCCAGCGCCCGTATCACCCACCTCTTCGTCTCGCTCCCCGTCGCATCCAAACTTCCGACCAGGAACAGCGTCCACAGCAGCATCATGCTGCCCTGGCTGCGCACGAGCGGGAGGTGCGCGAGTGGTGTTTCTGTTCGCGGGGGTGGGAAGGGGGGCGGGGAGGAGGGGGTAGAAACGGAGGGGAAGGTGGTGGATGATGTGGGGGTGGGGTTTATTGGGGGGGAGGGGGAGGGGTTTGTGGGTGTATGTGATGGGGGGGATGAGGGGATAGGAAAAGGTGACGGGACGGTAGAAGCGGCGTACCCGTCCTCGAAGTCCGAGAACCAGTGTGTGCCCGGCACGGGCAGATCATCGAGCGTCAGCTCCCTGTAGGCAGACCCCTCCCCCACAGCACCAACACCACCAGCAAACAGGCGTTCCCGCCACGCCCTCGCGCTCACATACCCGACATGGCAGGGCACGCTCCTCAGCACGTCCCTAACCAATTCCTGCACCACGCCCTCTCGCTCCGCAAACAGCCTAGCCATATTTACGCCCTCCTCGCCCCCGAACGCGGGCGGAGAGCCCCCCAGCCCAGCTAGTAGTGCTTGCCGCAGCATCCCATGCAGCAGCAGACGGCAGCAGCGCATGCTGTTCCAGAGCTGCGCGAGCCAGAACCCGGGGTACGTGTGGTAGGCGGCTGTGGGGCAGACGTCGGGGTCTGCGGCTGGTGGGAAGACGGGGTGGGTCGTGTATGCGAAGGAGGGGGGGAGGGAGGCTATGAGGGAGAGGATGAGGCCGTCGAGGTGGAGGGCCCGGGTTATCGTTGTGTGAGGGTCGAGTGGGGTGGTGGTGTTGGAAGCAGAGGGCGAGGCGTTTAGCCACTCGGCCCTGAAATCCGCGACCTGCACCATGATCTCCCTCAGGCGGTAGAACGGATGGCTGCGCTCGAGCTGACCCTCCTCGCTCGCCAGGTCCATGAGGCGTTTAATCGGCGCCGGGAACGGGATATCGCGCTGGATGCAGCTGATGAGCAAACTGCTCGTGATCTGCATGAACATGCGCCTCCCCACCGCCGTCTCCAGCTGTCTCTTCCCTCGCAAACTCACCAACGCGCTCGCGCCTTTAATGTGTTGTTCCCACGCCTGCAGGGACGCCTTGGTCCGCCCCGTCAGCGACTCGAACAACCCCAGGATAATCACCGCCAGCAGCGAACTGTCCCGCGTCGCGACGGCGGCGTCGCGCAGCGCGCCGTTGGTGGCGTGGATCGCGTCCGTGTAGCGCTGGGTCGCGAGGCGCGCGAAGGCGGGGTTCCCGCTGTGCCGTGCGAGCCCGTATAGTCCGACTGCCAACATGCTGGTGTACAGGTGCGTGTCGATGCCGCTGGCCCAGAGGTCCGTGTCGGGGCCTGCGGCGGCGACGACGCCGTGCGCGTTGTTGTGAGCGTTGCTGCTGGCGCTGAAGGCGACGTGGTTGCAGAAGTTGGCGAAGAAGAAGCCGGCGGCGAGGTCGTCAGGCGTAGGTGTTAGGGCGTAGTGGATCGAGGGGCCTTCCTGCGGCAGGAACAGCTGTCTCGGGTCGATGAAGCCGGTGGCATATTCGGCTGCTGGGAACGCGTCTCGGTGGACCAACAGCGACGTCTCGGTCTGAAACTCAGTGTCTGGTACGTCGACGAACGTATCCACTGGACCCGCCGTGACGATCTCCCCAGACGAGTAATCAGGCGATGCCCCAGCCGACGAAACAGGCGAAAACCCGCTGCCAACACTCCCGCCGGCCCGGCCCGTCCCACGCACTCGGCGCTCGACCTTGGCGCTCTCATGCCGGAACAGCACCTGTCCGAGATCGCGGTAGCCGGGACAGGTCCGCTTCGCCTTGGCGCACTGTCCGCAGCCGGCCGGGAGCTGCGTCTTGTCGCACTGCGCGCATACTCTGTCAATCAAGAGGCCCGGCTATGAAGGTTGTTGTATTTGCTAGGTAGGTAGTGGGGGTAAGCGTGGTGACGCACCCTTATCTTCCTCTTCCGGCAAGCCTCGCAGCCGCGGCTGGGCGCGCCACAGAAAACCATTGTCGCGGTGGGCGGCGGTCACGTTGGCCACGTTGGTTACGGCAGCTACGTCGGTCGACACTACTGCAAGTCGCGGCAGACAGTAAAATTGGCGGCGGACGAAGAAGACCGCCTCGGCGTGACGTTGAGGTCAGTGGATGGGGGCCGTTTGGGCTGGCTAGCCGAATAAGGGAATGTAGTGAGGCTGTGCGGGGGCGGTGCGGCAGCGCGCGCTTTGCCGTTTTGGGGCGCGCTGTGCGATCCAATCAGAGGGCGAGGATTCGGAGGGACGGTCGGATGCCTAGGGATTTGCTGAATACCGGAAAAGTGAGTAGGGTTCTGGTGTTTGACGTTGATTGATCACTCATTAAAGCTATTGCAGGCAGATCTTGCCTTAGTCACTGCCTTTGTTTCTCCAGCCTGTTTTTTATGTGCAAACCCAAGTTCCTAAGGAATTAGTTCCTTGTAAAAGCCCATTGTCCTAGAGATTTGTAGTCTAAGATTCCCACTCACGCTCCCTCCACATCGCCTTCAAGCGATCCTTCGCCTGCAACTCCCAATCTCGACAAACATCATCAAAGCTCAGCTCCAAGCACCGAAGGCAAGGCGTCACGAGCGATCTTTCGCGCAAAAACCGCTCCAATACATCCAGCGTACCCGACTTATACCAAGACCAGTCGTTCGGGCCGTAATTATCGTCTCTCACGCAGAGTTTTTCCAAGCGGCTCGGAAGCGTCTCCGCAAGTCCCATCTCACCTACGCTCCAGGGCCTCAAGCCCAGCAACAGCGGCAGCGAAATTTCGAGACTGCGCAAGGTGCTGTAACGAGTCCAGCTGGTCCCTGCATTCCTCCAAACCCAGCGTCATGGTACCCGGGCCAGATTCGTCCCGCCGGACCGCGATAACCAGCTCTTGCAGCGACGGCGGCAAGCCCTGCCGCAGTTGAGGGCCGTTGACACCCCCAAAGTCGGACCAGTGTTCATAGTGCAGCGTCTGAAGGTTCGGGGTGGTTGAGAGGAGGTCGCAGAGTGCATGCTCGCCGATGAGGCTCTTCTCTAGCCGCAGAGAGGTGAGGCTGGCTGCAGTGGGGACGTTGGCGGGCCATTTTAAGGGCCGGCCCGGTGGCATCATGTCGTTCTTTAATACTATGGCCTGGATGTTCGGGGTGTAGAGGAATGGAAGTGCCCGCTCGGTCATGACGAGGGTGTTCGCGTCGTAGTGGGAGACGGGACAATCAGTGCCCAGGACGACTTTCTTCAGCTTCGAGAATCGTAGGGTGCGACCAGTGGGAGTGTCCGGCACGGCGGTGCAGTCCAGCATGGGGCCAATGAACTCGTAATATCTATACTCTCTCTATTCAGTTAACGCTGGCGGCACGCAACGGACTTGCTGGAATTCTGCGCCAAGGGTGAGAGTTCCCAGGTTGCTAGCCAAGTAGACTAGCAGCGCCGCTCAGGGTTCGACATCGTCCAGCCGGTGCCGGACGGTGGGCGGTCTTGGCAGCCAGCTGCAGCCCACCGTCCTTCACCGTCCCGTTAACTAAATAGGCTGAAAACTGTCGTCTGACGGCAGCCGGGCTGAACAGGGCGGTTTGGTGAGAATTAACTTTAAAAAAAGGCATGGTGTTGAGGAAAGGGGTTCGCTTACAGGCGGGCACGAACTAGGGCACGTACCAAGACCGCCGTACTAGGCTAAATAAGGTAACTATTACCCTACAAATTACCCCTTTACATAGCTACAGCTTGCTACCGTCTTGAAGGAGTTTTTTACTTTTTTATTTACTGATCGGACCACCAATAGGCTGGACCGTGTCGAACCCTGGCGCCGCTGTGGCGTCTGTGTCTCCTCTGCCGAGCTGGACATCCCAAAAATCGGCAACTGGAAGCTGGGCTTTGCGGACGAGCTCGGATGCGAGCTCCAATTCGGGCTCATGTAGCAGTGGTCCGTCAGCAGGTCTTGAAAATCCCCATGGGTAGTTTATGGCCGTGCAACTAATGTGGTGGACTAGGCATGCTAGCTCTGGGCGATGAAGTATTGTCCGCAGAAGGAGGCTGATGCGAGGATTTGACTCTGGTCTTTCGTCATCCCATGTTTCGATGATTGCGCGGTACAGACGGGGTTCGGCGTGGTAGCGGAAGTCTTTGCAGGTGAGGATGAGATGGCGCAGCTCTGGTTTGTCAAGGTGGTCCAGAATTAGGTCAAAGAGCTCTACTGGCAGGCATGAGGTGTCGCTCGTGTTGACGAAAAGCCGGCCGATGCGGGTGGTGAAGGAAGTTGAGGTAAGGGTAGTCAATGTCGCACAGAAATAGACGCGATGTGTAGATAGGCAGCGAAGAGAGTTGCATCACTTCAACGTCTTGGCCACGACAACAAACAAGAAACCCCGAGAACTCCGTGACATGATTTCGAAAGCAAGGCAGTCGCGAACCACTCGGTTGGTAGCCGAGGAATGTAGCTTCTTATATAACACCTCGAATCTTCCCTGCCTCACTCTCTCGCCTACCAGCATTTGCAAGCTTGAATAGCCTATTAAACACATTACATCATGACTCCGACAATGGGAAAGCATTTGGCAAGGCTCCTAGTGAGCATCTCGCTCTCCACTTCCCTCGTTTTTGCCCTACCTCAACCTCAACCCACATCTCAATCGCAGACCCTCCTCTCCGACTGGTTCGATCCGTTCAACTTCTCATCCATCACCAAAATCGCCGCCATCGGGGACTCGTACTCCACCGGCCTCGGCGCGGGCGTCCCCCTCAACAGCCTTAACGCACAATCCTGCCGGCGCTACGACCACGCCTACCCCGTCCTCGTCACCCAACATCCCGCATTCGCCTACAGGTTGCCACCAGATTTCCAATTCCTGTCATGCTCGGGCGCACTAGTGAAAGATGTCCTTGATGAGCAAGCGCGCAAGCTCGACGCTGGTCAGGACGTCATCGTGGTGTCTGCGGGTGGCAATGACGCCCTGCTCGTTGACGTGCTGAACCAGTGCGTGTTCCAGAATTTTGCGCCGACGAAGGAGGCGGTGCGGGAGATGGCGAAGAGTCCGGTAGGTTCGCTGATTCCGGACTTGATGAGGTATGCGAGAACTTGTGAGGAGATGCTTGATGCTTCGGAGAAAGCGATTGAGAGTGCGGGTTTCAAGGATGAGTTGGACGCTTTGCTTGATGTGGCGGTGAGTAAGTTGAGTGAGAATGGCCAGGTTTACTATACGGGGTAAGTGATAGCTCTAATGAGAGTTTGGTTTGCGGATCGCGCAACTAATGGTGTTTAGGTACGCGAAGTTTTGGTCGGGCGAGATGGCCGAAGATGACCAGTGTAGCGGAGTTAGCTGGTCTGTTTTCTTGTCGGTAAGGAGAGGCTGGACAAAACGATGGCCATGACGTGCTTACAATTCGGACAGAACGCGGGCAGGCGGGACTTCCAGACGCCGATCAAACTCACCGTTGCGCACAGAAAGCGCATGAATGACCTCGTTGCCAAAATGAACAAGAAAATCGCAGACGCGGTAAAAAAACACAGCGACAAAGCCACGTTTGTGGACTACGACCAATGTTTTGACGACAACAAAGGACGATTCTGCGAGCCGGGGGTTACAGAACCAGACACTAAAAGGCAAGAACCATATATGTGTGGGAAAATGTAAAGCTAAAATACACTAGGTCCGGTCTTAAGTTCTACGAGCTCGATATCAGTGACCCTTTCGGCACGATCCCTCTCAAGCGAAGTGACAGTGACAGCACCAACATTCACCCCAACACCTTCGACGACGCCATGAACCAACTCGCGCACTATGCACTCTTAGCCGGCTCAACTATCAAGCACGAACCCCAACCTCACGGCATCAACGCCGTCGGCTCCAGCGAAATCACAAACATAGACGCAAAGCTCCCGAATCTGCACCCCCCCGGCTACAGCCGTGCCTTCCACCCGCAGATCCCCGGCCACCAAGCCATCGCCAACGTCATCGTGGCCAAAATCGCCGAGCATAACGCGAGAGTCTACGCCATACCCATCAACGAGCACAGCACGAGCGACACGTGCTCTCTGACCAATATCGCGCGCCTCAAGCCCACCCAGTACTACTGCGACCTCAACCAGACGTCGGGATTGCCGTTCAACGTCTTCAGCGGGATGTACGACCGCTTCTGCGCGGAATTACCCCCTTACGGCGACTCCTGGACCGTTGACAGCCGGGGCTTCAAAGTGAATAACACGGTGCATCCTGGGCATGGGGTCGTGAAGAGGGGAATGTTGACCCCGCCGCCGAACCCTAGCTTGTATGAGGGGTACCGCACGACTTTGCAGCTTGCACGCGGTGAGAACGGCCTCGAGTGCACTAAGAACTGTAGCGAGGCTTTTGCGTTCTTGGTCGATAGTCCTTGTAAGTGCGCTGTGGTTGTGGATGGAAGTTTGTGCTAATGCTGGGTGTGTTGTGCTAGGCGGTCATACTGGCGCTCAGCAGAATGTTATGGCACTGACGGGGAGGGTTTTTGATGACTGTGGTACGTACGAATACAGAATTACGCCGCCATAGGGGTATTGGGTGGCAAGGTGCTCATTGCGCAAGGTAGGGGGGCGGTCAAGTACGGAAGGGGTGGATGGGAAATGCCCTCGCAAAAACAATGGGTATAGAAGCTAGAAACAACCAAACAATGGCAACGCTACGCCCAAAGATCCCTGTAATAAGCGCTCTACTTCCCCCCCTCCCCCACCTTCAACCCCACCCCCACGCCCAAAAACGCCACAACGACGACCGCCTCCGGCAACAACGCCATGCACAAAAACGCCGTCGCACCCCCTCCAACCGTCTTACAAGCCTCGACCCCGCCCAACACGCCCAGCGCAAGATACAGCGAGCGCACGAACAAAAACGGCAGCGCCACCCCAACCGCGCACAGCACCCTTCTCTCGGCCTTGTCGACGCTCTGGCGCTCCCGTGCCACAACGCCCGCCGCCACAACCACGCCCGCAAAGCCAACAAGATACAACACGGCGGCGGCGCGGTACGGGGAGCCGTAGTGCGGCTCCGCGGCCAGCACGTCGGCGCGGCTCAAGCGCGCGTTGCCCACGGTCGCGCAGACCATGGCGGCCGTGACGAGCGCTTCGAGGAGGCAGAGGGCGGTCGCGACGCTTGGCCTCTTTCCTGCTGCTTGGCCTTGGGCGGGTCGGGGTCCCTCATCAAGCGCGCGCATGTGGCGCCTCAGCAGCCCCAGCGCCGCAAACAGCAGCGGGGACAGGCCGTCGACGGCCAGGGTTGCGGCGGCGACGCGCAAGGCCGCGTTGGCGCGGTGGCGGTGCGCCAGGGTTGCGAGCTGCAGGCTTGCATACGCGAGCCGCGACAAGCTGAACAGGAACAGCGAGAACCACGTCTCGTAGCTGGCGCGCGGGCCGTGGCGGCGCATTAGGAGGGCTGAGACGGCGAGCGCTGGTGTGTGGATTGTCAGGAGCGGGATGCTGAGGGCTTGCGTGTAGGTTAGGGCTGGCATGGCGGGTTTGCGCGTGCGAGCGTGGATCCGTGGGTGCGTGCGTGCGTGGGTGCGTCGTGTAGTGATAGTGATAGTGCAGTGCAGTGTAGTGTAGGGTACCTACTACCTAGGGTGCCTAGTGTGGTATAGGGTGGTGCCTAAGGGTAGGGTACAGGTGGGGGCCGCGATCGACAACGTCAACAGGATTCCAGCACTATTTTTACACGGGAGGATGGAGATAAGCTACGTGGATGTGGGTCAGCGGAGCTGCGTTAAGATATATGCAGTAAACAGAGCGTTTGAGGCCCCGTCAGCCCGATCGGCGCTAGGCCGCTTCAGGGCACAGGTGCTCGCAGTGCTAGCCCCGATCGGGGTGACCAGTGCGAGCTCCACCAGCGCCTTAGCCCGCCAGGCCTCGCGATGCGCGTCGTTTTTTGGCGACGACGACAACGCTGGCGGATGCGATTGGGGGCGCAGCCAGAGCGACGGTGAGAGCTTTGCTGCTGCTGAGCCCCCGGCTTGCGGTCTATAAATCGATTGCGCCCTTGGCAGCTTGGCTCTGCTCATCATCAGCATCTGCATCTGCATCGGCGAGAGATCTTCTGCTTTGACTCGACTTACTCTTCTCGAACAATTCTCCGATCTCCTTGAGCGATACCTCACCTCGCCACTGCAACCCCACCGATTTACCTACCTACCGGGCACGCCTCCCCCACCTCCACCTCCACACACCATGACGCTCTCCTACCGCTCCGGCGTCTCCGTCGCCCTCATACTCCTCTACGTCCCGGCCCTCCTCATCGCCATATTTCTCACCGTGCGCCACGGCCTCAAACGCTCCTCAGGCTGGCGCTTCATGGTCATCTTCTCGCTGGCACGCCTCCTCGCCGCCTCCTTCCAACTAGCCACCATCGCGCACCCCACCAACGTCTCGCTCTACGTCGGCGAGTGGGTGCTCCTAGGCATAGCGCTCTCGCCACTCGAGCTGGCGGCGCTCGGCCTCCTCAGCCGCATCCTCGAGAGCATCAACAAGTCGCGCCCCACGCTCGTCACGCCCAAGCATATGCGCCTCGTGCAGCTCATGAACACGGCTGGCGCGGTTCTGGGCATTGCCGGCGGCATCAGGGCCGGCCATAACAACGACAACGGCGTCGTTGTCGCGCCAACGATCTCAAAGGTCGGCGTCGCCCTGTTCATCGCGTCGTTTTGCTGCATTGTCGTCGCCGCTGTCGTCACCTGGCCTAGCGTGGCGTATGCCGAGAAGGGCGAGAAGAGGCTGCTCTGTGCGATTGGTGCTGCTACGCCGTTTTTCCTTGTGCGCGTTATCTACACCGCCATGAGCTGTTTTGACTCGAAGAAAGAGTTCAACCCCGTCATGGGCGACATGGATCTGTTGCTGGGCATGGCGCTGATCATGGAGTTGGTTATTGTCTGTATTTTTGAGGGCGTGGGGTTGACTTTGAAGAAGCTTCCGAAGGTGGAGAAGATCCCGCAGGAGGAGGAGGCAGATATGGCTTAAAAATGTTGGTGCTGTGTGTTTGTGAACTTTTTGAAATAGACTGGATGAAGAAATTATTTTTTCCCTTTTAGATTTAAACGAATACTGTGTTTTATCAATAATTTCGATGCCTCAATGGTAAGACTCAGACGGCATACAGGCCGACCGAGCAGTGCAGCATACATCTCACCTCAGCCTTTATATGTCCCATGAATGCCCTGAAACGACAGAAGCACCCACATCGTGTAGGAATCCAAAATAGCCTACCGGTGGCCAAGATCCGAATCTTCGTCCGAGCTGGACAACCATCCCCACATATCACCTCCAGTCCGCGGGGAAGCGCAATGCAGTGCACTCGCGGCCGTCCCACAAGCGTCGCACCGCACAACAACGCAACAGCACGACGACCCTGACGCGGCCCTGACGCATCCTCTTGACCTCCACACACATATCTCTCCCGTTAACCAGACGCCACCATCTCTCCCGCGCTCTTGTCCACTCAAAGCCCTCGCCCCAGTGTATGCACCACTCCGCGCCCCGTAACCCGATCCCATACCTGGCTCGTCGCCTGCTCTTTCCAAACGGGTGCTCCACGCGCCGTCTCAACTGTGCAAGCAACTCCTCGTTTGCGTATGCGCAGAGGCGCACAAAGCCTTGCGCCGTCAGAGCAGGCGATCGGTCGGCTCGGGAGCGGGGAGGGGTCGGCACGGCGGGGCCGGTACATGGAAGCGTCGGGTGTCTTTGGCGCGAATCGGGACAGGAGTGAGGGTCTGGTCTGGTGGGAGCGAGGAGCGATGCGGTAGGGTCGGGTGCTGTGGTGAGGGGTTTGGAGAGTCAACTTGGGCAGTGTGCCTGAGATGGAAGGCGCGCGGCTGATTCTCGGGCCAATTTCTCCGCACGCCAGGATGCGTCATTTCCATTTTCATGTCGCGCACCAGATGGAAAACTACCTACACACCCCATTGTCAACCTCCTCAGCAGCAGCGATTGCTACGCGCGATTGCTACGCGTGCCTCAGCCACGCCTAGACTGACTCCTTAGCCTCATCGCACCGCATCCAACCGCACCAAATGTCCGCAAGAACGGCAGCGGCATCACCAGCCAAGCGCGACAACCGTCGACCGTCGATGGTTCAACAGCAGGACCGGGACGGGAACATGCGCGCGCGGCGATGAAAGAGACGGGACAACAGGGCGAGCATAAGCACTCCAAGAGTCCGTTACGTGCGCTGGATTGCTGCCATGGGAGCTCGAGAAGCACGCAGTCGCGTCGCTTTCGTCGGGCGGATCGCGCGTCTTGGAGACGTGAGTACAGTGATGCAATGTCAGGAGATGCATCGAATCGGTCCGCACTGCGGTGGACCCTAAGGACGGATCGTCCCGTACCGCTCGGCGTGTGGAGACCACGAACATCACCGCTTGTGTTCATGGGCAACATGTTGAGAGACAATGGGTTCAAGCAGCCCGAGTCAGGCTGTCATGCTATCCTATCTCCCTACACGTTTTGTTGTGGACTATGAGGACCTCTCTGATGACTAATAATACCTTATAGAATATTGTTTAACCGTTCTACATCCATAAAGATCTCCGAAACGGACTGGAAACCAAACACAAAATGCATTCACACAATGGGTATTTCACCAACGCTCCTGCCACCAAAAGCTCGCCCATCTATTCTTCCAAATCCAGGCTCTGCAGCCCCTCAACAACCTCTATCCTCTTCCTCAGCACCCGCATAGGCACAAAATGCAGGAACAAAAACTCATCGTCCGCATTCGGGGGCAGCGGAGCCCCCCTCATCCTCAGCTCCTTTATCCACTTGTTAACATTCCTAAACCACACCCCGCCGTATTCCTTCGCGTCCTCCATGGTAATCAAGACCTGATTAAGCGCTACGCTCTCGCGGCCCTCACTCACACGACGCAGCGCCTCCGTCTTCGCCGCCTCCTTGCTGTACACGGAGACGAGCGGCGACGCGGCCTCGTCCTCCCGGCTGAGATGGCGCGTGAGGAAGCCGGCCGTGTGTTTCCGCTCTGCGCGGCAGGTCGGATACAGTTTGACGAAGGCGTGCGACGCCGCCACGATGCCTTTCCCGCTTACGAACCGTGCGGGCGACGTGGAGTCTTCCACGTGCCACCCCTCGAAGAGAATGTTTTGCGCCCGCAGCCGCTGGATGTGGTAGAACGTGGGTGAGAGTGTTTTTGCGAGGCTCAGCGTGCGGTTCCTGCGCTTGGGTTAGCATGGCGCTTCCGGCTGGCGCAAGGGCGGAGACGCAGGTAGGTATGTACATTGCGGAATTCCCGGTCCTGCGAGCGGGGTCAATTGCCGCGCGACGGCGTGTAAGCGGACCGGAGACTGCGGCGCGAAAGATGCGTATGGTGGCTTTCGGTAGCAGCGCGCGAAGACACACTGGAGTGGAGGCATAGAAGGGCGGAGCGGGAGAGCCCCGCGCGCGCGTATCCGACGTTATATAGCGGGCTTGTTGGGAGCCCCGTGACTCGGCTTGGCCGTGCTTGCTATGCGGGGTTGCAGGGCGCGGCCGCGCGGTAGCCAGTCAAGGTGGGGGAGCAGGGGTGCGCCGCGTCGTACAAGGGTTTCTGGTCGCGTCGTGTAAACCCTGGTCGGCCTTGCTTGAACACCACTTTTACGCGACGTCTCGGGACGTAGAGGTTAACAAGATGTCAATGCGATGGCGGCGTTCACTTATTGTTGAAGCGTAGGAAGTGGATGTTGATTTTTAGTGGTTGTTCTGAAAATGCGATTGAAGCTCGAAACGCACCAGGTTTCAAAGATTGAATGGTTTGAGTAGGTAGTCTGCGAAATCATGCTGCGTGATGTTTAGTATCTCATGATGGACGATCATTGCTTGTTTAGTGCTTTGATGCCATAACTGGTAGTGTACTCTGTTAAATTTTCTACACATGTGGAGATAAAACGAAGTATTGTTGCGTCAAATTCTGGTATCGAATTCGATGCTTCTATTCAATCACAACTAAAAAAGTAGATCCCTTCGAGCAGTTGTATTGGAATAAATAAGCCGATACTAACGCCCTCAAACGGTCCGAGGAAAGGGTAACGCATTCATGAACGCGTCGCACCGCACCGCTGCATCTCTCGCATACAGCCGTTCTTCGACCCCTTTCAAAGGCCAAAACCTTAAGCCCGCATCATCCAGCCCCGTCGTTCCCTGTGCCGCGGCAGGCAGTGCAATCACGCCCCTCAGAGGGTTCAAAACATAACCTTCTCTGCGAAGTTGGCTGTAGTGCTCTACTTCGCTCCAGATCAAATACAGTGCAAGTGACCAAACGGCGTGGAGAATGAGAACGAGCGAGGTAAGTTTGGCGGAGAAGCCCCAGCGGTATGCCGCGTGCTTTTCGGAGTCGGGGAGGCATCGCTCATTTTCTTTTACGTCCTTGTCGGAGTAGCCGTTGCCGCTGTAGCAGACGGCTTCAGTGTTGGGGTAGCGGTCGATTATGTCAATGGGAAAGGTGTAGTTGTTTATTGGGACGGTGATGGTGTCATTGCCTAAGCAAGGTTAGGGATATTGTTGATGTTGGACTAGGTATACTTACAGTTGTATTATTAGGTATCTGAGTTTGAAAAGTATAATTGATTATCGAGGAACCAACCTAATAGAATATCAGGTTTCTTTTCTATTTTTGTCTTTCCAAATGAAGGACTTGCAATTGTTTAGAGTAGTTAAGCATATCGTTGGGCCTATAATTTCTATTAGTGTTTGCGTAAGAAGGATACGAAGAGTCTTACATTTGGCTGCCCGAGTAACGGAACGAGCTTTAGCTACGGAAAGATCTTTCTCAAGAAGATTAGCGGAGCCGTTTATGTCTGGCAAGCCTTCAAACATAAGGCATTTGTGGAACATATCTGATGGAACATGTTGAGAGGTATCGGGTAACATAACGTATGCAAAGGAGGAGCTGACGTAGCCAGTCATGGTAGAAATCAGAGTTGGCATAGCCAGGGCGTAGAGAAACGCGAAGGCAGCATAAGCAAAGAGAAATGTCGCCTTCTTTGTCGAGTGTCGCATGAGGTCTCTACATAGGCCTACAACGGCCCAAATAGATGGTCCGTCCAAGGATATTCCAGTGAAGGTTCTGTAAGGAATCGGTGTTACCTCGATGGTCCGGAGTAGCGCAGCGGAGAAGACCACATAACAGGCCCAGCCTGCAACAAACTGCATGCCACGAGCAACAAACAGGTCCCAGATGGTATCCAAAAGCTTAGCTAGCCAGAACGGGAAGCGTCCTTTGACTCGGTCGATAGTGAAAAGGCCCGCGAGGCCAAACATGTCGTCTCTTTCGTTGTAATAGTCGAAGCTTTGAGAACATCGGATAGGTATCGTTGTAAAGAGCCGGTAAACGAAGCTGAAGTAGCATATAAGCGGCATAAATCCGTAGTGAAAGAGTGCGATGGTGGCGATACTCCGGCGCTGGACCTGCCCCGACCCGATGATGTTTCGGATGGTGGTTGCTAGTCTGGCCGTTGTACGCTGAACTAATGGTTTCGAGTCCTTCGAAGTTCCATTGGTGTTTTGGAACACCTTTTCGGGAGTTGGATCATTCTGCCAAGCTGTTGGCAGTTCTGGCTTAGAAATTTGATGAGAGCAGCCCGGTCTCAGGTCGGCCGTGCTAGAGTCGGCGCCGATATGGTAAGCCTTAATATTAATGAAGTCTGAGCTCGGCATGGTTGTGAGCTGCCAAGCTAAAACAATAAAATGGCGCCTAAATGTGAACTTATAAAAAGATAACTAGTAGAAGAGCATAGGCACTTTCATGTCTGTATTCGGTTATATCGGAAGCCGTTTCTTAGGAATTTTATAGATACTTAAGAGGTTCTCAGTAGTTGTCCAGAACGCCATTAACCTAGGTAGGTGCATATTCTGGATCGTGAATCATTGAACAAAGTACAGGCATGTAAGATCTGCTAAACTAATGTCTACTTAAGAATAATTAACAGCCCAGAACCTGGCACCACGAGACCTACATCGAACTGAATATATTTCGTATGTGGCTTGTATCTCGTAAGGGTTATAAGATTTTAAATAGGGCTCTATGCACTTAATAGACACTAATTCTGGCTCCGTGGCAGTACTCAATCAGCTTGCAGTGATCTTTGGAAACTTAAACACCTTCTTAACATCGTGGAAAAGTATTAGCTAATAGCCACTGGACCGAATAATGGTCCGATAGGGAATGAAAGGATCATTTTTGGTTGCTTTTGTAATAATCGCAAGTTTTGTTTACTACATCCCTATCCAAGGGATGGCATTTCCTATTCCGGTATCTGAACTGCTATTAGCACTAAGCAACCCCGCAACAGATTATAACCCTATGCGGTAAGCGGAGCTTTCTATTAAGGGATACTCGTTAAAGTAGGTCATATTAAAATCGCTACCACGTCGAATAAGACCATCATTGCGGCATACCCTGGTAGCCGGGTGGATCTAAAATAGATAATATAGTTTTTGTAGCCTCGTGACCTTTGCCAGAGCTAGTGTTTATATGAGAGGCTTAAAAAAAAGTACTAAACCAAAAGCCTATTACAATTGGGAGCTAGTATTTCTTATAAGATCGAGACTAGTCACACAGATCAAAACTCTCGGTACTCACCAGACCGCTTCTGCTCACTGTTGCATCAAAAAGAGGATTTGAGAACATGGTATAACTCCTGGTGTAATATGCGGATGCTAATGAAAAAGACAACTCCACGGCAATCTGCGTCTTAGAAGACCCAGGATAGTGTGACAACGCTCAGATGCTTCTTTAAATCGGAAAGGTGACTTCGGACATCCGTTTTCCAGATGATTATCTCCGCTCCGGACCAGCAGAGTAGATTTCGAAGTACTTTGCTCCGTTGTGCGTCAAAATGAGCAAGGGAAAGAACTGCGAAATTGCTCCTGGAGATGGGTAAAAATTTATGTTGATCGCTGGAATGCCTTAGGCTTGTCGTATTTTCAATTTACAGATGATGGAAAGCAAGTAGGCCGTGAGAGGACGTTAGTTCTGGTGTTGAGGCAGTGACGTAGCTACCCCGCACTTCGTACCCCGCAAAGTAAACAACGTCCGTGCACCGGTTGACGCGGCGCCGACGCCTCCATCGTGCATGTCAACACCAAACACCGACGACACTCCCTCACGCTCATTCACCCACCACACCTTTAACATGCATCCTGCCAAGGAGCAATTTCCCAGGCCATGGCGCTCATTCAACAGTGCACGGACGCGCTCGGGCATCCGCGCGCGTTAACAATGCGACTCGGCGACGCAAAGACCTTTGTCACAACGTTCGCTTGCACTCACACCTCCCACCGTCAGTTAATGTGAACCTAGCGAACGGCGTCGGAAGATTTTTTCGCCTATTTCACTTGCTTTGCTTGAGCTATAAGTGCTACCTCTCCCTCGCCCTTCGACAGACAACCTTCGACCGACAACCTTCCACCTTCCTCTCGATCGCTTTGCTCCGCCGGTCATCGACATTGCGCTCCAACGCGATCCTTTGCCGTCGCAAAGCAACTCCCATACACCAACCCATCCACCGTCGCTTGACTTTCCGATCGTCAGCTACCTAGCACGTGCCGTTGTAGAGGGTAAGCCCGTCGCGTTTCCCCTTTGCTTTGCTCTGCGGGCGGGCGGGCTCACCCACCCTACATCCTCCAACGCCTGTCTAACCGGCATCGCATACAGCCCGCTGATCGTCTAGTCATAGACCGTAGCAAAATGCGTAACCTCGGGCCCGCCGCCCCGGTTCAGGGCGGGAACCAGCCGATGTCGCTCTTCAAATCCGAGGTATTCGTCGCTTGGGACGACGAAGAGACGCAGCAGCAGTGTCATCTTGGAGGCCTCTCGCACCAGAAGGGCGGAAACAACAGCGATCCGGCCAACTTGACGCTATACATCGGGAACAACTTGAGCGACAATACCATGCTGATAAACCTGCATGTCCCGATCATGGACTCGGTCAAGACCACACACGACGTCTACATTATCTTGCCTGCCGAGCATCTTCAGATGCGCACCGCCACGATTCACCGCACCGACCTGGAGGTTCCCAACGCCCTACGTCAGCGCCGTCACGACTCCATGTCCCCTGTTGACAACGACTACGATAACGATGGTGCATTGGATTACTTCACCCGTATCCGCTTCACGCTCACCATGAGCGCGGTTACCCTCCTGCCCGTCCTCGCACACGGCCATTCGCTCTCATTCGATCACAACCAGCAGCACATCCTGACCTCGCTGCGTTCACTCGCGCAAGCCAAGGAACTCATCGTCTTCCTTCCCCGTGGCGACGGCGTGGACAGCATAATCCTACGTGAGGTGGGACTTGCACTTAGTCAGGGCGGGCCACGTACGCCGAAGCCCGCCCTGAAGCCTGTGTCGGCGGATGGGCGTGCATGGAGCGTTGACACCTGGAAGAAGTTCCTGGAGCGGGTAGATTCTTCCACAGGTAAGACCTCAACGTCGACAAAGCCGTACACGCAGAACCCGTCCAACGCTTGGGCCAGCCCCACTGTCGGTGGTAATCGCCTTCCTAACAGTTGTTCGACATTCGAACCCTCGCCTGGTGGCGCTACGCAGGTTCCGCAGTCTGGCGGTCTGTTTGGCTCCCTTGGTTCTACCAATGCTGGTTCCACATACAACTCTCCCGCCTCGACGGCATATGGAAGCACCACCGGTAACTCGTTCCTCGGCGGAAGCAACGCAGCCAACGCTTCGTACAACATGTACGGCTCCGGTGGTTATACCCACTCGTCAGGAGGTTTATTTGCCTCTATCACGCCTTCTTCAGCTTACCAGCAACCTAATCGCCCTTACATGCAGAGTATGCTTAGGTCTGATCAGGTCGAGGGTCTCGCCGTTGGCCAGGACCCGATGAACTTCTTGGGTATTTCGTTGGTGAAGATGCAGAAGGATTTAAATAAAGAGATGCAGAAGGCTAAGGAGGAGGAGAAGATCCGGAAGGCTATGGAGGAAAAGAAGAAGCGGAAGTCTATGGAGGAGAAGATGCGGAAGACCATGGTGGACTGCACCGCTCGTTTCTCTGCGCGTAAGCACACAGCTGCATTTCGTGCGATGCAGACTCAGATTCCGAATCCCTTTACCCCTACTGGTACCGACTTCAACTTCACCTCCAAGGCCCCGACGCCGAAGAAGAGGCAGAGTATGCCGAGAACTAGTCCCGCTTCTGCTACTGGTAGCGACTTCGACTTCGACTTCACCTTCAGGGCCCCGACGTCGAATCCTTCACAGAACTACTACGACAACCGCCCGATCAGCTGGTCTGCCTCCGCTAGATTCCCCACCGCTGCTCCGGTCGCTGCTCCGGCCGCTGTTCCCGCCGCTGTTCCCGCTGCTTCCGTTCCACGTCGCAAGACGCGCCAGAGCTATCCCAGAGCCATCCCTGTGGCTCTCGAGATTCCCGAGCCACCGCAACCGGGCAAGAAGAAGCAGCAGAAGCCGAGGCTGAAGCAAGAGGAATTGCACGAGTACGACGAGGCCGCCCTTGCAGCGCACAACAAGAGCACGATGAAGCCCAGCTCACGGATCCACGAGAAGGCGGTCATGCCTACCTTCATCTGGGCCCCCCCATTGATATCCGTCCCATGGTTGTCGCCGGGCCATGGGGTCAGTTGGCGAAGGACTGTCCGGCGCGTAGGCGTGCGCAGAGTGAGAGTGATGTCGTGGATCCGAGGCCGCTGAAGCGGTCGAAGGTCTAGGTGGCGGTTGGTGATGGTGGCGAGTGGTCAAAAAAAAAGTGCTGTGTCTTGATAGATGGTTTCCTTTCTCATTTTCCCCAAAAGGTTAATATGGGTGGGGCGGAGTCTGTTTAAATTGAACTTTTGGCATTGGAGCGGGTTATACCAGGGTTGGTTGCGGTTCTTCGGATTGCTCACGATACCTTTTCTTTTCCAGGTTGCTCGATGATACCCCCTTTCTCTTCAAATAACTTTCTCTTCAAGTAGATAATATTGAAACTGTATTATTATTAAAACGGTGCTCGTGAATGCTTGGGTTGCTTGATGCTTGCCGGTTAAATCTTCCACGCGTTCAGCCACGAAGCTGACGACTTGTACCGTTGGTCCTGAGGGCGGGGATGCAGATGTACCAAGGTATTTGCCCAAGAACCTTGGATAGCTTCATTTCGCTACCCATGGCGGCTACCGAATCTGCCAACACACGCGACTATAAAATGCCCCAGCCCCAGTGCTCTCTTACAGTCTCCCACGCAACATCAGCTTCTCCCAAAACCAAAACCCAACTCTTACAAATCCTCTTAACCCACAACACCAACAACAACCACAAAAATGCGCACCCTCTTCCTCATCACCCTAACCGCGCTCCTCCTCAGCAGCAGCAGCACCACGCACGCGCTGCCCGCTCCCCAAGCGCCGGCCGAGTTCATCGCGCCGATCGAAATCACAAAAGATGTCCTGATCCAGCTGCCAGGCAACATCAAGACGCAGCCGTTCGGGGGCAAGAACTGCTACGGGCGATGGAACGAAGCTAAGCGTTGTCGCAAAGCTGTCGACGGGACCTTCGTACCCCGCACTTTTGTCGTCGCAAGCGATGACCATGTTTGGCAGTGCTGCTTTGATGGGAGCAAGATACCGATTTTCCCGGGGGAGGGGCTGAAGGGGAAGGAGGTGCTGAAGCAGTGGGAGGCGGGGGAGTGGGATGTTTAGACTTTAGTGTGGGTGCGGTGTGGGGTTTTTTGGAGGAGAAGGGGGGCTTGGAAGGGCTTGTGAGACGGATGGTGGGGGTTGAATTTGAGCTTGCTTGTCTGCTTCTTTGATCGGGCTGGTGGAGGGGTGGGTGTTTGTTTGGGACTTTGTGCGTGGGCTTTGATGCCTTGGGTGTGTCCTTGGGTAGCTAGTCACTGGCCCGTGATGTAGACATTCGCATGTTCTGGAACAGTGGAGAAATTACAGAATGGCTTCGTGGCAACTGTTCTTGGTCGAAGTGAAAGACCAGGCCGATTTCTTTAAGAAAGCGAGTTGGAAAGGCGGAGAAGGGGAGAGCATCTGCGTACGCGCTCTCCCGAAATCGAAAACAAACCCTTTAAGTCCCGGCATGGTACTTCACAGCGATGATGTTGCAGGCAGGAGAGATCGTTCGTCTTCACTGGAAGGCAAAATACAAGAGCGTGATGCAGTGACATGCAGGTGTCCGCTCCGCTCCGCCCCGCCCCGCTGCTCCGCCCTCCTTGTCCCTTTCCGCCCTACTTGTTATTTTCCCGGTCGCATAAACGAAAATCTTTGCAGACCTCACCATTGCGCGCGCTACGACATACCACGCGACAAGTCTCTCACCACCGTACAGCCGGCTTGTCTGATTGTTTTTTCTGCTTTGCCTCTGCATGTGGGTATCGGTCATCTGGTCTACAGCGGTACCACGCTCGGTGTAGGACCTGGAGTTTTGTCGAAGCGTCTTGCACGCTCAGTCGTTCAACAATAGTCGCGTTGCCCGCAGTGCCCTGAATCGACTCGTGGCAATGTTTAATTCCAAGACGCGGCGGCTCATGGAGACAGTGGCATGGCTCCGCGATCGCCAAAGCTTCAACCAAACTTGAAAGACGAGTGCTATGAGAAGCGGTTGTCTGGTAGCGATGATGTCGCAAGATCAGCAGGCACACCCGCTGGACCCTATACCCCGCACTCTCGTTTGGCGCGACTGCTAATCGTCCCGTTCCATGTTACCTGCACAGGACTAGACCAAAGACCACCAGACTGTCAGACTTCTCAATGACGATCCACGGGACCGGCCGCAATTAGTCTTCGCTCTTGTCTTTGCCTGGGGATAGAGATACCACAACTTTGATAAATGAGCATTCCTACCTCGGAGCTTTGTCAGTGTCATAGTGAACAAACACCGTTGTATATCAATATCTTGATCTTCATGCAACTCCAAATCCGATTTTCATCTCACTACAGCCACTCGCTCCAAGCAGTTTGCAAGCCCGACGGGTAGTTGGCCTTTGTAAAACTAAGTTTCTCTCTTTAATAGCAGCTTGTCCCTCACTATCAGCCTCCACCTAAATCCACAACTCGATATACGCAACCATGCGTATCATTCTTTTCGCCCAACTACTTCTCAGCCTCCTCATCATCACCACATACGCGAACCCCAGCGAAAGCACCTCACTCAACAAGCGGGGCAAGCACCCACCACCGATCGAGCCAACCGCGAACTCGCCCAAGCCAGCGCCCGTCCCACAACACGTCCAAGACTGGCTCTTAAAAAAGGAGCTCCGCCTTGCAGGCCCCGTCAACAGCACCGAAGGCTGGATCTGGAACCTGGCGTTCGACATGAACATCAACACGTTCGAGCAGCATCGCAAAGCGCAAGACATTGTCGAGCTGTCCGCCTTCACCTGGAGCAAAGACCACTGCTCCTCTGCGCCCGACAAGCCGTTCGGCTTCGACTTCACGCTCGCGTGCAATCGCCACGACTTCATGTACCATGCCTGGAGCTATGTCTGCCGCTTCGACCACGACCATCGCAAGTCCGCTGATGAGGTCTTCTATGAGGATATGAAACGCGTCTGCCGTAAGAATCTCCTGTGCAAGGGCACGGCTAAAACTTATTATGCTGCTGTGCGGGCGTTCAGTGGGCACGGAACTAATCTCTGTGGAAATGACAAGTATTGGGATTAGGTTTGGGGGTGTTGGGGCTGCGGTTGTTGGGGCGTTGTTGTGTGGTTGTCGCGTTGTGGGCTTTGTTCCTAGTTGTTTTCTCGAGGAGATTGAGATTTGGTCTTGGCGTTTGGTATAAAGCAACCTATAGTATCCTTTCGTACGTTGCCGGCACCCTGGCATGCAGCTGCCAAGAAGCTCTCTTGAGTTGCATAAGGAAGCGAGGATACGACGTGAAAGTTTTGCTTGAGCAAGCATAGGCTCTAACGACGCTAGCGGGGGAAGGGCTTACGCGATTCAAAACCCGCGTTGGGTTGCCTTTTAAGCTGTCACGCCCTAGTGTAGGAAGCCAGTTGTCTGTTTGCTTGCATAAAACAATTTGGAACGTTTGTTAATTGATTGAGAGAAGTACTGATTTATTATAGCTATTATTACATGAGCCCTTGATTTCCCAGCCACCGCATGGGTGTGCTTCTCTTGCTGCAGCGGACCCATATAAAATTAGAGAGGAGAGTGATATCTTCGAGAGGAGAGTGGTATCTTCGGGAGCAGAGTGTTGTCTTGTTTACATCTTTCGCAAACCTCCTGCTTTTCCCATTACCCGTACAGATCGTCAGAGACGGCGTGTCAGAACCAGCCTGTCCGACCCGGTTCAACCTACGACTTAAGCAGAGTTCCATTCAGGATCGATTGGCGTCCGGTCGAGAGCGAGGGTGAAGCTCTCAGTCCATGAACCAAAGAACGGTTCAACTTTCACACCCCGTCGCTCTGCCGCCTGGCAGAACCGCTCAGTAGCTCTCTTTGCTTCTGCCGTTGTGACAGGCGGCCCCTCAATCTGCTCAATGTCTCTGCCCTCATGAGCGTGCCTGTCTTCCAAGTCCAGAATAAAGCTGAGTGTTTTCAGCTTTGGCAGGAATGCGGGGTCATCAAATTTGTTGATCCATTTCTGGTAGTGGTCTGCATCGTCTCTGGCCAGCGATCTTGAGCCCCGGAAGCGGAGTGTGTGGATGTTTGGCGGTAGTGCGTCAAAGATCTGGGCCAGTTGCTTGGCGTCTTTGTAGATGTCGTCGAGGCCGATGACGAGTGTCTCAAGGTTTGTGAGGTGCGGTAGGACCAGCTCTAACCCTTCACCGGGAGTGTACCAGAGATCGCAGCCGTTCCACGCGATGAGGCTCAATGTTCTCAGTCGACGAAGAAGATGAGGGCTCGAGGACGCCCAGATAAAGATTGTATCCCGAGCGTCATTTTCAGAGATTTCCAGGATTTCGAGCTTAGGCTTGTAGGGCATGTGTTGCTCCCAGTCAAATCTTGGGTCTTCTTCAGCGGCCGTCCACTTGATCATTTTACCATGGTATTTCTCCGGTAAGATATGCTCATCTTTATCTAGCTCCGCTAGTTTGAGGTTTTCAACAAGAAGATGGCATGGGTAGTAGAGCACCAGATGCTTGACTAGGCCTTTAGTGATCCAACGGGATCGACAGGCCTTGAGGTCACAGGCGCCGCTCAGCGTGATCTTTTCCAATGGCCAGTGTGGAGGTACCTTGTCGTCGTGAAGCTCCTCGTCCCATCCGCCGTCCATGTAAAGTTCTTTGACGGATTTGAAATGATCGTTGACAAGACCCCAGTCGGCATCTTCGTTTACGTTGTCCAGCTTGAGATATTCCGCATCTCTGTGCTCATTCACAAGCTGAGGCTGTACCGGCTGTTTAAGGTCGACATACGCGATAGTATTCTGCCGAAAGCTGGTCGTGATGGATGCCATGGCTGTGGGAAGTTGTTGCCGTGGGATCCTGGTGATGAAGCTCGGCCGCATGAGCCGACGACGGAACATCGCCAGGAAAGCTGACTGGGCCAGTAGTGGACGTATGGCAAGAGTTTTGCCTATACGGTGTGTGGCCTCTTTCACCAATTCCTGATATCGAGACTTTTGATTACTCCGTGAGTGATGCAAGTGGTGGAATTGAGATGAAAAAAAGATGGAAGTTGAAGTCAACTGCTGCTGCCTGCTCTCTGAAGTTGGGGCTGCCTTTCGCTAATTTTACTGCGTTTAGCTTAGTGACGGCTGTGTATCTATTGCGGCTCTTTCGGGTTGCACAGCCATGGAGCTAGCAAGAAATACCTTGAAGAGAGTTGCTCAAGTTTTACATCACATTTCTAGCTACTATCTATATAAGGTGACGTTTTGATGCATTATCAGTTTCTGATTAAGGTGAGTTTTATCTCTTTGAAATGCATCACACTCCGACGTACTATTATCCAACGAATTGCAAGAAGCTAGTCTGTAACAGCCCTTTAAAACCCCTGCTTGACCAGGTTAGAACTAACTAAAATGAGATTACACCGCATTATTCTCACAAAGCATCCGTATCTATAGACGATTGAAAATATATAAAGGAGACGATGTGTGCTTTGCTCAGGGAGGAGCCGCAGAGCACGTATGATAACATGGTTGGCGAGTGGGGAGATATGTTCGTAAAGGGGTATTCCTAAAAAGGAAAGTTGGTAAGTGATTTGCTACTGGGATGTGACCTTGATCAACGCAACCTATTAGAATGGGACAAGTGTTCTACGAGACATCATAATATCCAGCGGCATTGTAGTTACATAGCAGTGCCGATCAGGGCTACGCGACAAAACCTGAGCCAAGCGAAAACCAGGGAAGCTGTGGACCACATACGTGTATGTAAACAGAACAGTCGAAGATGCGGGGTAAACATTATAATGCGGCACGATCCTGAACCTTTGAAACCCTAATGTCTTGCTTTAATCTCTTCTACAGTGCTTTGCCTCTGCCGTAGCTCTCACATGCCGTTCAAAATACAGGTGGAAAAGCACTAGCATTTTGTCAGTCAGGATCACTCCGATAACTCTCTTTTTGTCAGCCTTATTACAGTTAGTTGTTACACTACAGCCTTACCCCTTACACCACACGTTTATCCACTGCAAGGGAATAAGGATCTTAAAGAGAAAACGTGTTCTTTTAGATAGCAGCATATATACCTCCATAGGTAGTAGTAATTTAGGAGGACAAGGGGCGTCCAATTTCTCGCGCCCAGCTTCACACATTTGAAATAAGACTATGGCTCAACAAAAATTTATTCTCGACTGGCTAGCAATATGCGGTACCAAGCAGCAATTCGCAGATGCAGCGTGCATCTTGAGCTTGCTTGGAAAGTCACAGCTTCCAGCTGACCGAAACTCAAGTGAATATGGCAAGGAAACACCAATAGCTCATTCAGACCATAATAGCGAGGATGATTCGAGTACGACAGATTCGGACCTCATGGACGAAAGCCAAGACCATCGAGAAGAAGCGACTAGTCGTGGCGGGAAGGTAACAGAACACACTTCCAATTTACTGCGAAACGAATTCTTGACGCGGTTGGCCGAAACGCTTGCACGATACAAAGGAGGCTTACAATCCAAAGAAACCTCACAATCCGGGCCAAAGCATGTATCTGAAGCATATATGGAAGAACAACCACAAGACGAACCTAAAGCAGTTGAAATATTTGTGACTAAAAATGAAGGCATCAACGAGGAGGATACTAAATATCTCTATGACTTGAAACTACAGTTGGAAGCTCTCTCGAGAAATAGTAAGAGAACCATTTCCTGTGTGTTGCCATAGACTTGCTGAAAATATCCAGACACAGATGCCGAGGAAATGGAAGACCTTCTCCTTGATCGGAGTTTGAGATATATACGGCCTCGTCTCGAAAAATACGTAGCTTTGCTTATAGGCAGTTTCGAAACAAAAGTTCCAGCCGGAACCCCGGCTAAACATGGCCGTCAGGACATTTTTCAGAGTTTGTCGGAACAACAATCTGACCCAAACGCCATATGGGAATATGAACCTTGGAACGACTACAAACCACAACCAGCAAAAGTTATCCATGCTGGCAATTCATCTAAGCCAAACAGTGCGCATGCGGAGAGCGGGAAAACCTGCACCGATATACAGAAAGATTCAAACACACTATTCGAGCAGGTGCTTTAGTTCGTGAAATCTAAGCCGTTGGAAAGAGAAGAAACCTCACGAGAAGAAGCTCTAAAACTTTTAATAAAGTCTATTCAAGGCTTTATCTTCGACGTCCGAGGCCGTTCCGCGCTTCATTGTCGCTTTCTGCAACATTTCTCCGAAAGAATGGAAGGTCCAGAAAAAGCAGAAAAAGCAGAACGAGCATTAAATTTTCTCTGCCGCGTTCAAGCAGCTACAAAAACATTTACAAAGGCAGCAACTAAGCTGCCATCGTTTCGCCAAATCACTTTTACGCCTGTGGATGGAAGGCGCAGAGCTAGGCCGAAGAAGAAAATTCCCCACCGCTCTCTATTTCCGAGACAATTAAATCTATCATCAAACCCGATGCTCAGCTTCAATAAAAGCTTTCTAAACTGGAGAAATAATTTCAAGAGATCAGAACACGCAAAATCCACATTCACGCAGAAATACAGTTAGTATCCGATTACGAGCGACGGCAATCCATTACTACGCAGAACAAGCGGACAATCAGGTTCATTGGAACCAGCAAGCTTTGCTGCTATCTGTGCGGCCAATTCCTTGAGAAATATGGATATTTCGCTGCCCGCGGTTGCCATGGAACACTGTATCCTCAGTGGGACTGTCCAAGAGTCGTCCCTACCGGCAAAAGTGCTACAACCTTCCAGATTGCTATAAGCTAATGCTATCAAAACATCATATCTCGTATAACAGAGGTTACTTCAAGTTTGACGCTAAAGAAAGCTGGCTTGTTAGCGGAGTCTACTATCGACTTGGCGACAGCAGACAATTTCCTCCGACCACGCCTCCAAAATGACACTGCGTCAACAGTATCCATTCAAAGGGTAAGTCTTTCTTTAGCATAGTCTCTCCCTTGAAACAAAGTCGAGCTTAATACCACTGCAGTTTATATAGCCTAGTGGTATTTGACGATGGCATGATCTATTACCACAGTCCATCAAATCCGAGGATTTCCATCGTCATGGGCCCAGGAAGCGAGTCCTGCAGTCAAGAAATGCCCACAGAGAAAGCCGAGAAGCTGTTGACAACACATTTGAGAAATAAGCTATTACCCAGCATTAAAGGTCACCAAAAACAGCATTGCCATAACCAAGGCTGTGGGGCCACTCCATCATACCGCTGCGGGAGGTGTTAAACTAGCTACTACGCTAGGAGCTGCCAACGCATAGACTAGCACCAACACGTATTTTTATACGCAGTACCAACGACACCCAATCTGGCCGACCGATTAAGATAGTATATCTATAAGAACTTGTATTTTACCGACGGTAGGAAAGCCTTTAATATAGCATAGTTTAGTAGAACTCTCATCCAAGACACGGACGCCGCTTGTGGTTGGGGCTTTTGGAACTGCGATACGGCCGCGAAGTTCGGCGCTTTGGCAGCGCTGTAACTCGAAGCATTCCTCGGGACGAGGCTGAGTGCAAGGAAGCTACAAAGCTGGCATGATATGAGAAGAATCGCTCAGAACCTGCTGGCACGGATATCGATGCCCGAAGAGCTGCTATGCCATCTTGGATCTGGACTGTTCGAACACACCGATACTGCCGGTTTTAAATACTATGGTGCTAAAAGAGCCATGGATGTTTTCCTGGAGAGCTGGACTGAAGCAAGAGGGAGGAGAGTAGCCGAGACTAAGGTTTTCCGGCTCTATACCATCGTCTTACGAGACTTTGAAAAGCTCCCAGACGAAAAGAACCCCGAGTGGATGGACTTTAGCTTCTACCTCTACCCAACTCCGGTGCGGAAGCAGCGGATGGCAGAAAAATACGTCCAGTTAGCGGACAAGGCATATCTTACAGACGTAGCGACAGCTTGGGAAAACCATTCACTAGAAAAATTATTCCAAGACAAAGGTATCGAAGTTACCGACTTTACGGCCAATGATATACATTTCGGCCGCTCACCACTTGATAGGCTAGAAGTCTATCGGCTAATGATGGAGATTCACCACCTTCATAGCGGATTGTTCTACAAGTGCGCGGGAGTGCACATACATGGTGATTTTGAACGAGCAATGAAAAACAGGTTCCATGTCGAAGCCGACAACTTTTGTTTCTACAAAACCAACTCCTGGGAGAAATGGCAGCTATCGCTTCTCTTTAAAGAACTTTTCGAGCGCAAGGATTTCGATCCTAGAGAGATGCAAGCTGTTTCTCGCAGCGATTCTGGGGAAGGGTTTCACAAATGGATGGAAGACAAGATTTACACAAGGCGGTTTTCCCAGCAAATACTTAGCTGATGCATTTTTTCCAAGCTTCAGAGCGTATTTGGATCGTAGAACAAGCTGCTACGAAACGTGTTATTGTATCACACGTTCACTCATGCAGGACACTGACAACTCTGGGAAGTATTTGTTTTTAGACTAGGAAACTATCTGAGAGTTAGTGTCATGGTGGCAAAATCGATTTCTGTTTGTTTAAATTTATATATATATATATTACTTCCACGTATGTACATAATAAAACCTAATAAAGAGCACGTCAACAAATGAAACAAAAAAGCCAAATGCCACAACACCACCACCACTCACACAAGCGTAACCACCCTATCCCTCCACCCAAACCACTCATCGACCAACCCCCTATCACCAAAAGCCCTCGCGCGCAGCATCCAGCCAAACGGGTCCCTCTCCAGCAAAGCCCTCACAGCCAACGGGTCGCTCACCGCCATCCTCTCAGCCTGGGACCTCTTCTCCCACCCTGGCCCCTTTTCGCAGCCAGGCCCCCCCTCCCAGCCCATCCCACCCCCAAAAACCTCAAAATATCCCACCCTCCCAAACACATTCCTAGTCTCAGCCTCGCCCCCCCGCTCCCGCACCCGCTCCCGCTCCCGCAGCGCTAGCAGCAACCCCCTTCCGGGATGCAGTTCCAGCGCCCACGCCTCAAACACGTCGTGCCAGGCGACGACGCCGTAGCGCGCGACGCGGGGCCCGGCGCAAGGGAGGACTTTGTCGCAGTCGGGCGTGTCCATTTTGCATATGCCGGCGCGGAAGGTGGTGTCGTGGGCGTGGGCGGGGATAGCTGAGGTTGCAGCTAGGTCAAGTGTAGCAGTAAGGGTGTTGTGATGTTTGAAGCCCATGATGTGGAACGCGCCCGGTTTGCTGCCGCAGCGCACAAAGACCTTGCGCAGATAGCCACGGACGCGCAAGCGGCCCTGCGCGCGCGGACCAAACGCGTGCGGGAAGCCGAGCACGCGGGTGCGGACGACCGAGGCGCAGGGCGGGCCGCAAGACGCGTGGCCCTCGAGGCGGCTGTACGACACCTTCCCGGCAGACGAGGCCCAGGACCAAGACGGGGCGATGGCGAGGTTCGGGGCAGGCGTGTCAGCAACCCACAGCAGGTCGCGCGGCAGGTTCGCCGTCCACAGCCCGGCGACGTAGTCGGCGGCGAAGCCGAGGCGGGCGCGGAACTGCTGCGCGACGCCTGCTAGCGCGATTAGGCGGTCTGTGGGCGAGGAGAGGGTGCGTGAGCTGAAGTCTTCGACGAGGCGGTGCCAGTCGCTGTAGGAGGGGGTGAGCGAGATCTTTTGGCAGAGTGGGAGGCAAGGCGCTGAGCCGCTGTTGGGGTGAAGGAATTGCTTGCTTGTGCTGCACTCGAAGAAGACGTGCGTGCGGCCGAGATGCACGTAGCGCGTTGCGAGCAGGCGTTCTTGGAAGGTCCAGCCGCGCGTGTAGAGCGGGTCTGGTGGTGTGTGAGTGGCGTCCTTGGCAGACGCCGGGGTATCTATGAATGTATTGTTTTGCTGCAGAAGCGCGTCCTCGTAAATGATACCATCAGTGGCGCTGGCAGACGACGCAGCGCCGAGCACCACTGCGGCATTGCCGAAAATAACATCCATAAGGACAGACTGGCGCGCCCAGTCGTTCCTTGCTTCTATTGACGGGCCTTGGAGGATACAAAGTGCGTCTATCCAAATGAACTGGATGCCCAGACCGCGGGTAATTTCAATGGCATCAACCAGTGTCTGCGGCAAGCGTCTCAGAGGGATTCCGTTCTTCCACGCCTCGATATTGCCCGGTTCCAGTCTCAGGAAGTCATCGCGGCCCCAGCAGTAGCTGAGAGCTGTATACACGCCCTTCGAGCTCTTCGCCGCGCTGTTAACCCATAGTTTCGGTTTTTGGAAATCGCTGACGTCGACGAGCCTATGGGGTAGGCTTGCCTGCGTAGACGCTGGACAATACCCGTGTTGCCGTAAACAGTTTGACAAGGCTGACCCAATAAACGCAAGCACAGCGGACTTGGAGAGCGAAAGCGGAAGCGTTTCTGGCGGCAGTCAATACGCAACAAACAGTTCGCATCGCGCAAAGTCCCCCGCCTACCTTTCGAGACGATTTGCAGCCTCGACCTGCCCGGCCGCAGCGACGTCCATACAAGCCTCCGCCTGCCCCACCAAGTCACCAGACTGACGGCAAACTCAACGGTGCTATTCCGCACTTTGCTCTTGCTTCTGCCCTTACAAAGACACTGTTGGTCCTTTTTTAGCAAGGCCCCGATATCCCGCTCGCAGTACGCGACCAGTGCTCGCGAGCCATACTTTCTCCTCAGCCAGATCATGCCGTCAAAGGCGCCGCGATAGACGTCCGCAAACCGCTGCTCGTTGCCAAAAGCTTCCAAGATGCAGAAACACAGCGCGCAGCCACTCTCTGCGGAAGCCACGAGAGCCTGGCCACTGGCCTGGTGCCTGTAGCCGTTAGCCGGCCAGCGCTTCAGGTACGAGATACTGCGGCGGCAGACAGCGCAAATGCTGCCCGTTATTACCCAGCCGTTAATGCTCGCGGACTCAGTGACTAGCGTGAACGCCTTTTCCGACGAACTCAAAACTACGTTCGAGGCCCATGGCCAGTCCAGCTGAGAGCCTGCTATACACGTTGTCCGTACGTTGAGCGCGGCTGAGCTCCACGCTGATGTCCTACTGATCGCCGCCGCGGAGCTGTTCTTTCTGTCTGAAGCCTCAAGCTCTGTCCGCATGAGTTTAGTAAGGCGGCGCATCGCAAGGGCTCCAGGGCCTGGATAACAAGGTTTCGCGCTCTGAGACACAAAGGGTGTGTGTAATCGGGGAAGTAGCAGTGTGAAGTAAGACGATTTCCATGAAGTGGAGTCATTTGCTAACTATGATCTATATTTAGATATAATCGTCCCACTCACACGGAGGCCCGGCTTGTTCAAAAATTCCACCTTCCTTTTCAGGAATAGGTTGATACAAGGTACATTTCCTCAAGCTTAGGTTAAGTTCAATGCAAACAAACATCACTACAATAACACGAATGTGTACAGATGGGTAGATAGCCATAGTATAACCACCTACAACAAAAAAGCCAAATAGATATCCGCAACCAAGGAAAATAAGAGAACGACTAAGTATCCCATCCAATCGGCCAAGCAATAAGTAATATCTCATCACCAGCCTCATCATCATCTCGAAGTCACCCACCAACCCCCTAATTCCGCCAAAACCGTCCCCTCCACCTCCTGCCCAAGCCGGCTCCCCTCGTACGCGTGCTTCCACCACCCTGACACGGCCCACCCCTCTCACACTCATCCTGCTCAGGCTGCGAGCCGCTCGCGCTCAACCCATCATCCGTAGTCACGCCCGACCTACGACATGGTTAGATCATTTCCTCCGAAGGGTTGAAACCCTCCGTTGGGGATCGTGAGGTACTGGTATGAGCCGTCATCCTGCAACTGCGGAATTACAATGTCACCGTTCGCGTTTATATACGGCGTCTGCGGCGCGGCCGTGATCAGCGGGTCGTCCTGGCCGCCAATCGTCTGCGTCGGGGTCTCTTCGTCGGGCACGCTCTGTGCGGGCGCGCTCTGCTCCGGCGCGGCCGTAGTAGCGGGGATGCTGATGGGGATGCTGATGGGGATGCTGATTACGGGAAGGCTGAGCGTGGGGAGGCCGATCGTGGGGAAGCTGGTAATCTCAGGAAGATCATCGGTAGGCAAAGCAGTGAGCGTAGGGAGATCACCCGTGGGGTCGAGCGAGATAGTCGGGATGTCGTCGGTGGGCTCGAGAGGAGTGAACTCGGGAGTGGGAGTCGGGCTAGGCGAGTCCGGGACAATAGTCGGGGTGGGCGAGCCGGGCACGCTGGTAGCCTCGGGAGCGTCCGTGACCGTGGCCGTGGCGTCGGTAGTAGCCGTGCCCGGGAAGGCCGACGCGGGCAGCGTGAGGACGTTGCCGTCAGGGCCGAGAGTAATCCTGATTAAGCCGTCGTCGGTGGTGGTAGCATCGGGCGCGGGTGTAATGGTGGCAGTAATAGTAGCATCCGTAGCCGTGGCGTCAGTGGCCGTAGCCGTAGCATCCGTGGCCGTGGCATCAGTGGCCGTGGTAGTAACATCGGTAGCCGTAGCGTCGGTGGCCGTAGCGTCGGTGGCCGTAGCGTCGGTGGCCGTAGCATCAGTGGCCGTGGCATCAGTGGCCGTGGTAGTAACATCGGTAGCCGTAGCGTCGGTGGCCGTAGCATCAGTAGCCGTGGTGGTGGCGTCAGTGGCTGTAGCATCAGTGGCAGTGGTGGTGACATCGGTGGAGGTGGCATCCGTAGCCGTAGTGGTAGCATCAGTGGCCGTGGTAGTGGCGTCCGTAGCCGTGGTGGTAGCATCGGTGGCCGTAGCAGTGGTCTCCGTGGAAGTCTCCGTGACAGTGGATGCATCAGCAGTGCTGGTAATGGTGGACGCATCAGCGGTGCTGGTAACGGTGGACGCATCAACAGTGCTAGTGACGGTCGTGTTGGGCAGAGTGATGGTCGTCAGGGTGACGTTCTCAACCTGGACGCTGGACTGGGCAGCGGCGGAGGACTGGGCAGCGGCGGAGGACTGAGCAGCAGAAGACTGAGCAGCAGAAGACTGAGCAGCAGGGGATTGAACAGCAGGGTTCTGAGCAGCAGAGGTCTGAACGCTCTGGCTCGCGGAGGTGAGCGTAATGGTCCTCGTCTGGCCGGGAACAGTGACAGTCCTGACCTCGCCAACCACAGTGACGGTGCGGGCAACAGGGATGACGCCAGGAGCAGTGACAGTCTGAACCTCACCACCGGCCGTGACAGTGACAACGCCACCAACGGTCACGGTGCTGGGCGCAACAGGCGCCTGGGGAGAGACGGTGACGGTCTGAACCTCGCCACCAGCAGTGACGGTAGCAACGCCGCCAACCGTCTGGGTCTGGGTGACGGGAGGCAGGACCTGGGCAGGAACCGTGATGGTGCGGGCCTCAGGGGTGACAGTGACAGTCTGGGGCTGGGGCTGGGGCTGGCCGGCGGCGGCAGTGCCCTGAGCAGGGAGAGTAACGGTGACAGGCTCCTGGGGCAGAACCATGGTGTGGGTGGCGGGCTGCAGGCTGACGGTCTGCGTCTGCGTAACCGTCTGCGTCTGCGTAACGGTCTGAACCTGCGTCTGCGTCTGGGTGATGGTGCTGCGGGGCGTTAGCGTCGGATTGAAGAGGGAAGAAAGAAGGAGACTCACGTAGCCGGGCACTGGTCGTCGGCGGAGGTGGGAGCCGGGGCCGGGGCGGCAGCGGCGCAGAGCGACAGAGCCGCAGCGGCGAAGATGGTCGACTTCATGGTGATTAGGAGGGGTATTAGATGATTAGACTAAAAATTGGCAGGGCAGGAACGGTGCAAAGCAACGAGCGGCGTGAGGAGCGAGCGACGAGCAAAGAGCGATGGCTGTCGAGCAAAGCAAGAAGCGGGCGAGCTGGCGGCCGTTAAATAGGGAGTGACAGCCATTGTCCATCACGACTTTCACTTCCACAGCCTCCGCCTCTCAGGAGCTGAGGGAGCGCTAGATCCAGCGTGGCGTCTGGTGCGGGTAGTATGCAGCTGAAGATTGTCGCGATAGGCACGGCGATGCAGGACCGTGCAGCGCAGCGCAGCGCAGCGCATGGCAGCGATCAGGGCGCAGGCTGGCACGTCCGACACGCAGCTTAACAGTAACCTTAACCATTGCGGCGGGGACACCGGGGACTCCGAGGCAGCGGGCGCGAGGTGGTGTTGCGGCTCAGCTGGGGAGCGATTTGTCGAGCACACAGGGGCAGCGCGCGGGCCCTCCACGTGCCGGAAGGACGCTAGCGACGGCCGCGCCCGACGCGCGAAGGATCTGGCGAGCGTTCGATGAGATTGCTGCGGCCAGCAGTGGAAATGAGCGCGGAGTCTTGGCGAGAGGCGGGGTGCGACTGGGCAGGCCTGGAACGCAGCGACATGATGATGTGCAAGAGTGGGAGAAGCTGTTGTTGGAGTTGTAGGGATTTTTCTTCAGCGTTGGCGTCGTCGTGGATGAGGCTTCATGTTTGGCGTGGGTACAGGCGGGAGGGATGCGGAAGGCGCGATGCGGGCGCGAAAAGTCGCAGCTGCCAAAACGGGGCGAGGCGGGTGATGGTGGATGGCCGATGGCGATGGCGGGCGATGGCGGATCGATGGTGTGGATGGTGTAGCCGTTGGTGGAAGTGACGGGCACGCGCCCGAACGATCGACCTGTCTGATCTCTTGCACTCGTGCAATCATCACCGCCGCCATTCAATAATTCCTGCATCCCACGCTGGTCGCCTGTCGGCAAAACAACCCCCGCAGCAGCGAAACCCGGCACGGCACTCTCTCGCATGAACTTCTCCGTCGCATCGCCGGGCATGGATTTTCCATTCCATCCTTTTTCCATCCATTCTAACATCACACCTATCCCATCCATCCAAAAACACCTACCTTATCACGTACATCTACTCTACAACCTCAGCCTCGCACCACCCACCGCAATCACAAGCCTGCCTGTCGCGACCAAGGTCGACCTCTGCGCGCCATGCCCGCTCCAGCCTGGCTCCAGGGCTGACTAACTGTGCCCGCCCTGCCAGCCATCTCCCTTCGCTTCGCTTCGTCCCTTGCTTCCCACGGCGGCACCCCCGATTCCCGTTCCCACGAGAGAGAGCTTGTCGGCACCCCACCCCACACAGGTCCTCTTCACAACGAGCGTCAAACGCCCATCCCATCACCATCGCGCATCTACCTACTCTAGACCACCTACGACATGCGCACGCAGCAACCACCCCAACCCCAGCGCTAGCGAACCAACTAACGCGATCCCGTCAGCACTACTCCAACGACCAATACTCTACGCCCCCTCTCGTATGTATGTACGGTACGTACACATGTACCTAGCGTGCCCGCTACCACCCCCGCGTCCCGAACGGGCAGCTCGCTCGCGCGCCCGCCGCGCTGTTTCTGCACCACTCACGGACGGCCTGGCGGGCGACAGGCATTTGTGCACGCAGCCGTCGCCATCCCCGCTGTCTCGCTGCCCCGCTGCCTGGTGCCTGCGCGCACGCGGGGTGAAACGTCATGGCTGTACAGTAGGTACTCGTAGGTAGGTAGAGTACTCGTAGCTAGGGCGCGCGCGCGCATCGCTCTACTCTAGTCTGTATAGAGTATGCACCCACTCGTGGGGTTCGCGTTCGCCGCGGCCGTTGGTGTCGTCCGCTTGCTTGCTCGATTCGCTCGCTCGTCCGCTCACTGGCGGTCGAGGCCTACACAGCCCGCTCGCCTGCTCCTACTCTAGGTAGGTACATAGCTGGTGACGGATAAGCCCCAACGCCGCCGAGCGTGACAGGCGCCGTCTGACATACATACATACTTTCATGGATGAATGGGCGCGGCCAAAGCGACCGTTTCGCGGTTGGAGCCGTGTGTAAGCAGGGCTGTGGGGGAGAGTGAAAATGCGACGGGGCGCGACGAGCGCGAGTGCTGCTGTTTGAGTTTCTTCCTGCTTTCTCTTCTTCTTCTTCTTGTCGTCGCGTCCTACATACACCACCGGCTTCGTCGCTGTCGTTGTCGCTGTCGTCGTTACCTACCTATCTATTCTCTGCTTTCGTCGCTACCGCTGCTGCTGCCGCTGCCGCTGCCTTTGTCGCTATCTTCGTCGCTGTCGCTGTCGCCGCGCGCGCGCCCATGTGATCGTCCCCCGCTCCCAGCACCAGCACCACCAGCACCACCACAGCCTTCGCCACCTTCACCACATCCGCCGCCCTCAACAATGCGCCCGCCCACCCCCATACACGTCCTCCTCGCCGTCCTCCTAGTCGTCACGCCCCCCGCAAAAGCAGCCATCCACACCGTCAGCGTCGGGCGCGGCGGCACGCACGAATTCATCCCAAACACAACCTACGCCGCCGCCGGCGACACAGTCGTCTTCGACTTCTTCCCAACAAACCACTCCGTCATCCGCACGCAGTACTGCGGCGCGGGCGACTGCAATCCTTGCGTGCCCTGGGAGCTGTATTTCCCTGATCGCAAAGGCGAGGGCTTTGCCAGTGGGAATTTTGAGGTGGGCGGGTATGACCAGGTGCGTGCTACTGGGATTGGGAGAGGAGGGGATGGGGTTGGGGTGGAGGAGTTTGGGGAGAGGGGAGAGGGGAGAGGGGAGAGTGGAAGGGGGGTTTCGAAGATACGTGCTGTGCTGACTTGTGCGTCTGATTTCTAGAGAGAGACGTGGAATCTGACGGTTAACGATACGGCGCCGATATGGTTTTACTGTAATGCGCTGGACTCGTGCACGCCGAATGGCATGGTCGGGGTGATTAACCCTGTAAGTTACCTTTCTATCTTCCCTCGTTTCGTCTTTCTCTCCAATACAGGCACAGGCGCATCGGAAGTGGACCATAGTGTAAGAGTCTGAAGCTCCCGAGACTTAATTCGTTGCCTCCATAAGCACAAGCGTCTGCGCTTGTTGCGGCAATGACATTAGATTTTTACTCCACAACGGCTCTGTCCCACTCCGATGCACTTACACTCTACCAAACCCGCAAGTTCCAAACCAAAAACCTCAACACTAACACCACCACCTCACCACAGCCCCCCAACGCGACCATCGCATCACAAATTCGTGTCGCCAAATCCGCGCGCTACCAGCTCGCGCCGGGCGAACCGTGGCCAGCCGAAGGCAGCAGCAAGCCCTCGTCCTCGTCCTCGTCCTCCTCCTCCCTCAGCGGCGGCGCAATAGCGGGCATCGTGGTCGGGGTGGTCGCCTTCGTCGTCCTCGCCGCCGCGCTCTTCTTCTTCATCGGGCGCACGCACACCTACGCCCGCATGTTCCGGCACCCCGCCGCGAGCACAACGACGGGGCACGCGCCCAGCGACGCGGGCCTCGTCGTCGGCGCAGGCGGGGGCATGGTCGCCGGCCCTGGCGCCGCGAACCCCTGGTTCCAGCAGCAGCAGCAGAGCATGCCGTCGCCGCCGCACAGCCCGCCGCCGCCGGGCATGGGGGCCGGTGGGCTGGGCTACCAGGAGAAACAACTCACGCCCCAGCGCTGGAGCGACAGCAGCGCCTTCTCCGGCAGCTACCCCGCCATGCGCGGCGCGAGCCCGCCCCCGACTGTCGGTGAGGATGTGGGGCAGGGCATGACGTTCGTGGGGTATAATCGGCAGACGGGCGCGCCTGAGTTTGTGGCGGAGGTTTCGGCGGATCATGAGGTTGTTGAGATGGGGAGGGGGACGATTGGGAGGGGGGGTGGTGGTGGTGGTGTGGGTGAGGTGGGTGGGCAAGGAGCCGGTGGAGGCGAGGTGGGCGGCGACGGGGTAGGTGGGGGTGTGGCTGGTGGTGAAGGGGGTGATGGTGCTACGGGTGCTGCTGAGGGACGGGATGGTCTCAACGTGGAGGTCGCGAAGGGCGACGCTGCTAGCGTCGTTACGGCCCCTGTGGAGATGGATGCGGAGGAGGAGAGGAAACGCGGGGATAGTGCTACGGGGCGGTAGGGGGAGTGGTGCGGGTGAGTAGGTACTTGTAGCTTATGGTAGAGGTGGGAAAACGAGGGCTTAGGGGGCGTCTTTGGTAATGGAGCTTTTCTTTTTAGGTAATAAAGATCGAAGTATGTAAGTCAGCTGTTATATTGCGCTGTGTTGTGGTTAGTGGTATAGGCGCCGGTTAATTTCACCACCCCTTCTAGCTATTTTCACCACCCCCCTATAATAGGCAACCGCTTATACTTCTTTAGTTTAGCTTTATATTTATGTGTTCGTTTGCTACCTTAAATATCCCGTGCTTTTTCGCTTTCGTACTTTTTTCTTTCTTGCTTTTCTCTAGGCTATATGCCTGAAGGTGTGTATACGCGTCTGCGATAATCTAACTTATCCTTAGTCGCACGGAGTAAATTGTATGGTTATACAATAGCGTTGGCAGCGTGAATTAATCACGTGGGGTGGTGAAAATAGTTAGAGGGGGTGGTGAAATTAACCGGAGCTAGTGGTATAAGGGTATACCTAGTCATGGGCACTTGTCTGGTTGAGTCTGCTACACTGCACTCGAGTGCGTGGGTTGTGTAAGCTACTAAAGCGATAGTAGTTAATGCTATATTTTAAAGGTATGAACCCGTGGAATGATTCAGGGAATTCAAATGAGTGAGGTTTAGGAAGACAAAAATGATTGGTATTCTCCATTTGGTTAGCGTGTTCTTAGTCAGCATAAAACTCGCTCCGCACGGCTCGCGCTCCTAACTTCATTCCATTGTTCCCATCGTTTGTTTGCCGGATGACGTGCCGAATCTATCAAGATTCATGATGCTGCGCTCCACTGGATTGAAGCGGCCCGGGCACTTGGCTATCGGTCGCTCCTCACATTCTTTCAATGTCCAGAACACAGCTCAGGCTTCGCGCCGGACATTTTACTTGCATTCGACTTCATCGAGGTCTTCTGCCCTGCCGCTGCGACAACGAGAACTCTCCTCGAGCAGCATTGTGAAGCAGAACAACGCATCCTTTTTCGACTCCGCGAGCCTGAGTGTTTGTCAAAGGCGAGCGTTTGGGCAGACTGTTCAACCGCGGAACGAGGAGCTTGGAGAAAAACAACAGGAAACACAAGACACGACCGAGACTCTGTCTGCACAGCCAGAAAATGGAGACGTACAGGGCCCTTCCCTTACACCAGATCAACAGGCTGTCTTCAATCTCGTAGTCAACGAGGGAAAGAACGTCTTCATCACCGGCCCTGCCGGCGCGGGCAAATTCTTTCTTCTGCAGAAAATCATCGCCAGTTTGAAGGAAAAGCACGCCGCGCATCCAGAAGCAGTTGCAGTGACGTCCGATTCAAAAAGTTCAGCCGTCAACATTGAAGGACGGACAATTACAGGCTTTTCAGAATTTTACAATTTCGATGAATATGGTCAACCAGAAAAACTCGACAAAAAACGGTGGGAGTTTATAAACATAATTCTCAAAGATCGAGACAAGAGCCGTCGCTGGGAACAAACCCAAGTACTCATTATCGATGGGTTAACCGAGTTCTCCACCAAAGATTTTAGCAAGATGGAAAATATCGCGCGCAAAGTCCGCGGCAACAAGTTGCCATTCGGAGGAATACAAGTAGTAATTTCGGGGGACTTTCTCCAGCTACCAAGCTTCACATTGCCGTTTAAATCTCAGTACTGGCAAAAATGCATGAAGCACACGTTTGTTTTGCCCGACATCTCCAGGAAATCCGATCCGGTTTTCGAGGAAATGCTCAGCGAATTGCGAGAGAACCGCCTTTCACCGAACTCAATCGAGCAATTTCGAAACCTGAGCCGACCTTTGAGCCGCAGGGATGGAGTGGAACCCGTCGACATTATATACCCGAACACTCTAAAGCGCGCTGAGGGTGGTAATCTTGGACGACTGAGCAAGCTTCGCGGCAGGGCACGTACGTACGAATCCAGGGATTGGGGCGACGATGAAGCAACTCGAAAACAACTGCTGGAAGGCGGAGACCCTGCTAGCTTTGTGCGAAAGACGCTGGAGTTGAAGAAGGGTGCTCAAGTCGTGCTCATCAAAGACGTGAAATCCCCACCACTCGTCAGTGGATCACTGGGACGGGTGTTAGGATTCATGACGGAACCCGAGTTCAAGAAGAACCGAGCGACGATTGAGAGCGAGTGGTTGAGCAGCGGGATCCCCGAAGACGAAATCGAAAACGTAGAAACGGCCGGAAGCGGCAACGGCGAAGAAAAGGAGTATCCCGTAGTGTATTTCCCGTGTAGAGACGGCCAGAAAATCGTCCGGCTGTGCACGCCGGAGGTGTGGCAAGTGCAGGAAGGAACGCGGACGCTGGCCGCTCGCGAACAAGTCCCGCTCCTCCTTGCATGGAAGCTCCATCGATACATAGCCCGGCTCCTGACCCTGGACTTCGTAAAAACGAACCTTAACCTCGTTTCCCATTCCGGCGACGTGTATAGCATCCTGTCTTGTGCGACGCACAGGGACGGCTTGCAGGTCCGGAACTTTGATCCCGAAAAGGTCAAAGTATGGCCCCAGGTGCTGGAGTTATACAGATCCTTAACATCGAAGCCCAAACCTAAGGAAGCGACGGCCCAAACTCCTCAACGCCGGGTTGTTGCATCATCGCCCAAAAGAAGGGCTGCCTGGATGGGCCGTTCGAAGCGGGCAGCTTATTAGGATTTGGGAAAACTTTCTAGCGGATTTCTGCTAGCATGTAGCTAAAAGATATAGCTCAGTGCTTGGAACCAGTAATCCGTATATCCAACGCATAAAAGAATCCAGCAACAGAAGCTGTAATTCGCCATGCTCTGGTTGAGATAACCCTTTTCATCAACATCAAGAGAGATTGTCAGTGCAGAAGTTGTCGCTTCAGCGCAAGCGTTCAGCGACCACACTCGGAACCAAACACGAACAGCACTACCTCAAGCCGCCGCCGCATGCAGCCGAGTCAGTCCTCCAGCAGATCGCCGCCAGCGCATGACATTCTCTCTATTTTTAGCACGCGCCCACGTGTCCACAGGCCGCGTTCGTTGCGCGTGAGCCGTAAACACCACGCACCTCCATCATCATCAACTACACCATATCCCAAGCACCCACACCGCGCATCTCCCTATCACCTCAACCACAAACCAGCCCAAACCCACGTAACCAAAAAAACAAAACAACCAAACAAACAGCACACCAAACCACACCACACTACCAATCGACAATGTGGTTCGAACTGCAGCACAAGTTCCCCGAGCTCCCGCTCTCCGTCCTCATCCTACTGGGCTCGCTGCCTATCCTCCTCCTCCTGGTCCTCCTCTTCCAGACTTATATCTTGTTCCAGCAGTATCGCGTCCTGCAAGCTTTGCAGGCTTCTGTGGTTGTGGGGGGGAGAGAAAGGGAGAAGGTGTTGGTTGGCGAGGGTGGGGATGGGAGGGAGAAGGAGAGACGTGATTAGGTGGTTATGGTGATGTGGTGATGGTGGTGAGTTAGTGGGTTGTGCGGCGTGTAAGGCTGGGCGGGGACTAATGTGCTGTAGGAGAAGGAGCAGGGCGGTCGTGGTGCGCTTTTGTGTGGGTGGGGCGTGGTGGGTGAGGGAAATGGGGTGGCGAGGAGGTTGTGGTACCGTGGCGGGTAGCGAACTAGTTGAAAGCTGGGGTTTTTGTTTTGGTAAACTGTACAGGCTTCTGAAACTGAATGCTAAAAACAGAGGGTGATAAGTGCATTCTGAGAGGTCGATTATCAATGCATAAGATTAACTTTTTCGTTTGACTTTGTGCGGACGAGGTAAAAATAAAGCACGGTAGTGCAATCTGCGGAACGGACCGACCCGGTGATGGTATCTCATAATCTTGCTCTGACGTCAGCGATCGTGTCGTGTCAGTGTGGGTGAAATGGCAGTGTTCATCGCTATCCACCAAAAAAACCCCCTACGAACTATCCCCCTCCCGCTCCTCTTTCCCCAAAAGCCCCTTCTTATCCGCGACCCCAACATCAATTCCAAACCTCCCACCCGGCCACCACCCCAAACTAAACACCATATCCTTATACTGGCCCTTCTCTCTCATCTGCTTCCCACTCATCCACTCCGAGCCCGGCGGGTAGCACTTCTCCAACATATCCGACCCAGCCACCAGACTCGCCACCGCGGCCACGCTGCACGGGTTCTTCGGCAACACGCCCTTCCTGTCCAGCGTCACGTATGTCAGTATCGCGCACACGGTCATCGCCGCCAAAAACCCTTCCAAAACCCTGGTTGAGATGCCGTTTTGCTTCAGCCGCACGCGGTCCGATACCGTTAGTTTTGCGTTGATGGGTGTTTTTGCTTCGGCAACTGCTACCCGCTGCGTATTTATAACCTGTGCGAAAATGCGGCCATACAGCGTGTCGATGGCAGCGCGCAGCTGTGCGTGCGTTGCGTCGTCGTTGGCAAGGAGGTCGGCAGGGCTGACGCTATCAGAGCCGTGGAAGAGGCCAGCGAAGAAGCCGTCGACGACCGTATTGTTGATGCGTGCAGCGCCTTTCACGGTATCCGCCCACACGACCATGAGTTCGTCGGGGATGTTAGCAAAGAACGACAAGTTCCTGTTGAACGAGGCAGTCGTCTCGACAGGCGAGGGGAGCGCGGCAGTCAGGTTGAACGAGAGATCCTTGGCGTTAAGCACGACGTCGACGTCGACCGTTTCGAGGTATGGCGTGCAGAGAAGCGGCGAGAGGTGCGTCGCGTTGCCGTCGCGGACCTGGCCGAAAATGGCAATATTCGTGGGGCACCCGTCGCTCCAGTCGCCGAGGTTCTTGCCGATGGATAGGTCGATCCAGTCGCCGATGTAGTTGTTGCCGTTGTCGCGGATATCTTCGGTGGTGTTGTCGAAGACAGTAATGCTGAGCGAGTCGGTGTCGCAGATCTCTGGTAGAGAGACATTGAAGAACACGTCTTTGATAACCCGGCTTGGGGTTGATAACGACAGGGAATCATATCCGTAGGTAACGTTGGATATCCCGGCCGACGTGCAGTTTGATCGGGCGCGAAACGCTGGAATTCGAGCGGCGATGGAACCATACTTGACAGTCTCAGCGGGGATTTCAGCGGGGAGGGACGGAACCTCCAGGCTGGGAAATGCCAACGTCTTGTACGTGAAAAGGGGCTCATCAAAATCCTCTTTTAGAAGAAGGTTCACCATGTCCCAACCAACAGCGTTAGCGCCGCCACCGTAGCCTCTTATCGGGAACATGTCTTCGAAAGAGCCTGTTTGGGAAAGTTGAACATCGTAAGTCCGCGGGAGCGCTTCAGCGTAAAATAGGCCGCTTGCTGCAATGGTAAGGAGTGGCACGAACAACATTCCCAACGAAGAACTTGCCACTGCAAAGTGCTTCCGCCAAAGAGACCTCCAGATGCAGTGCAAACCAATTTTGCCAAGGTAGTTTTCTCCCAAAGGACCATCGTCGCATCCCCGACGTAAGAGTTGGTAAGGTTGAAAGATCTTGGCCGCAAAGTCCAGACTCCCGAAAAGTAACCCAACGGCAACTAGAATCGTGGTGGGAATCAAGGTGTAGGTATAATGAATATAATCGCTCAAGGAAAGGTCGCATATCCCGTTGTTCTTCTGATTGACCTGATAGAAGATTTCAAGTATGATAAGCAAAGCCAGCGGTACCAGTGTGATAACAAGCTTGGCTGGGAGGTTTACCGCCATTGGACGATACCAGTTGATTTTTCTGGCGCCATCAAATTCTTCTTCGTTCTGCTCAACAGCCTGCTCTCGTACCTTTGCATTATCTTCTGGCGCAAAGATTTTTACGATGCCAAATTGAGACCCGGAGGATTTGTCGGATTCCTCGCTGGTGTATTCTGATCCAGCCAGTCGCCATTCGAGTACTGCGAGACCGGAAGCTCCTGTACCCTCCAGTTTATCCAAAACGGCAGGAGATCGAGCAATAATGGCTGTTGTACCCTCAATTGGTCCGGGGTCCCGTGAAACACTTTCTCCTGGAGCTAAAAATACCATAAATGCTGCCAGTACAATCATGAGAACCAGAAAGCCCTCAATGAGGCCAAAAGATAGCGCCCTGAAAGTGAGACGGTTTTCCATGTGTGTGGTCCATCCTTCAATGGTTTGATTGGCAGGTTCCATGAAGTAAATGTTTGCAAGCTGAGCGGAGAAAGCTTGAAAAAAGGCATCCGTTCCATTGGCTAGAAGAATAGGGTTCGTTGCTAAATCATCCCAGGTTACGCTAGGCATCACGAGGAAGACATAGTCCGCTAGGTACTCGATGGAGTTAAAAGCTGACTTGGCTGATCCTAAGAGCAACCAATTCTCATACAAGGCGTCAAGTAGATCTGCTGGCTTTACTCCGGGCAATTTTGAGGAACCGCTTTTGGATGGTATGCTGATTTTCGGAGTTTCAATGACCGAGGAGTTGGTGTTCAGTACCACTACTCCAGGAGAGATGCCATACTCTGCCCGGCATAGCACTGTTGAAGAGTTGATCATATCGAGAGGAATATCATCGGAGTTGTCTTCCACAGTAGTTGTACCGAAACTCATTGCGACTCGTGTTTGGTTGTCCGAACATTGCATTTCTTCGGCTTCAAAAGTTTTCCACTCTGAGAAGTAGTCGCCTCCGAGAGTGGGCAGCAATTCGAGGTCTCCACATGTCTCGGAATGGAATCTGAACGTGAGCTGGAATGCTGCACCAGTGTTGGTGCCTTCGGCATGCTGTAGATGTAGAATTTCACAGTCGAGATTTGAGTGGAAGACATCGACTTTGCCAATAAGATCCACATTTGTACTTGGTACTAAGAATATAAAATAAGCCAGGGCAAGATCATGAAAAGTCAGATTCGACGGGTTTGTACTTACGTGAGGAAACATTAAAATTCTGATATGCGTATCGTGCCGTCGTTCCAGAAGGGAACGGTAGGCTGAAATTGTTAATCCCGTACAACCTGGAGAAGGCTTGGTGATCAACACCATCGCCATCAAAAGAGGTAGTGTTGCTGCCTCCAAAGGCATTCGTTGCGATGATATTTTCGGTGGGCAATTTGATGGCTGTGTATTGCAAGACAAACAATCCAGTACTTAAGATGGTAATTAATTTCAGCGCAAATCCTCCACCGACAGCTACAGAAACAGGTAAAAGGTCGAGAGATGTCAGGGAGTCGATGAAGGTAGTGATCCCGAGAGGAGAGATAAAGTCCAGTAGCAGGCTCCGACCCACAGGCTGAGGGCTTTGCGTTATCAGCTTCCACGGGGTAAGCTGCTTAGTTCTGTACTCTACTTGGCCCCAAAACGCGGCAACAATGGTGAAGACTTTTGAAGTCAGCTATAATGAAAAGAGGTTGAGAGAGCTGGTTTCCATTACATACCAGCAGTCGGCCCGTACTGCCACAGAAGGTATTTCTTCGGATCTGCGGACGCAAACCCTTGATGCGTGTTCGAATATTGTAACAAAATGGCAAGAACAGCAATAATAACAACGAAAACAATAATAAAGAAAACAAGAACCTTCCGTTGTAGGTAAATAGGCGTCCAAAGCCGGGATCCTTTGCCAGCCATCATTGCGTGGCCCTAAACATGGGTTATCGGATAATTTCGAGAACACTACTTTCGCTTCCCAGGGAAGCCAGCATCCTATAAGGCCGGCCGCAAGTTGGGCTCAAATGACCCTTTCTCGCTGTGGTGCATGCCAAACGGCCCCCACGTCGAGGCTTATCTGCCTAGAAAAGAGGCGCTGTACATATGTGAAACCATGTAAATCGCACGAGGGCGCTTAATAATAGGTCAGGTTGCACCTACAGATAGAAGAGGCGTACGCCATAGTGGCAACCTTCCGCACAGCAATCGACCATTGGTTTGAACGCCATCCTGATAGCGTTGAGATTATTTCTGTAGACGCGCCTTGCGAAGGCTGAAGCGAAAATGCGGGGATGACAGGGATGCAAGCCCAACCAAGCGGTCGCAACGTGGTCAGGCGGGAGCGATGGAGAAAAGATGTACGTAGATCTGACGGTCAGCGTGAAGGTTTGGCAAGGCTGTGCCTGTGTGTAACCACAATGAAATGATGATGATCCAAAAAAAGCAATGAGTCAGCACTGGCCGTGGACATGCAGACTTGCTTTATCTCCGGTGCGAGTCCATATCTTTTCTTTTCTTGTTCATCTTTTTTCTGCTCCGCCAATGGACCACCTTCATGTGCCGTCCCGGGTTAGCACATTTTCAAAAAAACAAAACGCAGAAGACCTCGAACGCGTAGACACGCCAGAAGACAAATAAAAATAAAAAAATAAAAAAAAATATATATATATATATTTAAGGACTCGCATCGACGGGCTAAAGAAATAATTGGAAAAAGTCCAGGCAGAGCCTTCGAAGATATATAATAGATGTCACAGTCGCTGTTCTACTGATTCCGTCAAAAGTCCAGTGCGTGATAACTGTCCCAAGTTCCGTGCTTCAAACAGGCAACTTCGTACTACGCAGCTCGTGCAAAGTCCGCGTCGACCGCAATATCTTCTCAAGAAGCTGTGAGTAACCCCACCCAGCAGCAGCAGCCGCAAGCGCAGACAAGCTAGCTTGGTCCTCTCTACCAGGCCGTCCAGGACCCGTCATGTTCTACGAAGATCAGCAAGACAGCTCTTTTTGGAAACGGTTAGTAACCACTTACTGGCTTCATGTTGATGTCAAAAAGCGCAAAACCAGAGTCAGGCTCAAACCGCCTCACATCAATCCTAATCGGGGCAGTCGTCTTCAACAACCTCGCCACACCCTCACACTCCCTAGCAACACGCGCATACGCCGGATCCGCAGAAGCTTCCTTGTCAGAAATCGCCCTCGAATTCGACGTCACGGCTCGCACGCCGTTGTAAGGCGCCACGCCATCGATGTGGTTGAACCTGGTGACGATGGGCAGCGCCCAATATCCCGGCTTCTCGGCACTGGGCGGCATGACTGTCACAGTGGCTTCTTCACCCGAAAGATACTGTTCCAGCATCACCTGCGGCGATTCCTTCCACAGAGCTTCTACGTGCGCGCGTAAGTCGGTGTTGCTGTGGCAGAGCTTCACGCCGTGGCTGCCCCTTCCTCGGATCGGCTTTGCGACAATCGGCACAGCGAGGTTTTTCTTCTTAAGCAGAGCTTCGAGGTCCTGCCCTTCCCCGATTATGCACGATGTGGGTATCGTGAAATCTCTGCTTCGTCGCAGCAGGCTGTTGACGTAGTTCTTGTCGTCGTAAGCCTCGACTAGCTGGGGCGGCTGGCCTACTACCCGGAGATCATTTTGGTAGCGGTCCAGCGCGCGCGAGATCTGCAATGGGTGTTCCGCGAACAGGATCGTGTTCGCCCAGAGGTGCGTGGCACCTGCTTGTACGGCATTGAGAATGCCCTCTTCGTGGTCGGGGAAGACCCAGCTGCTGTCGTTGCTGGGGTCGGGGGTTGATGGCGTGAGGACTTGTGCCCGCTGCTGTGAGCGCAGCACGAACGCGATGTCGGCACCGGAGTCGCGGTATCCTGTGCATTGATTCAGTATACAATATCTAGAGTCTGGTAAGAGAAAGACGCACCGCCGGGTTTCTTGGGCTTGCGCACCCCATTGATGACGGGTGGTTCGAGCGCTTGGTACAGCACCGCTACACGCGGCTTCCCGGCCGCCGCGGCGCTGCTGAAGAGTCGGCGCTGTAGAAGTCTCAGCCCCATTGCGCTTGTTTGTATAAACAGATGATGGGGGAGAGAAAGTCCGTACCTGCTTGTCTTCTGGTTGTTGAGGTTGAGGTGCGGAACGCTCCGCGGCGACGTCAGTGCTGAGCTCGGACAGCCCCGAGACACGACGGCCTTTCGCGACGCGTCTCGGAGTTGTTCCGTCAACTTCGTCTCGTCAACGCGGGGAAGCTCTTTCAATTCATTAGTGACATCTTCACCATGACTTTCAGGGCCGCGCGAGAAGGGTGAGAATCGTACCTGCGGCTTAACCAAGCAAACGGCGACGTCACGACACAGCAGCTTCGCGAGAAGTCGGCATGCGCGCCGCAACTAACGACATGCCGAATTCCCTAAGTGTGAGGCGGTGGCACTAATGGTCTGCCGAGCGTTTGAGGACGATACAACTCGATGGTTCGAAGCGGTAGAGGCATAACTTGCAAGGTCAAGAGAAGGGCAAGCCTGGAGCTTCTGCTTCCGCAGAACCATACATGAGAGCTGCAGGAGGACGTGCATGAGCGAAACACATTGCCGCATGGGGAAGAACATCACGGGCATTGCAAGCTGGTGTGGCTGGCTAAGTGCATGCGGTCATGACATTGACAGCTTGCTGCGGCTAAAAGAGAAAGTGTGGGCGGAGGAAGCTGTCACGGACTCATTCTGATGACGATAATGATAGTAAAGATATTCCTCGGTTATTTCAGCCGGTTGCTCTCCGTAGTATATTCGCAGAAGCTTGGAAGGCTACAAAATGGAAGCCGCGGCCTGTGCTGCATAGAGAAAAGAGAGGAAAATATAACAAAACAAATAAGAGCAAACTACGAAAATGCTTTTCCGGTCGTCTATTAGACAGGCCCAGCACCCGGATCGCCATCATCTCTCTTGCGGCCACCACGCCAGCTAGCAAAATGAAGCGACCCAAACGAAACTCTTCCAGCATGGCCCCGACGTGGTCGTTGCCTGTGTTCCGACCACTCAAGCCGGGCGTCAAAAAGCCATTCCCGGATAGCACTAGCGTTATACGCCAGTAGCATTGTAACGGAAAGGACGACAACAGTGGTCGGGAGTGCCGCGGCCCAAAAAGTACCCTGGGTTTTGTTCGTGTCTCGGATGTCTGCCGTATTCATGCCCATATAGCTGGTGACGAAGGAGAGAGGCAGAAATATGACGGTGACGAGCGTGAAGATGAAGATTGCTTTGCTGTTGTCTTCTTCGAGGAGCTCGATGCGGTAGCGGGCCTTTTGCTCGATCATGTTTAGCCTTCCCATAAGGTGCATCAACTTCTTTCGTTCGTCTCTGATATCTTTCAATAAAGCGTTCGCAGCCGGCTTTATGAATTCGCGGTACTGTAGGCTTTGGAACGAGGTCGATATACGAAAACTTCGGGGAGATAGGACGGCTTTGAAGTCTGCAGCGAACTCTTCCTGTCCTTGAAGGACTTTCAAACATGCCGAAATCTCTTCTTGCAATGTCTGTACCTCCCCTATCAGGCGTTTCCCGGGAGGTTTGTGGTATGCTTTGTATTGCTGTAGGATATTGATTAGAAAAGCGGTAATATCCTTCATGTGATTCTATCTGACTCACCAATGTTGAAGTGAAACCCTCGTAGAGCTCTCGAACACGCTTTCCCTCGTATAATGGGCTCATATATAGGTTCTTGCACACCACAAGTCCCAAAAAATGAGAACCCACGGCAGCACAATTGACGGTATTTGTTTCTGCATCCGTGCGAATTAAAAGTACTACGTCTTTGAGGGCGTAGGCAATAGACTTTTGGGTTTCGTAGCCAAGGTAGTTTATGCACTCCAGATACTTGTTGATTTTGGTTTCCGCTTCGCTTGACTTGCCTATTGTGACATATGCGAGACGTTGGTTGATCAGTTGCAACGTACGATTTGCCGCCATAAGAAAGACAACTGTTTGTTCGAAAGCATGGGCCAATGAAGCCGGCAGTGCGTGGTCGGGTTTCTGAAGGCCTTCGGTTTTTGTTGAATGAATAACAACTTTTGATATCGCCAGGGCTTTGTCGAAAATCTTACTGATATTCGTCTTGCACAGGTCGAGAAATAGGATACGTATAGCATTCCGTTTTTCCTGGAGACCTTGTCGCGTAGTCCGAACCCAAAACGAAACTGCAGTGGTATCGTAGTGCGAACTTCGATAAGCCCTGAAATGGTTTTCCAGAAGGTGTTCCATAGCTGCGCTGTAAGAGTGGTATTCAATGCCTGAAGCGCAATATCCGCACGACTCGAACGGTTCCCTTGGGTATGGCAGACCTTCACCTGCTAACGCGGTTGCTTGTTTGTGGTGCATTGGACGTATGACCCAAGTTGGACTTTCTCTTTGGTCTTTAGAATCCGTCTGTCCATCGGAGCTGCTAACGTCGTCGATCAAACCGGTCTATAACCTCAATTTAGCATGATTTATATAATAGAGTTGGTGGTCTTACTTTTGTTAGATCAACAAGCGCTCCCCAGACTTTGCTAAGTAGCTGATCCGGATACGATGGTGGTTGTACAAACAATGAAATCAATTTCATTGCCGTTGGAACAAGAAACTCTAGTATCTTGTGCATTTCGTCTCGCTGAATTTTGGCGTAATTGTTCTGATGATTATAATGTGCCTTTGCCGAAGATCGATCAGTGTTTGACACAGGGTCATCATTTGATGTGTCCGTCCGATGGCTTGCAGTGGGTTTTTGTAGGTGCGATGATGTGTAGCCGTTGTGTACCATTAGATCATTTAGTTGTTTGAAAGTCATAGAAGAAGTTTCCTGATAGAATTGAGCATTGTTGTATTCTCCAAGAAAGTCGTAGTAATACGGATCATCGACAAGTTTGTACTTGGGGTTCCGAATCTTGGAATCCAAAGTGGAAAGTATCTGGTGCATCCTCTTTAGATCGCTGTCTTCCTGTTTCGGCTGCAGGTGAGAGCCTTCGGTAGCTGGTCCTCTCAATTTCCATTTTAGAAAGGGAAGTTCCACTTCGTTGTCCTGAGGAACTGGGTGGATATCTTTTAGAACATCTTTGGATAAATCTTCTGTTCGTAAACTTCCATCGGACGGTTTTTCAACATGGTGATCGTGTTGCTCTTTGCGAGGTTGTTTGCTTGGTTCCTGCAAAGAAGATGTTTTGCCACTAGTCCCCGGTTTACTTTTTGCACCATGGTCATGGGCAAAACCCCTAAGTTGGAGCGGAGTATTTGGAACATTTAGAGATAAACGATACATCTCTGGGTTGTAATTTGATGGCACTGAAGAGGTGTTGTTCACGATAAGGCCATCTTTGCTCAAATCAAGAACTCTCTGGCGCCGAATATTGTTTTCAATTCTCAGCAAGCCTCGGTCTAAGCCGTGTACTGTAATCGCCTTATCCCTATTGTCTTGAGCCTTGGAGACATTGACTGTTAGGATTGAGGTTTTTGCAGTTTCCAGGAGACCGAACCAAGTTTGGTCGTCCGAGATTGTCAGATCGCCGGCTGTGATGCAACAGTCGTTATCCACGTTGCAGTTCATATCTTTTAAACATGTTGACGACACAAGGTCTTTGAACAACTAAAGTAATGCTTAGGTTAGATCATTAACTTAACCAAGTATATTTGTAGCAGATCTTTAAGCTTTCGGGTACCTACGGAGAGCGGTACACAGTCTTTTACTGCGAAGAAAAAGAGACGACTGTGTGGATCAACAACTTTCAATACCTCAGGACCACCGGCTATAGTGACTGTCTTCTGGGTAATTGTTGGTGATAGCAAGTCATCGAGTGTAGCGCGGGAATATGAAATGATCGTATCTGCCCAAAATATTAGCGTTTATGGTAATTTTATGGAGTACCACAGCTTTGCCCGTGGGGTTTACCATTTCCTGCAAATAGCATCCAAACCTGGGGTACATATACAAGCTTGTTGGTAGTACTTGATGCGCATTTTCTGAGGCACTGGCTACTGTCACGTGCCTTAGTGCTCTGGTTATCGTAGTATGACTGCAGTAAGGTCCTGAGAGGATAGGGAGGTACTGAGTGTTTCAGCTCGGTTCTGTCATGAATTTCATCTTCCACTGAAAAATAGGAAAACGAAAGCCAAGTTGCTGTATAATCAACCTTGTCCTTTTTTGCAGGGTCTTCGGCATCACCCCGAATAGATGTTGAAAGTAAGTAGTGCCCGTTGGGAGTGCTTCTGAGGAGCTCATCGCGCACATTTGCCATAAGTCGAGTAATTACCAAGCTCATATTCTGGGAGATATGAGGGTCTTCTTCAACCATACGCTACAGGAGAAAATATTAATTATCGATAGTGGTTTTTCACCGAGCAAATAAAGATCACTTACCTGGAATTTAGCGAGGTCCATGAACTGACTTTGAATATGACTTAGGCCTGTCAGCAGCGGATTACTGGCCTTAGAAGTTGTGTGACCTACCGCCAACGAATGAAGCCACTTTCCCCTCCAACAGGCTCACGTGTGCCCTTCAATTCGACAAAGCCGTCATCTTGCTTGTCAGAGTAGGATGTTGCCGCTAGAATGTTCAAATCTTGTGATCGGTGGGAGCTAGCTTTCATTTCAGAACCAGGTCCCTCAAACGTACCTACTGCTAGGTTCGACTGTTTGAATGGTGTGTTGGAATCCTTCAGGCGAAGACTTCGTGGAAAGACAAGGTACCTGTTTCCACGGTACGATCGAGGCCTTTCACCCCTCCGAGTCTGAGCCCTGCTGACACGGAATATATGTTCAGATACTGTATCAGAGTTCGAGTCTCTCCATTCGTCCTCCGAATCCAACAAGGAACGGGATCTTGCTTTTCCGCTGCGAAATCTGTCCTCCCTAGATGGAATTGCAGATTCTGAGTTCCTATTCTCAAATGTAGACCTCCGCGGACCCCGTACGACATGAAACCCCGTAGAACTGCGTCTACGTGGTGAGGAAGTATTTTCAGTATTGTGTCTTACTACCCGTAGGTGATCGTCGTGTTCAGTTGGGTCACGTGGACGTTGAGGAGCGTCGCCTTCGATAGAGGCGCGTCTCTGTGGAGTGGAAATTTCTTCGATAGAAAAAAGACTCTGTGAAGAGGAACTGTTTGCAGTACCGCTCCTCGTCCGTAGAGGATAGTCGTCTTCAATAGAGGCGCGGGTCTGCGGAATAGAAACTTCTTCAATAGAGATGCGTTTCCGCGGCGAGGAACTGTTTTCGATACTGCTCCTCCGTATGGGTAAGGGAGAGTTTTCGACAGAAGTATCACTCTGAGGAGAGGGGTCATCTTTGAAAGAGGTGTGTCTCTGTGGAGTTGATTCGTCTTCGATAGGAGTGTGCCCCCGTGGAGGTGAACCGTCTTCGTCTTCGATATAAGGGCGTCTAGGCATTGCGGATGCAGTGAAAATTTTCGGCGCGGAAGGATATCATCAGAGCGGAGTTGGGCTAAATGCCGACTTCTAGGCTGTCGTGGGAATATATAGGAAGGGTAAATAGGAAGGTCGGCTACACAAGCGGGGTTATGTGCATACAACTCCCGATGTTCTGCATACGCATCAGCACGCCTTTATTGATGGCGCAAAGAACGAGCAAGGGGCTTATGCACTAAAGTGGAGTATTCAGCTGTCGTAGGCTCCTTATGGCTGGAAAAGTCCCCTGTAGCTGAGACCTGCTTCGGCGAGTTAACGTTCCGAGCTCTTCAGCCATGGAAGCCAACCTTCTGGATCGGCAAACCCCCATTGGTTATTCGACCACCCGGTGAACCCACAAATCTAAAAAGAGGTGCTGCACTTTCGTAGATGATGCATGTCAGCCCTCGGGTCATACGTTTACGAGAAGAAGCATTTTACATCACCGTCAGCCTCAGAGCACGTTTTTTTGGTGCAACGTCGCTGTATTCATTCACGCCCGCGACTGTCCCTTCCGCGTGTTACCGGCCACTGTCTTGTAGTTGCCAGCAAGCTCTTTCTGGGTCATATAGGGAAGCAAGGATACGATGTTAAATGCTTGCCCAAGCAAGTGTGGAGACTTCCAAAGCAAGTATAGGCTCTGACGATGTTAACATGGACGGGGAAGCGTAAGTGCTTCAATTCGTGATAGGATATAGTATGCTTGCTTCCTTGACCAATTATGGAAAGATGTCTTGGCAACCAGGAAGACAGTGGTGGCGACAAGGGAAGGGATGAAATTTTCGCTCAGGCAACTAAAGAGGCTTTCTAGGCAAATATAGGCCTTGGTGACACAAGCAGGGGAGGGATACAGGATTCAAACCATGAATAGGAATCAGCCGGGAACAGAAATTAGATGATAGGCGGGAAGTTACGAGTCATTTATAGGTGATAAGCAGAAATACAGTGTACAGACTGGTTTTCGTGGAGTCTGTGTCTCTTAATCGTAAGCGTTTGGACAACCCAAGCCTACGTTGTTTTTCGTGTTCTTGCTCTCACTCTTACTGGATTCTCAGTATACCAGCAACTCCGCCGGATGTACGGTCAGTAGACAGGAAAGCGTAAACAATTGAATAAGCTAAGTGGCGTGCGTAACTGCGTAGAAATTTTGCAGGTAGTGACTCGTCTCCCTTGATGAGAGGTGTGAGGTCGCCCTATCACTAGAAAATACATTCTTGATATATTACTGTTTATATGTTAGTGCTTGACAAGCTACACAACAATCAAACATAAATATTCCGCAGATAACCACGCATTAAAGAAAGCATTTTGCGCTCCCTCAATCTCAAACTCACTATTCTCAGCTGCGTAAGGTGGACAGTCTCGTGCATCGACGCATTGTGTAACGAATCGTCGTGTAGCGTGGCATCGTGTACTACGGCGCTCGTGCGTGCCTCTCTATGTAGCCGAAGAAGCCGTACTCGTAGGTAGCCTAGATGCAACAATGAAAGAAAAGACGTGTGAGTGAGTAGACTGTTAAGTAAACCAGAGTTTTCGGCAGGCTGCGACAAGCGTTGTGATCCCAAAATCTACCATGTGGAGGTGACACAGTTGTTTGCACGTGGACGGAACGGCCAACACCACTTGCAGTCTGCGCTGACCTATATTGTTAGGCCCTAATTCGTCTCACAGCCCCACCCTGAAACCCCTGTGCCCGTTGTCTCTCCATTTGTCCCGCTGAATCTGGTTCAGCACGTCAAACGCGTGTCTCAAGGACGCGTTCCCCGGATAGGTAGCCAGAAGTCCGTGATGACGCGCGAGAGTGAGGGAAGACATCAGCGTGGGGTCGATGGGTACGTGGCGCGGACGCATCCCGTCTCAGTTGTCACGGTCTCGATCAGGGCAGGGTGATTATCGGTCTTTCTTTGTCGATGCCGTTGGTTTGCTCTTCATCGATGTTTGTTGTTGTGTCTCTCGCTTCGCGAAGAAGCAACCACAAGCAGGTGGAAGCCACGACGCCTCATCGCACAAAAGGAAAAAAACCCACCAGGAATCTCACGCCTGAAGACCACAACACACCCGTCGTCATCATCATCAACCCTCTTGCGAGAGTCCCACCAACCGTCGTGTCGTCACACCCAGCCGAAACCAACAAGCTCAGCCATGCGGGGAGCAGTCCGTGCAGGTCCAAGGCAGCAGTCTAGGGACGACGTGGGGGCCAAGTTTCGACTCGTTCTGAGTTTATCTCCGAAGCGTGGAGGGGGAGGCAGCGGAGAGCTTACTGTGCTCGGTAGGTGCTATTGCAGGAACAGCGGGGTGTGACCTATTGAGCGACCCGGAGGTTAGAGGGGTTTCGGACGCTGCCGCATTTGCAGATCGTGTTGGATGGGGTCGCCAATTTCTCAGAGCTGGTGGTGATTGGTAGCGTGTCGCAGGCCGCGAGTCGCGTTACAACTACGAGTCGCTGCTATGAAAGAAGCTTCGACAGCACAGGTACAACCTACGCTTAACCTTACATACCATCGATGCGCCAAAAGTCAAAATCCTCTCGGGCCGGTCCGACGCCTCATTTCAACCTTCTTGTCGCCTGCTCTTCCCCACCAGCCTAAAGCCGACCCCGAGCCCTCGCTGTTTCGCATTGGTTCGTTCGAACATGTCGTCAGCACCGGTCAATCCCGCAACCGGCCCGTCTTCCTCTGCGCGCCGCGACTCCTATACTCCTAGCACTTCTTCCTCTCAGGGCTCCCAGCCCACCAGCACCTCCTCGCCTTCGTCGTCCGAATCGTCATCTGCATCACCTCCGCAGCAGCAACCACTGCCCGTGCGTCCTTCCAAGCCGCCCAAACAGCAGTCCAGGGACCCCTTCGTCTTCGTCAACATCGAGGGCGGCCAGAAGACGCAGTACCCGCCGTGGCGCGACCTGCGCAGCCACGTCCAACTTGCCGTACACGAAAACAAGCGGCGCAAAAGGGATAAGGCGTTGGGGCTGCCGCCGGCTGCCAGGGAAAAGGACAATGACAAAGGTGGTAATGCGAGGGAAGACGAAAGGAGGGAGCAAGAACGACGTCGCGCGAGGCAGCGGGTCGGCCAGCAGCACCACCAGGTGGCCATGCTGCCTCCGCGTGGCGCTACTGTCTGGAGCGTGGGTGCGGGCCGGGCCGACCCGTTCGCTGCCCTGCCGGTCGAGAACTCGGTGTATCTGGACCAGATGATCAAGTACTTCTTCGCCCACTACCCTGGCGCGACGCCGCTGGCCGACGACAACCTCGTCAACAGCGGAAATGAGCGCCTCCGCTCCCGCCTCAACTGGAACAACACGCTGTGGAATCTATTACGACAGGAGGAGACGTCACTGCTGGTGCTGCTGTACGGGATCTCTTTTGTGCGCGACATTGTCTCAAAGACGGAGATCAGCCGCGAGAGCTTGTCGTACATGGGGCGGACGATGGCGGCGGTGCGTGCGAACATGCCACCCGCCGGGGCAGAGGCGAGCCGAGGGCCGGAGAGCATTACCGAGTCCTTTGTTGCTGCTGTAGCGGGATTGGGTGCGGGGACGAGCATTGCGGGCGACTTCTCTGCCTCAAACTCCCACATCAAAGGCATGCACGCTCTGATTGCGGCCCGCGGCGGTATCGATACATTCACCAAGTTCGGCCAACGCACCTTGCTCTGGTGCGAGTTGAACGGTTGTGTCGCGCAGCTCAAGATGCCAATTCTCCGCCCTAAACCCCTCCCCATCAATCTCGGCTTCCCCCTTGGCTTCGAGCGCGCAGTGCAGAAACTCCACGCAGCAACGCTCACGCATCTCCCGTCGCTGGCAGAAACCCCGGTCGGCACGGCCCTATACCGAATCCACATGGTCGGGCTCGCGCTCGCGCCGCCATGGAACACAATCGTCGATCGCGAGGCCATCAGCTGCGTGCTCGACGTCGCAGAGTACGACCTCCTGGGGGAGCTAGTCCGGCTCAACAATTCGAGCGAATGGGCAGCGTACGCGTTCGCGCACTGCGAAGACGAGGCTTCATTCCCAAGCGCAAGCGCCGACACGGCTAGGACGGCGCCCCCCGCCCCCGACCCCGCCGACCTCGTCTACGCCGCCGTGGCGCAGGCCGCACAGCTCTACATCTGGGGCGTTCTCAGCGACGTGCGCATCGACTCGGCCGCGAAAGGGATGTTCACGCGGCAGCTGCGCGCTCTGCTCAGCGTGCCGGACCTGCTGCAGCGGTGGCTGGACGCGGGCGCGGGCCTGCCCGCTCTGGCCTGGATGCTGGGCGTGGGGTGGTCGGTTGCGCGGAAGCATCGGCGCGGCGAGGCGCTCACGGCGTGGTATGAGGCGCTGTTGGGGAGTGTGGCGTCCACTGTCTGGGACATGCTTGGCAGCGTGGACAGGTTGATGGCGGAGTTTCCGTATTCGGACGAGTTCTGGAAAGAGATGTGGAGGCTGGCTAACCGGTGGGGCGCTCTGGATGGTGGTGCTGGTGGGGGTGCTGATGGGGGTGCTGGTGGAGGTGCAGTGTGATGGTGGGTGCTGCTGGTGAAGAAGTCGAAAAGGAAAGAGAAAAAGTGAGGACAATGGGCTGCCTGGCTGGCTGGCCGTCCATGGGCGAGCTCACGCTCTCAGCAACAAGAGCAGCCCGAAATCCGACGACCCGCCGCACCCTCGCGTACAGGCAGCATGCCTGCATCCATCCACCCATCCATGCCCGTATGCAGGTACATAATCCGTACACGACAGCGCAGCACGACACAGCACAGCCACCACCACCACAACTACCACCGCGCAAGCAGGGATCCGCGCCTTCCAGATCATTCCAGAACGTTTCGCGTCGTACGGCGATATGCCCACGCACCGGCATACGTATATGCGGCCCTTGTAGCACAGCAGTATGCAGCACGGCAGGCAGTATGGAGCTGCTGCGCAGCTGCGCCACGGGAAAAAGCAGAAAAGTGGGCGAGCGGTGACGGAACGCGCGAGTGTTGTAGGAACGCCAATACCGCGCACGAGTACGCGTGCGTCTGCTGGAATTGGACATGCCAGCTACATGAAAAGCTCCGCTCGAATCGCCGCCTTGTGAGCGCGCAAAGAGCTAGGCGTAGCCGAACGAGGCGATGGGCTGGAGGTGGGTTGTAGAGGAAGAGAGGGAAGGGGGAGAGGGCGATAGCAGTAAGTGTCCATGTGTTATATATACACTGTGATTTGAGATAGCCTATATACCCCTTCTACGCCGTTCGTATATATATATATAGATACCGTCGCTGCCGCTTTACCTATAGTAGTATATGTATAGACGCGTTGTCTAGCATGCTGGCTGTGGGCTGGTGGTATGTATAGCAGGTTCTATGCACGGCGGAAGCTGCCTACCTCTGCGTGTGGTGGTGTAGGCAGGCGGACGCAGGATATACCGTTCCGCACACAGTAGTATAGACAGCCAGCAACAACAAAGACGAAAGATGCGACGACAACGACCTTGAACAAGGACAAAGCACAAGCAACCAGCGCGCTTGCAAGTGCGCCATGCGTAGTCAACAATGCTGTTGTTAAGCTTCAGTCGACCTGTTGCTGCACAACGCGATGGTCGCGGACGTATATCTGCAGCGCGCTGGCCTGGTTGGAAGCGCACTACACACAGATGCAGAACGACAGAGACAACACAACCATGTCCAACAACGACTCTGCAAACATGTCGAACGACAACCAACAACAGCAGACGACCGAGCAACAACAACAGCCCGAACAACAGCAAGAAGCCGAGATCCGCGGCCTACAAGCCGCCAACCGCGCCCTCGTCGCCGAGAACGTGACCTTCCGCGAGGAGATCTACGGTCTCCTGCACGGCGAGCAGCCAGCAGAGACGGCGAACCGCGCCCTGGAAGCGGAGAACGTGCGCCTCCGCGAGGAAATCCACGAGCTCCTCCTCGACGAGCAGCAGCTGCTCGCCGCCCAGCGCGCCGCATCCGGGCGCCGGATGTAGCGGCTCGAAATACGGAACCGCGCGCTCGAGGACCGGGTCCAGGGCGTGCAGCAGCGGCTGGAGGACGAGCGCACCGGGTTCTGGATTATTGTCCGTGGGCTGGAGCGCAGGAGCCAAGGGCTACAGGACCAGGTAAGACGCCGTGATGAGCGGGACCGCTTGGTTGCTGAGCTGAGGGAGATGATGGCCGTGCTGGTAAGGGCGGAGCAGGCCGAGCAGCAGGCCGGAGGCGTTGAGATGGATGCGGATGCGCCTGGCGAGGCGGGAGAGGCACCGGCGGAGCGCGAGGGGGATGGTCCGGTTGGTGGTGCTGCCAACGATTTGGAGCTAGACGAGCACGAGGCGGCGGCAATTGCGCAGGCGTTGGAGACGGTGGCGACCATGTTTGGGAACCATAATCGCCTTCGCTGATTTCGTCGCCGGTGATGCCTTCGCCAACTTCATGTCGTGTAGCCTCTGTCTCGTCTTTCTGTACTGATCAAAGACGCCGACTTGTGGCCTCCGCTCTTCGCTCTCCGCAAAGGACGGCCGACCACGAGTCTTTCCCTTTTCCCTTTCTCTTTCGCTGAGCAAACTCGCAGACTCCTTGCGAGGACCAGCCAGGCTACTGTACCTATGCAGTCGTGGCCGAGAGCGGGAGACTGCGCCAGCTATAGAATAGTTAGTTTCTACTAAATGCTAGTGTTAGCAACCAATTTGTGCAATGGGTGGAGTGTGCAGTTTGAAATGTTCTGAGTGATTTAGATATTATGCCGTTTTCATGTGACGATTCAACGTGTAAGCTGTGCCCTTTTCGCTGACCTAGGTACGTCTGTCCTGCCAGCACTCAGGCACTATGTACGGGCGTAAAGCGCGAAACCGCACGATATCAGTGCCCGACGATAGTACCTAGCGATCCGTCGATAGTGGAGAGAGATGATATTGCCTGACGACAGTGGAGAGAGTTTTCGAGCTCGGCCGAAGCCGTCCTTGCAGAAGGATGCTGCAGGCTAGGCAGCAGTGCATATGTACGTCGGCGGGCGCGGGCGCGTGCAGTCTAGAATGCCGGGCAGTCAGTTAGTCGCGTAGTTAGCGGCAAAATGGGCCCGGTTGGCGGCTGTTTGTCTGATCTGATGGTTTGAGCCGCATCTGCTGGGGTGGGGTCGTGTAGGTGGATGGGAGGAGGGCGGGTAAATGGTTGATGGGTGGTTGATGGATGAGAGGTGGGTGGTGGGTGGCTGAAGAGAGGGAGATTTGAGGATATGGGAGATGCATTGGGGATGGAGAGTGAGGGAAAAATGTGTCTGTCTGTCGCGCACCACCCCTCATCAACCTCAGTCCTCAACGAAGCATCCACCCCATCCACCGTCCCTGCGCCGCAGCCTTACGCACCCGGCACGACGCACAGGCACAGGCACAGGCACAACGACAAGCATCACCACCCGCAAGCACCCACGAACCAGCACCAACTACCTACCAGTCAAGACAGCACGCTCTCCTCCCGACAGAGCCTCACCCGTCACCACCCAACCCAGTTAGTCACCACGAAAACCAATCCAATATCCCGCCTCTCGCAAACCCTACCCTACCCACATGTACAATAGCCGTACCAAGGCACCATCGCCGGGCCATCTTACGACTTGACTTCCGTCCGCTAGGCTGTCCGGTGCCGCCTAAAAATAGGCTCTACCTCGGCGCACAACCCCGGACGTGCGTGCGTGCCGGGTGCAAGGTGCAAGGTGCGCGGAATAAGCTTGTTACTTGTTGCTTGCTTAAGCACCAGTCAGTACGGTACGGTACACACGTGTGCGCTGCGCGGGCGTACGTGCAACGGCCTCGATGGCGGGTGCGCCGCCTGCGAGTGCGCCGCTGCCGCCGCCGGCTCAATTCTCAATTGATCCTCCCCATTAATCCCACCCAGACCTCCACGCCTCAGCACACCGTCAGCTTACCTGCCCTGCGGCCTGGCGGCGCGGCCCCGGGCGCACAGGCTCGCATGGGGACCGGCGCCGCTGCTGAGTCACGGCCTTGTCGTGCGATTACCTAGGTGGGTTTTGGGTTCTCGTACCCGCTTGCTGAAGATTTTGCGCTCGCCGTTCGGTACCTAGAGTGAACGGAGGCGCGAGTTGCGAGAGAGGAGACGTCTAGATGGTCCCGGACCTGGGCCCGGACCTGGACCTGCGCCATAGGTAGGAGTACGGAGCAGGCGTGCAGGTACGATAGGTATCGATTCGATTTCGTCACGCCGGCATGTGACACACGGCGTGCGGGCTGTCCCTGCGCGCTGCTGATGCTGATCGGGGATACGCGATGGAGTGGCTGGACCGGGTGGAGCAGCCGCAGCCGCAGCCGCACGCTCGCAGTGGCAGGCTCGCTCCAGCTCCAGCACATCACGTCGTTCGTGGCGGAAGCGTGCATTGATATAAAAAGGGCAGCCGCACCAGCACCAGCAGCAGTAGTAGCACGTTTGCGCCATACCTACCCGCCCACGACCACGACAAGGAAAAACCCGTACCCACGTCCTGTACCTACCTACCTACGCACGCTACGCTCACGACCCACGCCCGAACAACCAAACATGTACATCACAACCGTCATCATGAGCGTGTTCGCGCTGCTCTCGTCCAGCACCAGCACGAACGGCAACACCAACACGAACGGGACGCTCGCCTCGTCATCAGACAGCGCCAACACGCAGACATTCCTCCTCGACAACTTCGTGCTGCACGACCCTAGCGGCGAGCCAGGCAACTACATCCGCACGCTGAACTTTGACGTCAGCGCCGCGGACAGCGCCGACAAGGACGACGACGACAAGGCAAGCAACGACGACGCGAGCGACGCAAAGAACCACGCGCTCGTGCACTGCGCTGCCAGCTGGGATTATCGCATGGATGGGTACCCGAGGGGCTACGTACGTGTTTCCTCAGCCTTGTGCGCGGAATAAGACTTGTGAAGGAAAAGAGGAGAAGGAAAGGATTTCTGGTGCTGATGCTAACCTTGGTGATGTTGTGGATAGGTCCCCTGCAATTCGTCCGAGTGGAACTGGTACGTCTCCTCATGGAAGGAATCGGCGTTCGAGCTCGAGGTGCTGCGCATCTGGGATCCGGAGAACGAGTACGTACATCTATGCCCCCGCCTACCTACCCTATACCCCCCCGCCCTTGGCTGCACAGCCTGTCACACAGCATATTCTTGCAGCGCGCCCAGCTGCACGCATTCCGTTCTTTTTTCGCACGCACGCACGCTAACGCCACACCCCTAAAAATAGACTCCGCGAGTACCACCACCGCTTCGCGCACGTCCGGCTCAGCCAGGACGACGCGGAATGCACGTATGGTGGGTCGGGCGCGTCGAGCTGTGATTGGGGCGCGCTGAACGCGACGGTTTATAATGAGACTGTGAATGCGCTTGTTTAGGGTTGAGGAAATGGGGTGTCTGTTTTAACAAAAGGTGGGGTGTTTTGTGTTGGCTTTGGGTTGGGGTTGGGGCGCTATGGATGGTTGCATGAGTTATGACGGCTACGGATTACTACTACGGGCTACTATGTTTGATGATGGGCTGGGCTGGGTTGGGTTGGTGGTTTTGTTTCTTTTGCATGCATGTAGATATGCTTCTAGACGGCTGGTGTGGTGTGTGTATATACAGACATAGCTAGCTAGCTAATGCGCGGATAAACTTACCATACATACCTATCTTGCTGTCGCAAGCAAGCGATCGTTCCATTGCTGCCTTGCTGGTGCTCTCCCGGCAAACACCTCTCTCCACACCCTCATCAGCATCCTCCATCCCAACCCTACAGAAAACCCAGACCACCACCCACACAACCCACCCACTACCCCATCGGGGCAGTGCAGTGCAGCCCGTGCAGCCCAGCCCGTGCACCCAGCCGCAAACAAAAGCCCACACGTCACGCTCCCCCACAAATTCCCGTATTCCGTAACCCGCTACAGTATCCAGCCAGCCTGCCGGGCAGCATCACCATCACCACGCTGGGTAGGTACCTACTCCATCTCCTCTTATCTCAGCCGTTGCCGTTCGTGGTGTCACTACAATACGATCTATGGGTAGGAGTCCCTAGCCAGAGGGGTTTGACGGCGCGACGCGGAGCGAGGAGCGAGGAGCGAGGAGCAAGGAGGGAGGTCATCGCCGTCTGTCGCGTGCGTGCGCGTCGGCCCGCGACTCGAGGAACGAACGAGCCCAGGAACGTCCGTCAACGCCATCAACGCCACCAACGCCACCAACGCGGCTGCTGGAGCTAGCTGTCGGAGCTGGAGGCTGGAGGCTGGAGGCTGGGTGGCGCCGTGAACGGACGAGCGGGCGTTCTTGTCACGGCGATGGCGTTCCGGGTGGTCGGGCGTACGGAGTACGGATTATGTAGAGTACTTTTCTTTACGGACGCTTGGACAGCAGGACGGTGGGCGGGAAGAGCAAAGCTTGAAAGCGAAAGCCGGAAGCCAAAAGCGGGAGGCGGGAGTGCGCGACTGGTCAGGGCGTTGGACGGTGCCTTGGACGCACGGACGGACGGACGCTGCCTCCACCACTTGAATCAAAGAACTGACTGTAACTAGGTAGCCAAACGCAACCTCATGTCTTCATACGCACTACTCATGAGTATACCCCATTACACCAGCAAGAAGCCGTATTGACAGTACCTATTGGAAGTCCTCTCCCCACACGTCACGGCCCGAGACAGCGACCCGGTCCTGGAAGCGCGTCGCGTCATGACGTGTTACAACTCAGCACAGCTATCTGCTCGTAGTATTACTTACGGCTTATAGAAGTCCTGGAAGATGGTAAACCTTCTTTTTATGTCTATTTCATTTCCTACCTTACTGATGTTTTCATGTCTCTAAATTTCAAATTATCTCTCCCACGCCGTCGGTGCTTCTTCTGATCCCAGAAACGCCAACAGCTGAATCGCCGCAATGCCATACAAAGCCGTAATATTCGTCGAAACCCACGGCGCCTCCTCTGCCGGCTCGAGCACCAAATGGCGCGGTATGATCTCACTCCTCCACGGCCCAGGCCCATACCCATCACTGCAGAAAAACTCCTCCCAAGCACGCTTTGCCAGACCTGCATCGTCCAGCCTTTTTGCCGCATACGCCGTAAGCCGCGAATGCCCCTGCCGCAGCTGCAACGTCCCAAATCGTGCATCAAACCGCTGGATCTGCTCTTTTGTCGCAGCGCCAAAGTACCGACAGTACTCCAGCCAGGCCCGCTCGAACCTTGTCGGCGTGTCAGTGCCAAAGCTCTCGAGCAGCTCGGCGCAGAGCTCAACGAGGCCGAACATGGCCGACAGATGCGAGACCTGGACTACGCCGTTATTAGCTGGGTCCTGCGGCGGCGGCGAAAGACGTCCGGTGCGCACATTGTACACCGCTTTCCCGGTGACGAAGCCGTTCCTCAGCGCCCCGATCCCGGCCATCGTCGACAACAGTTTGTGCTTCGCCTGCTCCCAGCCCAGTACCCGTCGCTCCCAGGCGATGAACCAGGAGGCAGCGAGGGCGGACCAATCGGTACCGAGGGCGATGGCGACGTCGTCGGGATCCGTGAGATCTTTCCTGCCGTGCCTCTCGACCTTGCGATACGGATCCAAGACCACAAAGCTCTTCTCCGCGTCCAGCGTCTCCAGCATCAACTCCCCCGTCCGCTCGTCCCCGCCCGAGAGGTAGTAAAACGCGCGCCTGTACAGCGCGTTCGATACGCGCACCTGCTTGCAGCTGTCGCTCCAGTGCTGGACGCCGTGGCGGGTGCCGAGGCCCTTCAGCGCACCTAAGTGGTAGACGTCCACTTCAGCAGTGTGTCGGGTCAGCGCTTCGGCGACGCGGTAGACATCCGCCCGCCCGCTGCGCAGGAAGTACAGCCATAACCAGAGGTCGGGCGAGAGCTCCGAGTTGTCCCATGCGTACCCGCCTACGTCGTACCGCCAGCTGTGCCGTGCATCGTCGTAGGTGTGCTGCACGTCGCCGTGGTCCCAGAAACCGTACCAACGCCGGGAGGCTATTTGAGAGTTGTAGAACTGGAAGAGGAAGGAAAGGTTGCTGTCGAGTTGCGCTTCTGTTGGTGTAGGCGGTGTGGATGGCGATGGCGTCCAGTACGTTCCTAAGGCTTCGGTTTGGCGTATGGCCTCCCGCTCAGCGATGAGCACAGGTGGGTTCTGCACGTATGCCGTCAGATGCGCGAAATCCTCAGGGCTCGGTGTATGCTCGACTGCGAACAGAAAGAACTCGTTCGTGCGAGCAATACCAAATGACGTGCCCAGCCCTGGCTCCCAGTCCTCGTAAGTCATCTTCATGGCATCAAGCTGATCGTTATAAGTCTCCTGGCCCAGCCCATCATGGTACTGTCGCAGATCCATCGGCTCCGCCTCCGGACTATACAGCCACGCCGTCACCTGCCCGACCTTCTGCCCTGCATTCCGCACGTCCACCCGCGTGAAATACCGCTCCCAGAAGTGTCGCTGCCCCAGCACCAACCCCCCTCGCGAAGCACCACCAAGATAAACGACCCCACTCGCGCGATTCCCACCGGGGATATTAACCCAGGCACGCCCCTCGCCCGTCCGCTTCCGCACCGTATACCCATCTGGCGAACTTTGCGACAGCGTATAATCATTCCACACCGGAACCCACTTCAGCCGCGCCACGAACTCCGGCTCCCAGGCCCACAGCGCAGGCGCCGGCTTCCCCGCCCTTTGCGCGCGCCGCACGCCCTCGCCCGGATCCTTCCACAGGCCCGTGAGCCCCTGCGGGCTCTCGGCGAGGACGCCGCCGCCCGCGCTCGAGAACCGCACATGTCGGTCATACGCTGCTTCGTCATTCAGGGGCACGTCGAAGCGCACGCCCAGGCCGCGGATGAAGGCGCGGGTGGCGTCGCCGTCGAAGACGATGCTGTGCGCGATGCGGATGTGGTGCGAGTTTGCGTGGAGGTAGAGGCGCAGCGTGAAGGGCAGCCAGGGGGCGAGGGGAGCTGCGTTTTCGGTGGTAGGGAGTTCATGGTGTTTGCCTCTCAGGGCGACGACAGCGCGGACGGGCCCGGCCTGCTCGACCACGGCGTCGTGGACTTCGCCGCGGAACTCGTGGATGTGCGGGCGCGGGCCTGGCGCTGTTTCGTCTTGCAGCGAGGTCTGCGACAGGAGGACTAGGCGCCCGTTTTCGGCTACGGTTTTGCCTGCCGCTGTGCTGCTGATACGCTGGATGATGCTCGCGCCGGCCTTAGGTATAACAACGCTGATTTTGCCCGTGCTGACACTGATAGCTTCGTCGCTCGAGCTGACGACGATGGAGGGTTCGTCTCTCGACCTCGCGGCTGTGTCTGGTTCCGGGGGCTTGTTCTCTGCATAGATGCAAAAGCCGTCTCCCGCGCTCTTCTCCAGCGCAGGCACGGCATGGGCGGTCCACTTGAGCGAGCCATCGGGCCAGCACGCCGTCGGCCACGACTGCAGCGGAATGGAAATGGCAGTGCCGCCGTTGCTTGCGCATGTAAACGCCGTGAGGCCGAAGTGGTGCTTGCCGCGTGCCCAGGGGACGCCGAAGGTGGCGCCGTGGGTGGCGGGGGAGGTGGTGGGGAGGGGGACTATGCTGACGGCGTCGGCAGCAGTGCGAGCGTTTGGCATGTTAGGCTGCTTGAACACGCTAGTCTGGTGTTAGCAGTCTTTAGAGGCTCAGGATGATCTAGAGTCAAGCTTTTGGCACGGTGTAGGTAGAGGTGCCTGACCTGCGAGCTTCACTGTGGGGTAGCGAGCTTGGGTGCTTGGCATCGCGTCTTTGCGGGGGGCGATGGCATCATGCGTGCGCTGCCCCTCTTGCCGGATGGGGCGTTTGCGCCGCTGAAGCGAGCCGTTTTGGGCGTGTTAGATGGCTTCTTGATGGGTTGTGGGGGTATTTTCCACCCGTATGGCACCATTGATAGCATTATTGCGTTTCGTGGACGCTATTGGTTGGGCTGGGATGAAGAGATGGGCTTGCTGTGGCAATGGGTTAGTCACTGTGCGTAAGAATGTTGTACTGATCAAACAAATATATAGCAGCATCGTCAGTTCGGCATCAGTTATTTGACGTCTTGCCTTGACCGCGTTTCATATCTTCAGAATGGCTTCCCGGCCTCCAGATCACAACATACACGAAAAAAATGGAAGCCGCACAGTGGCTACGGAAGTTCCCCTCTCTGGGCGGAGCAGCGACCTCGTCGAGACCAAACAAACCCTCTCCCCTTACCGCTTACTGCCGTGGCTACGCTCGAAACACGCCGTATATCTAGACAGCATTGCGACCGAAAAAAGCGTCTTCGACGACCCCGAGCTCGCCGCATTCTACCACCCACGCGCCGACTACGAGAACCTGCACCGCTTCGACCCATCCTTCCGCTGGACCTACCGAGAAGAGCTATCGGTAGTGCGCAAAACAGACGTCAACATCTTCCTCTGGACACTAGTCATGTTCTTCGCGCTCAACATCGACCGGGGCAACCTGTCCAACGCCGTGGCCGACAACCTGCTCGACGACATACACATCACGACCAACGACTACAACAACGCGCAGAACCTGTACCGGGCAGGCTTTCTGCTGGCCGAAATCCCCTCCCAGATGCTCGGCAAGAAGCTGGGCCCCGACCGCTGGATCCCCGCCCAGATCGTGCTCTGGAGCATCGCGTCGGGCGCGCAGTTCTTCATGCGCGGCCGCGCGGCCTTCTTTGCGTGCCGCTTCTTCATCGGCATCTTCATGGGCGGCTTCATCCCCGACGCCGTGCTCTACCTGTCGTATTTTTACAAGACGAACGAAATGGCGCTCCGCCTCGCGCTGTTCTGGTTCACGGATGCGATGGCCGGCGTCATTGCCTCGTTCCTCGCGTACGGCGTGCTGCACATGCGCGGCGTCGCGGGCCGCGCGGGCTGGCGCTGGCTGTTCCTCATCGAAGCGCTCATCAGCCTCGGCGTCGGGGCGCTGAGCTTCGCGTTCCTAGTGCCTGGGCCGACGCAGACGGCGAAAACGTGGGTATTCCGGAACGGGTACTTCAGTGCGCGCGAAGAAAAGGTCATCGTAAACAGGGTGCTGCGCGACGACCCCTCAAAGGGCGACATGCACAACCGACAGGCCATCACACTGCCCATGCTCGTCCGCAGCCTCGCCGACTACGACCTCTGGCCCGTGTACGCGATAGGCGTCCTGTTCGAGATCCCCGCCGCGCCGCCAAAAGCCTACCTCTCGCTGACGCTGAAAGCGCTGGGCTTCTCGACGTTCGAGACGACGCTGCTCGGCATCCCGGCCACGGTGCTCGCCGCCCTGACCATGCTGCTGGCGACGCACCTCGCCGAGCGCTGCGGCCAGATCGCGCTCGTTGGCCTGCTGGCCCAGGCGTGGGTCCTGCCGCTGCTGGTGCTCGAGTACACGTCCGCGGGCACGCTGCCCTACTGGGGGCAGTACGGCGCCCTGCTCGTGCTCCTCGCCATGCCGTCCCTGCATGCCGCGCAGGTGGGCTGGTGCTCGCGGCTGAGCGGCACGGTGCGCACGCGGGCGGTGGGTGCCGCCGTGTACAACATCACCGTCCAACTATCGGGCATCGCGTCGTCAAACATCTATCGCGCGGACGACAAGCCGCTGTATCGCCGCGGGAATAGAGAGCTTATTGCCATCAATGTCGCGGCGATGGTGGCGTATGCGCTTGCGAAAGGGTATTATCTTTGCCGGAACAGGCACAAGCTGCGCCGCTGGAACGGTATGAGTAAGAGGGAGCAGCAGCACTATTTGGCGACGACAGCGGATCAGGGGAATAAGCGGCTGGACTTTTTGTTTGATTCTTGATTTGGTAGTTTTGCAATCTCCGAGTCAAGATTGGCGGTTCACATGGTTCCGCTCAGTGAAGCCGTCCTGCGTGCGTACGTACAGTGTAGCAGCAGGCAACTGTGGCGACGAAAAAAAGACCCTCGAATGAAAACTAAGCTAGCCATTGTGGAAACACCTACTAGACTAGTACACCTGCCGTCCAAGACTCTAACATCTAAAACTTAATCTCAAACGTTAACACTAGCCTGCCTGCACTATCCACCCAAACGACATCCCCAACCTCCAACCTGCACAAGATGTGTCTCCCCTTCGCCGTAGCCGCTCTCCGTTTTCCGCAGAGCGTACGGCGGACCCCGGCGGCCAATCCCGTCGAACCCCCGCTGCCCGAATCCCCCACCGGGTGGGTCTTCGTTTCCATCAAAAGCCAGCAAACTCCTCAAAACCATTCCCAAGCCCAAACCCAACGGCAGCAGTACCAGAGCCGTGCCTTGCACTGCTTATTTCCACGTTTCTCTCCCGCTCAGACTTCTGCTTTTTACGCCGCCTGTCACGGCAATGGAAGGCCTAGCACCTGCAGCTTCTATTTATGATACGAGTTGTCTAGGAAGCCTATAGCGCTGAGACGAGTCTGTGTAGCTGTTTGGAATGGCTGCTCGTAAGCCGTGTCTTGGTTCCGTGTAACAACAGCCTTGCCGGCTGTGCGGCTGTTTGAACGCTGCAGTGAGCTTCGCGTGGAAAAGTAGATCTATCACCACGACGCGAAGGGGACGTCTGAACCGGCGTTTCCCCAAGGTGAGGCGCGGTAGTAGAGTGAGTTCGTTCAAGCGCTCTCTGCCACGCAGAGGAGCACCAGCTTATCCGTCTACCCTTGGTCCTACCCCCTCCCCCGTCGACTGTGCCTCCCGATCTCCTACCCGACCGCACAGTCCCGCAACCCCAGCAACCTCGCACGCTTCACACGCTTCGCTGGCCGCGCGGCAGTTGTCACTTCACACGCGTTAATGCATTTGCTGCGAGCTGCACTGCGCCGCGGGACGAGGATAGAAACAAAAGCAATCTTTATGCGCGCCGCAGGGACGCGACGGGGATGCAAGGTGCGGCGTAGTTGCGTATTGTGGGCCACGGGCTGTGATTTGCTGAGAGCGAGGGGCTGAGGGGAGGGCGGTACGCGCTGAGGGGGGGGGTATATACCTAGGTGTGTGGGTTTGCGGTGTGGTGGTGGTTGTGCTTCAGACAACAAACAAGACTTGCAGAACCATCTCCCCTACATCTTTACATGCTACCTAACTTACACGACCACGTTCGATCCAACTAGACCACAATGGCCGACTTCGCCTGGAACAAAGCCGAGGAGGGCCTGTCCGTGATCGACGAAGGCGAGGCGCCTCTCGCAGAGTACGCTTTACTTCCATCAGCATTCCCCGGAAATCGATATCGCCATGGGCGCGTTTTCGGAGCAGTGGAAGCCGCGCGGCTTCACTGTCAAGAATTTCCAGGAGGGGCTGCCCGTTGCGGGCTTTGATGGGGGGCCCGTGGGCGAGAAGGTGAGTTTGAGTTCTTTGGGGGGTTGAGATCGACACGCTGCGTTTTAGCTCGTCCCGGATTTGTCGTCCGTCTTTAATGATCCGAGGGAGCGTGTCGAGTCGATTCCCGCTAATCATATGCAGATGTGTAGGTTCTCGGGGCGTGAGGATCCGGGCTATCAGAAGGTTTCGAAGGAGCTGAAGATGTTGGTGGAAAGTTCGGCGCGTCGTTAGCTAGACTTTTCCATTTTTCGTTTGGTTGATATGGAATAAGAAGGCAGAACTGGGGATAGTGACGTAGCTTCTAAATTGAACAGCTACTTGGCATTTTCTGTGATGTAAACCACAAACCCAGATTTATCTTCCTGTGTGCGTGAATGATTGCAGGAGAGGAAGCTTTAACTCCCTAGTTGAACGATTCAAAATACGCTTTAAAAAGAACATGTAGTACGGCCTGTCATGGAAACTGAGGGTACTGATCACAAGCTGGGCAGAATTAGCAGTAGAAATCGACGGTAAAGGTTGGTGAATGGATCCTAATAGGCCTTCGGGCTAATCTAGTAACAACTCAGATTGTTCGAGATGCCTGTCCAAGGTGTCCCGCGAGAGAGAAATTGCTAGCAAGGTTGTTGGCACGGTTGGTATTCCGGAGGTGCGGAGTCAAAGAAGTGCGGAGCCCGGTCTGCGGCAAGCGGGCAACGCTGACATAACACTTTCTCTCGTCCGTGCGCGCACGCCGCCAGGCCGCACGGTGCAAAAAAGATTTGCTGCACCTTCAACACCCGCAAAACTCCTCGCCAACGCCATCTTCAATCTCGCGCTTTGTGATACAAAAAGCAAAAGGACACCCGGCACCTAAGTGTGTCCGTATCTCTCGAGAACAAAAAATATTGACATGGACGAGATTCGAACTCGTGCAGGTTTCCCTAGTAGAATGCTGACTGTCTGCGACAGTTAAGGACGTGCCTTGAGTCTACCGCCATAACCACTCGGCCACCATGCCTGATTAGTCATCATAACATTGTGAGATACAAATTTTTAAATATATACAGCGTGGTCACGTCCCAGCACACTTTCAATCTGTTGTCTTGAAGCTTAGTTTAACCAACACCTGCGACAGTTAAAACTTCCAGCACTAGACTTCCGTCTCTGATTTTCATTCCTTCTTCGCTCTCAAAACAGAACCTTAAATATCCACGACCATCGCCTCCCTAACAACCTCATCCCTCAGCGTCAGGCCTTGCACCAAAGCCGCATTAACAAACAGCACCTGCTCTCTCCGCCCAAAAACCAACCCCCCAAAAAACGCCCCCAGCAAACGTACCAACCCCCACACGCTCCCCTTAGCAGCAACAACACGCTCCCAAGCCCCCTGCAGCGCATCAAACGCCGCCCTTTCCACGCCCCTGCCAGCATGACAGTGCCCAAAAACATGCACTTTCGGCCTATGCCTCAAGCGCCAGAGTTCCTGCCCTAATAACGCGCAGCCGAACCCGTCGCAGTCGAGATGGCCCTGTGGCGGACCGTGCGTGACCAGGACGTCGAGGCCCTCGGGGACTGTGTCCCGCCAGATGTCCTGAGTGCGTGTGTACTGGAACGCGCCGTTGCCGTGGCGTGGCGTGTGCGGACTGCCCCAGACGGTGACCTCGCGCTCGCCGCAGACAAGTGTCGCGCCGCTGCGGCAAAGGTACGTGACCCGGCCCCAGGCGAGCGCCGCGCGCTGTTCAGCAGCGTCGTGCGCGTGCGCGTGCGCAGGTGCAGTGCCGTCTTTGCGCGCGTCGAGCAGCACGTCGTGGTTCCCGGCCACGAGGACGATGTGCTTATAGCTCTGCGCGTTGAGCCAGTCCAGCGCGGTCTGGATTTCGGCAAACGTGCCTGTGTTTGTGAGATCGCCTGCGTGGATCAAGATGTCCCCGTCTGGGAGCGCGGGGCGGTGGTTGTGCGTGTCTGAGATCAGGACGAGGGTGAGCGGGTTTGAAGGCGCGGGAGCTGCGCGCGCGGGATGGAGCTCGTAGAGCGCTTTTGCGAGGGTGAGGGTGGGTTGTTTGCGGAGGAGCTCGAGGCGGGTGGGGGGGCAGCGGTGCAGAATCGGTGTTAGGTCCATTGTCGTGGTTTGTTATGGGGATTGGCTGGTGGGAGGTGGGAAGTGTGGATGAGGTTGGTTTGAAGGGATGACCTGGATGAGCTTTTATGCTGTGCTGCTGCCTACTTGGTAAGTTGGTGAAGCGGCGGTACCGAGAATGCCAGGCCATGGTTCGTGGGTGGATAAGTAGCATCTACAGTTCTGTCCCTGGAAGACGCCAGCAGTCGGATCATCTCCAAGCCACAAATACTATGTTATTTTGACACGCGCATCCAGACGTTGGAAGCCCTGAGTGAAGCGGACAGCCTCCGGGTCGTCTCTGCGTGCGAACGGACAACACCGCGACAAGACCAACAACTGCTCCGCAGCAGCAGGAACAAAGAGTAGCATCCAGGAAGCTATCGCGTATCCTGTATTCTACTCAGTAGCAGCGACAAAAAAGGCCAAAACCACGTTAGCCAGCATCGAAACCGGGGTGCGGCGCAGAGGAATTTATCCAAGCAAGACGACTAGAGTGCATCCATGGACCGAGATCATCGAGATGAGTACACGCGAGGTAAGGGATCGTGTTTGAAACGAAGGAGACTGTGTCTAGTGCAGGAGGCAGTGTTTTGTTGCAGGCACCGAGGGGAGATACGGAAAAGCACGAATTTACGTATTCGCGTGATGACGTAGCCAGCACGACCCGGGCAACGACCACCACTTCTATTCTAGGGTCTGTGCTGCAATGCGACGGTTGTCCAGGGCAAATGACTTAAATGGGGAGAGATAGGATGCCTGAGAAATGCAATCAATGTCGACTGTGTTAAATGTTCAAAGCTACACCGCGTTGTTTAGCCATCTCGCCTTTTAATTTTGCATCACTGTTCTGAATAGAGCTCAGCAATAAGTGACTAGTAATGATTTTAATTCTTCAACGTGAGGCCTCCCGTTTATGCCCAATTTGTAGCAAAACTCCCCGCCCAACAAAAGAAACCCGATGTCTAGAAAGTGCGAAAGCTGCAAGCAAACAACAAAAGAAATAAAAAAAACAACGCGCCGTTCCCCAGAACTAGACACAAGCGCCTACCCAGCAAGGCTCTCCCGGCTACTTACCATACCATACCGGCCCTCTTCCAAACCCGGCGATTTCTGCACCCGCTGTATAGCTCTCATAAGCTGGCCAGGATGCACAACGGCAAAAACCACAACAACCGAAAGCATCAGCCCAGCATCAAGGACATACATGAACGCCTCATGGGTAGCGACCGTGCCATCACCGCCCTGGACAAACTCGACAATGCGGTACAGATTGCGGACGAAGATTAAGCCGCTGGTAGCATAAAGCGCCCACATATGGCGCTGCCAGCGGACTTGCGGATGCCTCGACAGGGGCGTCGGGGTGCGATTAAGGCGGACATGGAAGAGGCCCGCGATCAGCAGGAAGAAGACGAATGCGACTTCCTGGAACACGAGGCCGTATGTGACGATCTTGACGCCCTTGGCCGCACCGTCCGCGCTCGCTTGCATGGCGGAGCCCATGATCTGCGCGACAAAGCTGCCGACGTCGATCACGATGTAGAGTTTGGTGAGCCAGGTGGTGCGGATGAGCGAGAGTTTGTGCGCGTCTAGGTTGCGGATGATCCGCCCCAGTGTCATGTAGATCGTGCAGGCCAGGAACGGGGGCGAGGCCAGCAGCAGCATCATTTGTAGCAGGTAGGGCCCGCTGGACCGGATGTGGTCATGTGCTTTTATCCGCCCCCAGTAGCCGCCGGCTTCACCTGCGCTGCGTGTTAGCTGTGCTGGTGATGCGGGACTGTTTGTGAGGTGGACGTACCGGCACACCCGAGTATCAAGGGTATGAAGAACCAGGAGCGAAGGTAGATCATCCATCCAGAATGGACTGTTCCGCCAATAGCGAAGAGGATCAGAAACGCCCATCCTGCCGTCGCCGAGGGGTTGTATTTGTAGAAGTCGAATGGCGCCTCGCCGCGAGGAAAAACAGCCGAGTGATGATCCATTTCGCCAAGTAGCAGGTTTTAGAACGACAGAAGAGAGCGAGAGTATCGAATTAGCAATGTAGTGGCTGTTCGTGGGGTTTTAAATAGCAGATGCGAGCATCGCCCTTCGCGAATACGTAAAATGCATTTTCCGTATAAAATTCCGAGGCCGCCGAGGCGGAGCGCCACATTGGTGGTTTTGGACAACATTAGCGTTTCATCTATTTTAGGGGTGATTAACGCTCGGAAATGAGTTTCATCGCCCTCGATGTTTAGGAGAAGGTGGGGTGGGCGAGGCGTCGCTGTAGCCGCTTTGTTTGCCTTGTCGCCTCGTTTGTCCTGGAAGGGAATAGGCCCGAACAGACGGTTTGCGATTTACGGAACGCTTTGAGATGGTCGTTTTGAAGGTGTTGAGCACGGCGCGCTGTGCTGTGTAGTGGGGCTTGTGGTTGAGGTTCAGGCTTGTGCATATGTCTCCGATGCCGTACGGTTTTCAGTGATCGCTGCGTGCGCGAGGAAATACTTGTTGATGGGAGTTCGTATCCATGCTTCTTGCCCAAATACCCCCGCTGAAGACGCGCGTTGATTGTGGTTGTGGCGAAGTGATGGAGCTGAGTGGACAAAGGATCCTTCACTGAGGGAGTGACCGCAAATGTGTCTGCCTCAAGCGACTGCGAAACCACACAGCCGATCAACCAACATGTAAAGTTGTCGTGAAGCTTACCATAAATGCAACGGAATGTTTAAACAACTCATGCCAGACCTCACTCTCTCGTGGGTCCCTGTTTTTTCCCCAACAACACTGAGCAGCAGCCACGGCCAGCAGAGTCAAGCCCACATCATCGTCTCGTCTCCCCTCTTCACTGTCGCAGGACGAACAAGAGAAACCCAAATCAGGCACTCAGACTCACCACAATCATCACTGTCACTACTGCACCACCGAAGCCTCATCATCCTCACAACCAAGCGGCAGCAGAATCACATGCACCGCTTCAAACAGTTATCCGAAAAGCTCCTCATCCCTCCACACCACCAGCCGGTATCTCCCCCCTCGAAACGCAACACATACTCAAACACACAACTCCTCGGGCCACTGACAAACAGCCAGCTAGCTCAACTCCATTCATCTCTATGAAGGGAAAGATGCCTCCTCCGTGCGTGTTTTTCACAGATAGTATGACCGTTCCATCAACCCCCGATACTACGCCTACTCTTGCGACATCGGCGGTCTGGCGCGCTTTGTAAAACCAGTACGAGACGTCGCGAAGAAAGCTGTGCGTCAAGGGTGCGGTATCTCCAAGGTCCTGGTCCAGGTCCCTTGCGGCAAAAGCGCTTGCTCCGACTAGACCTGGAGCAGTGTCTTTGTCACTGGTGGCTCCAAGAGCTCTGGTTCTCATGCGAAGGACCTTGTAGGGGGGCGTGACAGTAAGGGCGCGGCTGCGCGCATTGCGATGACGTGGATGTATGGCCGTGGATAGAAGGGCTCGGAGGTGTTGAGGAGAGGAGTACGTCGCGAGTGAGGAGCGGAAGAGATCTGGTGTTGAGAGCCTGGTGAAGGTGGTCAGTGAGCTTGTGTGCTATTGGAAGCCTTGTGGCCAAGGATTCGCGCGCGACGGGATTGAAGACTTGCCTATGTGGGCGGGCCTCTTGTGAGGAGTGAGGACGTGCCGTTGGCCAGTGATGCGCGGGTTGCGGCGCCGTGTGTATCTGACCTGGAAGCGGAAGGGTTGGAAAATGAGGTATTCTAGAGCGGAGGGGATGTGTTTTTGGAGGCCTGAGGAAGGTTGCTGGAGCCTGTGTGGTGTTGTGGTCAAAACCTGGTCTCGGCTGCGTAGGTTGCGCGCAGCTACCCGGAGAAGTAGGATGTCGCTCGCATTGCAGGTGCAACCCACAAGGATGCGTGCTCGAAGGCTCTCCCATTTGTCCGCCTTGTTGGACCTAATCTCTGCTGTCTGTTTAGGCGAGGATATTTATCCAAGGCAAGCCAGGTTGGATCCACGTTGTCCAGGTCGATATCCAAAGTTGGTCGGTCTTTCGTATCAACACTGACAAATCACAGTGTGGAAAGCCAATGAGGCACCTCTACAATGAACAGGAAAAGTGAGAGGAAAGTAAAGAGCAATCAGTCGTCAATTCGCGCATTGGATAGCTAGTTTAGAATCGCAAGGCCTTCATCCATGACCATCTCAGAAAATCACGTCATTCCATTATGACGCCTCCACCCATGTGTTGCCCACCACAAATACTCAGTAGCTGCACTCAGGGATGTAGCGATCGGGACAAGTAGGATCGTGGTTTTGGAGAACTCCGGCATACTTGTACTCCATCCCGCACAGCGTGGTGAAGTAGGCATGCGAGGTGAACCAGATATAGCTGCACGTCTTCTCTGACCAGCCGTCGTATTGACCACGACACATTTCAGGTCCGGAAATGGCCTCAGTGGCACCGTATGGAAAGGCTTTAGGGTTCTTGAAGAGCGGCTTGTAGTACCTGCGTGGAGAGTGTGGTCAGCGGGAAACACGGGAATGAGATATAGTGGACAGAAGAAGATGGCAGAGATTTGCGACATACAGATACTTCTTTAAGAGAGTGGCTCCCATAGTGTACATGGCCCAAGAGACGGTATCGCCGACATTCCTGCAGGATGCTGCCGGTGCCACATCGACATAATCTCTGTTGATGCCACCATGACGGAAAGCACGAGGACACAAGATGATAGTCGCAGAACCATCACCGTTCATAGTGAACGTGGCCACGCTGAATTCACCACAAGCTTTCTTCTGGCCATCGTCGGGGGCGATCGTGATGCGCTCGAGGAGAGTGTTGCCTTCGCCCTCGGGGAAGTATCTGCCCGACCAAGGTCCCGACATGTCCTGGAGGATAGAATGGACGAGGTCGTTCGCGTCCATTGCAAAGTACCTGTCGAACATATCCTTGTTGATGCTGTCCATACCTGCGTGGGCGAGGGCCATAGCATCGTTGATGCCGTCGCGGACTTGCTGCAGTTGTTGCTGGCTGAATCCCTTGCGGATGCGGGGCTGACCCTTCTTCAAGGGCTCCTCGACATCGGGGTTATCCAGGTCGGTGACAAGGATGGACGGGTCAGCGACGCGGATGGACAGGGCGCCAGCAGTGACAGCGTCGGACTGGACACCGGAAGTGACAAGGTCGGACAGGGTACCGGAAGTGAGCGAGCCGGCAGTGAAGGGGACAGACAGAGCAGTGCCCATGAACAGGACGAAGCTGAGGAGAGCGAAGAGGCTCTTCATCGCGAAGAGAGTCTTCATGGTGATGACTTGGTTGGCAGTGGGTTGCGAACGAGTATGGAAAGACGGAAGGGCGTTTGACGGTGGCTCTGGTCAACGAGAGGGAGAAGCGGAGTGGTGGGGTAGGTGTCGCGGGGGAAGGAGGACCTTGTATGGACCCTGCCAAGCCTTTAGGCGAAGGTAGGTGGTGAAATTGGTCAACAGTGAGGAGCGGCTGCTAGTGAGTGCCAAGGTAACTGCAGAAGACGGCCTGCCTGAACCATTTTAGTGAATGCAGAGCTCATGCAGAGAATCGGTCACCATGAAGCAGCCCTGACTGTATGAAGTTGTAGTAGCGAATCATCAAGCCTATGTGATGGACTTTTATGTTTTATGTGTACTCATGGCTGCCATACATACCCCTTGGGGGATTGCAGGGGGTATCTGGGTGCACATAGTGAAGACGGAGGTAAACGTTTTAAGGAGTTGAATGAAACATCCCTTCTAAGATAATCATGCATCAATTAGATGCAGATACGTAAATTTATATGCTTGTGTCAGCCAGGATCACTCCGATAACTCTCGTTTATCAGCCTCATTATTTAGTTGTTACACAACAGCCTTACCCCTGCACTACTCATTTACCACTACTAAAGAGAAAACGT